CCCCTGCGGCCACCAGCAGAACTAGGTGTCTCCTTTGCATCTGACATTCTACTTCCTGTCCCTTCTTTTTTGCATTACATTTTAATCTTGCTCTTTGATCAATATTTAGGCAGTGATTACTACACATAGCAGGACGGTTTTCTCCAAAATATACAAATCAGTTTTTAGATGATGTGTTCATTTTCACACAGCATTTATCCATATGCAACATTATGTGTTTCATGGGAACACATATGACACATGTTTAACATCGGCTTCAGGAAAACTAGCTGAGGAATTATGAAGCATTAGAATGAACTGGAATTTGGTTTATGTGACACTTAAAGGAACACTATAGTCACCACAACTAAAGCTCATTGTATTTGTTCTGGTGAGTAGAATCATTCCCTTTAGGCTGTATGCATTAAACACTGTATATTTAGAGAAAATGCAGTGTTTATATTTTAGCCTAGTGCTACCTCCACTGGCCACTCCTCAGATGGCTTCTAGAGGTGTTTCCTGAGGCAGTGCTGCACAGTGCCACTGATATTCAGTGTCTCCACCATCTGATTCAATGTATGAGGAGATGTTAATTGGCCAGGGCTGTGTTTGGCTTGTGCTCACTCTGCCTCCTTGATATTCTCAGCCAATCCAATGCTGTACTATGGGAAATTAACACATCAGATGATGTCAGCAAGGCAGACAGATCAGGGGCAGAACCAGCAGCAGCAGTCTGGAATAAATGTAAGGTTTTACTATATTTAGGGGGAAGTGGGGCTAGATGATGTTTTTAACACTATAGGGTCAGGAATACATGTTTGTGTTCCTGACCCTATAGTGTTCCTTTAAAAAAATTAAAAATCATATGGCTAGTTTTTTCAACTCTTATAGGTTTTTTTTCTTTTGTTGTTTTTTTTTTTTCTTTTGTGCCAAAGCGTTTGCCAGAGCATTATTTCCTACCTCTGGCACATAAAGTCTACAAAGGGAGCTATGGACCGATAGAGGATTTAACATTATAATTATTTGCCATTTGCCATGATAATGCTACTGCTGCCTACATCGTTAGGGTAACACGTTACAAGTGATACTACAGAAAGTCTGCTAACGTTGATTGATATAATTCTCGGTGGTTTATTTTTAGTTTTCATTATCTTAGTTTGCTTGAAATCGCTGATAAAACAGGAATAAAGATGCAAACTTTACCACTGTTTTAGGTAATAACTTCCTTCTGTTTTCTTACTGGGTACAACATGAAACCACAGAATTTGTGTGCTCCTGATGCACTCACCCTATCGAAAGCATCATTAAGGGGGCCGTGCAGCTGTGTAGTTACAGGCAGAAGGGACTGGGGATTATTATGGTTCTTTATGGTGGGGTAGGATAATTATGGTCTGCAGGCATTAAATAATTTTTCTTGATAAGAAACAGTTTGTTGGATTAGTTTGCCTTTTTTTTTCAATTTTATAGTTTTTAATTCCACCTGTGTATTTCTGCAGAGTGCTTACCGATACAATGGTGTTCAGATACCAAAAACAATTACAGTTTGGTTTTTATTCCCTACTTAAAGGGACACTGTAGGAACCCAGACCACTTCAACTAATTCAAGTGGTCTGGGTGCAGTGTCCTTTTTGAATCTAGTGCTGCAAAGTAAAACATTGCAGTTCCAGAGAAACTGCAATGTGTACATTGCAGTACTAAATCTGCCTCTAGTGGCTGTCTACCAGACCGCCACTAGAGGGCTTCGTGGATTAAAAAGGACCTTTGGTCCGGTATCTGACACTGGACATCCTCAAGCTCTGCATGAGAACACACAGCATCAGATTTTTCCCCGTTAGCGCCCTTTCATCGCGGGACATTGGAGGGGGCGGAGCGTTGACCCATCACAGATGGACATCATTGCCGGCATCAGATAAGTAAATAAAGGGGTCAAAGCTATTTATTCCGGGCACTATAGTAACCCTTTAACACAAGTTACGAAATAATTCTGAGCCATTTGCAACAAGCCATTAAATGTAGCCATGTGGTTGACCAGACCTCCCATTAACTCCATTCACAACAAATCTTATTTTATAATCCAGGCACATTCCACATGGCAAAAACAAAACAATATTTACTGAAAATACTGAACTCTGACCCAACTTCAGTGTCCACAACATCATACAGAAAGACTCTCAGCTATTTTTGATCCTCCCTCTGCTCTATGTTTGTAGGAGAAATGATGATGGGCGAATATGGCTCTGACGCACCTTTACAAGCTTCTGTTCTAGACCGTTAACAAAACCCTGCAGCAACATACAACTGGTCACATTTTCTAAAATTTGGTTGTAATCGCAGTTGTGTCTCCAATCCGATCGTGATCCAAAAATGTTACATCTGATCTCTGCCAGTATACCCGTCAAAGTTAGAAATCAATAATGTCATTTATTACACGATTTTGAGACAGATCATCCAAGATTATGAGATTAACAACAAACACAATGGATCCATCTTGTAAAGATCAGACCTGCCTGTGGCCCCTTTTATAGTGACGTGGTGATGATAAACAGTAAATGTGATAGTTTGCAAGCAGAGGCGTAACTAGAAACCACAGGGCCCCGGTGTGGAAATTGCCCTGGGGCCGCCCCCATACATCTACCCTCCCATACGTTGCCCCCCCCACACACACACACATGCAGACAAACAGATACACATGCAGAAACACACACATACAGACACACATACATACACACAGACACACATACATACAAACACAAATACACAGACACATACAGACACCCACAGAGACACATCCATACAGACATACAAAGACACATACATACAGTCACATATATACAGAGACACATACATACAGACACACATCCACAGACATACACACACCACACCCATACAGAGAAACATTTATACAGACACACAAACACATACATACAAACACACACACACATATACAAAATGTTTAAGTCACCCTCCTGTTTCCTACCTTTTAGATGCAGGAGGATGACTTCCCTGGAGTCCAGTGGTGAGTCCACTCTGACTCCTTCCTCCTCCCGCATGGCTCCCAGTGTAAGCTGGGAGGAGTGACCGGGGCTGTCACTTCCTCCCAGCTGTGATGTCATCTCAGGAAATTAATTTCCACCTATAACGTGCAGCCCCGGCGGTTCTTCTGCGCGGGCCGGGGCCACAGCACATGCTGGTGGGCACCACGGTGGGAACCACGGTTGCTGGGGTGCGATCCCTGTGACCGCCACTGTTTGCAAGCTATGTACAGATTAAGGAACAGCGCAGACATGAAAATACAGTTTAGAATTTTAGAAAGGCTACTTAAAATCACCTAAGAAACAAATATGGGGATTCAATTCCACCACATGGCCATATCATGTTAAGCCCACCACTACGTCACAGTGTGCCCCCAATTCCACTTTTTTCATGAGTTTAAAAACATATGCATTCAGAGCCGGTGCAATGATTTTTACCGCCCCATTCGTTCCACCCACTCTTTCAGACTTCCGTACACTGACCCATACAAACACACGCTGACACATACAGACACACACACCGACCCACACACACGCTGACACAAACAGACAAACACACTGACCCACACACATACACACATGCTCACACTGACCCCCATCACACACTGACCCACACAGACACAAATGCTCACACTGACTCCCCCACACACTGACCAATGCACACACACACACACACACACACCGACTTATACATACACGCACAGACCCATACATACACACACACACACACTTATACATACACACACAGACCCATACATACACACATACACTGACTGATAAAGACACACACTGACCCAATTTGTATTTTGTATCAAATTCAGCAGAAATGTATAGTGTATGCGATGGTAAGGCCACTGCAAACACAATCAGGAAATAAAGTGGAGCTATATTAAAAAAAAAAAAAAAAGTGCCTCTTAAACTAAAGGGTGCTCTGCCCCTTTAAACTAAATAGTTTCCAGCAAAATAAAAGAACAAACAAAAGGGCCTACTCCTCTCAGAAGGCTAACGGACAGTAGTTGCCCTCACCACAGGTGACTGGACCACCTATTCTAGCAACCACTAAAAACAAAACGAGTAACATTCACGGGGATATTAAAGGACCACTATAGTGGGTCACCAAACCTTTATCTTGCACATTTATCTACAGCCTCCACAAGAAGATTCTTCCGTGCTCTCTCAGAGCGGCTATAAGGCTTCTTGGTTAATTAGCCAGTCTGAACGAGAAAGGAATAACCCCCTTATTAACCCGTTAAGGACACATGACGGAAATATTCCGTCATGATTCCATGTTATTCCAGAAATTGTGCCCTTAAGGGGTTAACAAAGAAAAACTGCCTTTTGTAATCTCTGACTGATATACACATGGTCTCTCACTATGTCACAATGCATTGAGAAACAAGCACCACAAACGGTTTTTTGTTTTCCATTTGTAAGCCGTAGCACTTACAAAGTTAGTTTAAGCATCCGAAAAAAAATCTGCATCATTGCTCCCTTAGCCAAATCTCAATGCTGATGGGAAGTTACAGGAACAGCGGCAATTAGCAAAATCCCTACTGATATAAGACAGTCCAACGGGGCTGTCAATCAGAATGAGATGCTTCTAAGAGGAAACCTGTAGCAGACCCACCAAGCAGCCCACCAATGGACAAACTGTTTTTTATTGCATCTAGAATATGTCACTCGGCTGTAATGAGTGAAAATGTAGCCCTAGTCAATAGAAAATCCCATCCTGGTAAGTATGACATGGGCCCTCCAGGCTTGCAATGGTAAGGAACTTTTAAAGCCCGGTGTAGGGCTTGGAATTTTAAATCCTGATCTGAACAATGCATTAACTTAAATATAGTGTCACCCTATAATTAAGAATATCTTTAATCACAAATAATAAATGTAAAATGAATCTCACGTGTGTATGAGTTTTGTATTTTTGGTTTCCAGTTGTAAAAACGAGACGAAGATGAAAATTGAAATGAAATAAAATTAATTTATTTGGTTAAATGATAAATCAGTCACAAACTGCTGGTTATTTCTTTAAAAAGCAAAAGGAAAGTCCTAATAAAATTCAGTTTCACATGTACGATTGAAAAAAATACACTATATGGCCAGAAGCATATGGACACCCCTACTAATGATTAAGTTTAGGTTGTTAACAAGTGTTTAAAATCCAGCAATTAGCCATGAAGTCTCAGCAGACAAACATTAGCTGTAAAATGGGTCATACTAAAGAGTTCTGTGACATTAAATGTGGCATGGTCGTGAGATGTCACCTTTGTCACAAGTCAATCTGTGACATTTATACCCTACTCGATCTGTTCTGGTCAACTGTGAGTGCTAGACTACACAAGTCCCAGACCAGAAGCTCCAAGTGCTGTGTATAGATCGCCTATCATCTGTTGCATCACCTTTTACAGAGTTCAAACTGCCCCCAGTAGCCTATCAGCACAAGAACTGTGCATTGGTAGCTTTATGAAATGGGTTTCCATGGCATTTTGTAACTACGAAGTAAAGACAACTCCATATTAATGCCCATGGATTTGGAATGGGACATTCAACAAGCTCATATAGGCAGAATTACAAGTTGTCCATATACTGTAGGCCATGTAATGCTTTTTAAACAGTGTCCCTTTTGTATTGGCAAATAAATAATTCACACATACATAATTAAAGCAAATATTTCAGATATTGGCATTGAATGAACTGAATATACAAAGTATATAAAATAACAATATATTGCCGTGGATCATACTGGATTGTACTTTTTTCAGGGTGAGTTAAAACAAAGCATATTCCATAAGTTCAGGATTCTGTACCAGCCAGAGCAACGAAGTGAATTATGGGATTTGTAGTCGGACACACTTAGTGTAGCCAATTAAAGCTGCTCGGTAACTACCCCCTCTGAAAAATGTAATTGTGTATTTTATAAAGATAAAATATTTATGAAAAACTCACACTGACTGTGTTGGAATACATTAACCTGACCTGCACCGCACCCCCAGGTCACTATACACAAAAAAAATTATATTGCCATCAAAGGCTCTTTGCATATTTTGAAGGTAACAAATCCACTTTAATTTAACTTTGCTTTTCACATTTAATTCATTTAAGGTATATTTACACAAGTATCCAGAAAATGATTTTTAAATGGCAATAAAATAAACAAAAAACAAAAAAACTAAACTTTGAATTGTAGCAAATTGTAATCTAAATGGCATAATTTAGGAAAAATAACTAATTTGGAGAAAACAAATCTCCAACTCACCTATAGTCAAAGCTTGGCTTTGTTGCCTATGTTATGCATTCAGATTTAACAAATATAACCCACATATTATCTCACCACTTAGCTTTATCCAGCCTTTTCTTTAAAACCATTTGTTCTCCAAGAACAGAGGTCGATGGACATTAAGGTGAAGTTACTGATTCTGAAATGAACTAACCAAGTCATACATTGTAAACCAAGGGAACGCTCTATATATACTTTATGAAATATTAGGCTTGATCAAAACACGTTTTTAAAAAAATAAACTTAGTACGTACATTTAGGATTCAAATCATATTTATGTAAATAATTTTGTATTACTACTTGTCAATTTATTTAAATAAAAACATGTGAAATACTGTGATATTCGTCAGAAACAAGTGAGAACAGATCTCCCTAGTTATTGGGAGCCAGCTGTGATTTTGGTTTATTCTGAAACAAGCTTTCATTTAAAAAAATAAAATGTTTTAAGTGTTTGAGAGTTTTTTAATATTGCGAGTATCTGTGGATAGAGTGGATTTTATAAGGAATTCTCAATACATACAGATTTGGTGATTTCAGTTTTTTAATGGAAAACGCTAGACTTTTAGCTTACTAAAGTGTCTTATGTGTGAAGAGTAGGTCCTCTTTTATTCAATTTACAAAAAGTGCAAATTTCAATATAAATTGTCATGACACTTTTATAAATAAACCTTGTCACACCCCCCTAGCTGTCAATCAGACAACAGGTCCTGTTACTTCCTGGTTTGATTATCTCAGTGGATCTAAACTCAAGAGGCAGCAATTACTCAGAGCACCTGCCTTGCAAAGACTTCTCATTGAGCTGCCCTGGGAAGTGTGTGATTGGATAGCCACATAAAGTCTGGGCGGGGTTAGAAGGGGAGGGGGGCTTGCAAAGGCTTCAGACAAGAGATCTGATTTTAAGGCATAATCTCAATGAACAAAAATACATAATGAAATGCAAGCATGTTTTCATTTGGGACATATCTACTAACCAGTGACTTTTACTTGCACAGTGAAGTGCCCCTTTAACCCCTTAAGGACCAAACTTCTGGAATAAAAGGGAATCAGGACATGTCACGTGTCCTTAAGGGGTTAAAGGGATTTGATTCACAATCCACTTCAAAAGGATACATTTAATTAGTGAAGTATTTATGTATCCTTTTAAGTCATATGTTCCCACTCATTATTTCAATAACAATAATATTAATTTAAAATGGCACAAATCCAGCCTCAAGTACCCCTTTGCATGGTCAATAATTTATCAAATTTGCATCCTAATTCTTTAAGAAAGAACACATTTTATATTTATTTACTTTTATTAGGGTTCTCAACAACTCTGGTTCTCAAGGACTCCTGTCCTGCCACCACAAAATTGTATCTTTGTGTTCTGGTTACACCAGAGAAATGGCCCCTCCCAGAGTAGTGCAAATTGAACATAAGAAGTGTTTACGCTACGCAAAGACAATTTACAGCATTCAGCACAAACCTGCACATACGGTCATCCGTGTGGGGCTGGCCCATTTGTTTTTGGAGGAACTGCCCATTGTCTACTCTGGATAGTCCATCCCAAAATATTGTCATACCGATCAAGTGAAAAGTAAACAGGGGGGAAGGGGGTCAAAATTCCTCTGTTCCTTTTGTGGAATTTAATACGTACAGTTATGCTTTGCCGTCCTGGAACACCTAGCTCTGACAGATTAATAAGAAAAGTGGGATGTCTTTTTATGGTCTCTGAAGATTTCATATGTGCACAGGAGCACTAAATGTCTCAATATCTTAGTTAGCTTGGCACTGCAGCCAAAAGACACATTTAACATCTGGTGTTCTTTTTCAGTTTATTTGAAGAGTGACTTAATGTTTTTAGTGGTAATTCAGCAACAAAATCTAATCTGCAGGCTCCAAATTTGTGAGATTTTGTATAAATGTTGCGTAATGGACAAAACAAAATAACATGATGTTGCTTCTATTTTTTTTTTACATTTTCAAGGTTCTTCTCGTCATCGGAATACAGCCAAGAAAACAAAGTCAATTTCCTTCATTATTTTCACAGATCGTCAATCACATTAATTTAATAAAAAAAAATTATTCACACTTGCATTAAAAAAATAAACATTTTTTTTTTTTTTTTTGCACGATAGGGCATATTTAGTAACAAAGGTTTATTAAGCTCTACGTGTTGGGCCTAAAGTCAAAAATATAAAGTTGTTATTAGCTGTGGGGATTTAATTTTTATAAAAGCATAAAATATACGAGTCCCTTAGCTGGTTAACATGACAACTATTTTAGCTGGTTCTACAGCTTGGTTAATGATATCTGTTCAAATTATTGAGTAATGGCTTTTATTATAGACAGCGTTAAACAAAAAAAACAAAAAAGTATTTAAAAAGTAAAAATAAAATAAAAAGTGCCAGTAAGTCAGGAAGGAAAGCTATGTACATTTCAGGTAACAAATGCAAACAAGCAAAAACAGTATTTTTTTCCTGGTAAAATAATATAATCAACAGAGCACAATCTCTCTTATTAAAGGCAGCACCAAAACAACTTTAGCAGTTTTTGTGTATAGAATATGCCCCTGCAGTGTCACTGCTCAATTCTCTGCCATTATTATTATTTTACTTTTTTATATAGCGCCATCAGATTCCGTAGCGCTGTACAATGGACTAGGAGTTAAATCACTTTGGTTTCCGTTTATGCCGCCTAGCCATAGCTCCCTTGACTGTAGCTCACACAGCCTGCATGAAAAAAAATAGTTTTTCTCTGATTACTTTATATTAAGTTTGCAGTGTTTATATATATTTATTTATTTATATTTAAATAAACATTATGTTTAGCGGATTAACAAATTATGGACCGTTTTCTTTAACAATATAACTACACTGTGGAGCAATGTTAGCAGCCATATCCACCCTTGTGCCTCATCTGTATCATTGGAATTAACCACCCCTGCTTTAGGACGCCAGGCTTCACTGCTTGTGAATGGGTGAGCGCTCCTTTTTGTTTTCTTTTCTAGAGATTATGTCTATATGCTTTACTCCTTTAATGTGGGATCATCCACATACAGTCAAATTCCTGTGTCCAGTCTGGCACCCCACCAACTTGAAATGTCACCAGTCACCACTGCACAGGAGGTTCCTGCAAACTATTAATAACAGGAGATAAGAAATTCTAAATTAAACAGACTGTGTAATAAAGAATGTTTAAACATTAGACCTCACTTTACAGAAAAAGGATAGGGACACTGTGTAGGTCACATGCAGAGAGGTGTGACTAGGGCTGTATAAGCAAAGTGATTCAACTCCTAAATGGAATCTTCAGCAGTGAGACTGAAGGGCATGAGATTTATCAAAACTGCTTCACTGTGATAGGTCATCAAAAGCATATACATTTTATGTGGATGTTAAGATGGAAGATCTAAATGATCTACTTATCTAGAAAACTCAATCTTAGCTACTCTCTGACTTTACCAGATACAGCTGCTGATAAAATATGACTATTACCAAGTTAAAACATTATGAATATTCTGGTCTCTCAAAGGTATAAAAGGCAAATTCAGCTCTGCTTGGGCTTCAGTCAGCAACCCTATGGTTTGAACAGGCTCTCGACAGCCTGTGCCCATTTCTTTTCCTAAGAACCACATGCACATAATATGTATTCCTAAACATGTTTTACTTATTTCTTATACGCCAACAGCAGTGAGCACAGATCTTCAGGATAATGGACCATGGGCTGGGAAACTTGATCTCAGCCCTCTTTTGACCAATCTAAATTACTGTTTTCTGGAAATGTATTTGTTCGCTTATGTTTACGAAAAACAACATGTGTTAAATCAGTAGCAAAGTCGGGCCTACGATGCAGAACAGGGGAGCCCAAAAGGCAGATCCCCAGATGTTGAAGAACTACAACTCTCTAGATCAGGGATAGGCAATCTTTAGCACTCCAGATGATGTAGACTACATCCCCCATAATGCTCTTACACCCATAATGCTGGCAAAGCCTCATGGGAGGTGTAGTCCAAAACATCTGGAGTGCCGAAGGTTGCCTATGCCTGCTCTAGATGATGTGCATGCCTTTAGAATGGCAAAGCATTATGGTAGCTGTAGTTTTAAAACATCTGGGGGATATACCTTTTGGGCACACCCGATGTAGATGACGGAAATTCCATAATTGTTTCATGTAGCTGAGGTGGCAAAAAGCATTTCTATACTTATTATTTCCTTATCATAGACTTCAGATGCAATTTATATGTGCAGGTAATTTGCTCACATAAATCACATGAGCTAGGTGCATTCGCATTGTCCATGAAAAAAGAAGAAGTGCATTTTTTCACGATAAACTGAGAAATAAGTGACTTTTTGCTTGGAGCACTTTCAGATGTTTTTTGCAATTTACCCAACCCATATATGAAACAACCAGAACAGCTTCAGCTTATCTGCAATGTTGATACACACTATTTATAATGTGAGGAAACTGAACTGGGAAAATCATGGTCTTTTTCCAATAATTTTGCTTAGCATAGAAAAATCATCTGGATCTCAATCAATACTACTATTTCACCGAAAAGTACTCACCCACTACATGCATCATTTCACAATCTGCACTTTTTGCTACAAAATCTAAATCAACTGATTGTATTGTGTGTGTGTCTACATTTCAATCCCCCTAAAATATTCTGTGTTAGGAAAAGCTTGCAATATGTAGCATGTCAAACATACACATACAGAGGACCTTTGTACACCCTACGAGGAAAAAGGCCATAGTAATTAGAAATAATTATTTTAATTATTTCACATGAAATACTGTAAATTTTAATAGAGGTGCAAAGCATACTGCAGTAGCACAGTAATTGATAAAAAAATACTTGTTAATCAAGTTCATCCTGAATTCACTCTGCGAAGCTCTAGGCAATGCACATGATAAAATAAAATAATAATATTAGTAATTATATAATTAAACAGTATAATTACAGATTTACTTTTGTTTCATGAATAAATATTTTTTGGAGGATAATCATGTTGCCATGCTATTAAAAAATAAATTAATTAATTTTAAAAAATACTATTTTTTTCCCTTTTATTTTTTAGAGTGAAAAAAAAAAACAACAACAAAAAAAAACAGCAGTCTGATTTAACCACAGCACATTGAAGGCTAGTCCTTATGGCAGGCTCAACAGCACACCCCTCCTCTCCCCCACCCCAACATTTTAGTTACAATAAGAAAAAAATATATCATTGTGCTGATGGTATATGTATGTAAGAAAAATGATTAGTCCTGCAGTTTATTCAAACCACCCATTTTGATGGCTGGAGATGACCAAGAGACCAAGCAACTCTTTATGAGGCATTGTTGAAGAAAATAATAAATGTCTTTTTTTGGGTATAGACCTTTCAGACAGCTTAGTCTGCTCTAACAGAATTTCTCACATCACCCATTGGTTTTGCATTGGGCCATCAATTTATGGACATCCTAAAGAATAAGGCTGGCATAGAGTGCCTACCTTGTAGGCAGAGTCAAATTCTGGGGATTACGTTTTGGACCATCTCTAAACCTCAACAGCTATCACTACCACTGCCACAGTGTAAAGCAAGCTTTGTAAGGCCATTGTCTTTTTAAAGAGTATTTCTGCACTCGTATTTTTTTTTTTGTTCACATATTTTTGAAAGTCACAATTTTAAAAGCAAAGCAAAATAAAATAACAAATCTGTAAATTGTGCTGTTGTCAAGGTAATGACCCATCATCTTTAAACAAAAAAAAATAAAATAAAAATGATTCCGCATTTTTTCAATTCTGACACATATGCAATTAAGTAATGCCAATGCTGCGAAATGTCTTATTGTGATTATTATATATGGTTAACCTGTGTTTCGGAACACTGTTCAGGAACATGCAGATGCATATGGCTTCTTAAATTCTCTTTATTTTTGGTTTCCTGTTTTGCAGCAAAATCTTGAGGTTTGACAGACTACTATTAGTTCTGTTCCTTATATTTTTGAGCATATTGTCAGAATAAAGTAGTTTCATTGCTGTGGAGGGCTTAAAAAGATCACCTCTACATCCCTTTAAATCAGGTCACAGCACTGCAAATTTGCGACGGTTCTTCCAGTTTAATTGCAAAGTAATATATTAGTATTGATTCTAATTTCTTCATATCTGAAGTTTAACCGTTAATTTCTTCATATCTGAAGCATAGCCATTCAAAGCACTGGACGCAGAAGTCATACCAGGGAACACACAAAATCGCATAGTCCAATTGCTGTTTTACACGATGTAAAAGCAACGCCTTTGTCATATGCGTGTTACAGTTCAAATATCTTTCTTCAATTTAAATATCTTTTAATTCCTCAATTCATTATTCAGTGAGGAAAAACATTGGTTTCCTTTATCAACCAGAAGACTCAGAGGAAGACTCCCTCAGAACTCTCAATAGAGGTGTACATATGGTACTCAAGCCATTTAACTTCTCTCCATGAGTTTCCTACACCATATCACGACTGTCACAATTCTCTTCAGCTCCCAGAGAAGATATTGTAATGGACACCATGCTTTCAGTCCTGTTATCATGACTTCTTTTGACTGGTTCTTTGTTTCTGCTTACGGAGATGAGCCTCGATCTCATGTCTGAAGACCAACATGCCTAGTTGTCCATGTGAGGCCTCATTCATGGCCTTTGACTGCATGCACATCTTGTACTGTTCTGGAGTCAACTCATCCATACATCTCTTTTCATGCCACAGGTGAAAAAGACCCTTGACGGGTGTTCTGATCACAATCAGGTTGCTGTGAAGGTATTTCCGATAAAGATGAACATCTTCTCCACCCCATCCTTTAATATCTAGGTCGAACCCACCTAAAAGAAAAATGTTTTTTTTACAACAAATTTTTTATATTTTCTTTAATTAGTATTCAATGTGAATTTAAATATATTCATAGGCAACCAGGCATTGTATCTTATGAAGCAAAACCCTATTTTATAGGTGAATGTGGTGTAGAAACATTATAGGAACACATTTTTTACTCTACATGTTGGGGATTAGTATAGATAAAGGCACTACTACAAATTCTAGTTGTCTGTGCATGAAGTACTTGATGCTATAAAATACAAATAAAAATATTTTTAAAAAGTTTTGCATTATTTTTGCATATATTATGAGTCAAGGTTTTTGCACAAGCCATGGCCCCAGTGTGCCCATCCCATACATAAGATATAGGACACATGACCCACATTAACTCGTCACCATCGTCTATTCCCTCATTCAGTGGTGTAGAGACTTGAGATCAGTGCAGTTGTCCAACACTTTTCAATCTAAATGCTAAGTGGTCAATCTTTTATTTCCACTATGATGTTTGGAACTTTGCGTCCGATTAGAAGTATGAGAATTGTTTTACTAAATTGGTCAAATAGTGGCATTCAATCATACATCTTAAATAAAGAGACAAATGCTGTACATATGGTTTGTCACTTGTGGAAGGTATCAGATCTAAAACATTACATTTTATCCAACGGTGTTGAAATAATGACTGGTAATAGCTTAACGTGCAAAAGCAGTTGGTTGCTGATTTGGCCACACACAATAATTTAAGGAACAGTTTGATGCATTGAATGTAGTCCAGGCACTTGTCTTCAAGCCCAAAAAAACATGAAAGGATTGAAAACCTTGATTCACTAAAGCATTAGTTGTGGTGGATTGACTGAGATGCAAATTTGAGGGCAAAACAGCAAAGTTGGATAAACTGGAGACTCCAACCCTCCCTTCCAACCTGGAAATGTTCTCCTAGACCATGGGTCCTCAAACTCTGGCCCCCCAGATGTTGCTGAACTACAACTCCCATGATTCTCTGGCTATCTATGTAATTCAAAGAATCATGGGGGTTGTAGTTCAGCAACATCTGGGGGGCCTGAGTTTGAGGACCCATGTCCTAAGCTGTGTAACTCCCATGTCAAATGGATGTGTACGTGAAAGATTTTTCATAAAAGAATGACCTATTTTGTACCAATATCCCGAGTTAGAAAACAAGTTAATCTTCATGGGTTACTGTTACACAAATGGTGACAATGTGTCCAAAGAAAAAGCAAGACTAACGTGAGTATAATCCACATGTAACCATAAATGATATTTATATAAAAAAGCATGACAAGTGGGAGGACAAGTTGTGTTGGGTGAGCAGGTGTGTGGAAAGTATGTGGACGCCCCAGACAAAAAATGATTTCATAAAGAAGTTGGTTTTAATGACTTTGTAAAAGAACACTGTACGCACCATAACCAAGAAAGCTGTAATAGTTATGGTGCCGTTAGTGCACTGGCACCAACCCATAGTAAGATGCCAAACCAATTTAGTACGATATGACAACTTACCTGGGTCAGGTAAGGCTGGAGAAGCTATGGGGCTTGGAGCATTCTTTTAGAACACTGGGAGAATGTCATGACTCCCTTGGGCAAGTACTCCAAGAGAACTCTAAGCAAGAATTGGTGTTGTGGGCATGAACAATGAAAGGGCAAATGTGGATGGAGAAGAATTGTCTTTGCTAATGAGAGATATGTTTAGCTTTAGAGATAAGAACCCAACATGACTCATTGGTTAGTAATTATAGTAAATGAATATGTATGTGTTGTGAGTTCATCTGCTCTGCAGTACCCACAAAACCCTAAGTGGTTAATGGACTATACAGTCAGAAGTCAGGGTGAACAGTTTAATATTCAAGAAAAAAACAAGACTTTTTTTCATTTTGAGATTAACTGTAGGTGGCAGCAATCAACAACAACTCAGAAAGTAAGCTTACCTATGTTAATGAAGTCTGAACGATACTGACAAGTCATTCCAAAGCCAAAGTCTCTCCAAAATCCAGTGTCCTTTTTTATAACCTAAAATAATGTGAAAGAGACTTAAATGAAACACAGAATTAAAAATAAATAAATGTAAAAATATATATGTATTTATATTTCCGTAATCAATGGAAAACGTTGCTTTAAATGTATTTGGTGGCACAGAAATAGTTAACTATCAGAATAGCAGTCAAATTGAAAGCCTGCCAGGACACGCCAGGGAATAGCTGGCAATGTCAGCTGGGTGGTACTAGCCGCTAATCTAATTACGACAGGGCAACACCATTACTGAGAGAGGCATTCTCATGCAGGCAACATAATTTAAAACCGTGGAAATCATGCAGCGGGTCACACAAAGCCGCTTAAAAAAAAAATACACAAGGTGGATGGGGTTTAATAAGAGATGAATATTACTTCTAAACGTCCTGTGTATAAAATACATAAATAAAAGAACGCTGTAACAGGACAGTGTCGAAGACAAGTTGATTGTCATAAAATTGTAGAAGCCGATTAAGTTAAACAAAATGCCACGTTACCTTTACATTTATTTATAAATAGGATTTATGACAATTAGAAAATAAAAATACATTTATTTTGTGCACCAGTCACTGTAAGAATAATGTTGGTACACAACTCTTAATTTTAGGTTGAGTCATTTATTAACTAAAGTAAACCATACAGTAATAACTCTACAGTTACAATATATGATGAGGCATGCAATTTGCAACACTCATTTCAAGGGATTTATTCTGTAAACCACTGGGCTTGTCCTGGTTGTGGCCACGGTAGGTGCACTCTTCACTGTTAAAAACATGGTCAAATTTTGTATGGGTGGTCTTAAGTCGGTCATTGGAAGCTTTTGGCTCATCTGAATATTGTCCATGCAAAAGATTTCTGAAAACGGTTTGGAGGTGAAAAAAGGGCACAGAAACACCTATTTGTGTACTATAATGGGGAAATTATTGTAGTGGCTACACAATATCAGCCATGTTATCAATTGTGAAAATTATATTGTTAGATCTGTATTTAAAAAAAAAAAAAAAAAAGCACGTAAGTGTAATATTCTTTTTTCCTTTTGCAATCTTCTTTTAATTATAAAAGGGGATCAGCAGCAGCAAGTCATTTTAATAAAAAAAAATATATATATCAAAATAATTTTTTTTAAATTAAAATTAAGGAAAAAGTCAGTGGATAATTGACAACCCACTCACCTCTTCCCCCCCTGACAAGAACAAATATTTCCCATACATCCACGTCCTGCAGTGGAAGAAGACGGAAGACACTTGCAAATTGCAAAGCACAAGCAGTGGCACCGAATCACACTGCAAATCAAATAATCTGTCTCTCACTACAAATTTTAAAAAAACAGAGAAACCCAGACATTCTCACACTAGGATCAGTGGCAAACTATCTCCCACTCCCACACAAACACAGCAAGAGTAAAACCAGGCACCTCCTGTCTGCCAGTTTGTCTCCTTCAATAGCTGAAGGCAAAATGTCTACAAGAATTGTGCTTGAAAACATAGCTGTTTCTTTTCCACCTCCACCTTGAATCAGCCCACATTATTCACCAGATCTCTTGTCCATCATGGCAAATTAAGCCGCTAATTTCCCCTCCCTTTAATAAAACGCTTATTATCAACTGTGTCCAAATGATGAAACAACAACTGTCTTCCATTGCTCATTTTTTGAGATGTATCCAATTCTTAAAGTTGGACAACTTGCTGATTGCCTAACATTTCAGATAACATGCAGTTTGTTTGAAAACAAAGGCACAAAACTACACTACACATGGTTCAAACAGACACCCCAGGAGGTGCTGTATGTTCTGTAGACGGACCATTTTGTCTGGTTGGATAAATGTTGTGCTATTCTACAATAGCACTCAGAAACAGGTTAGCAAATCCTAAATATCATGCATTTCCCCTTGAGCAGTTTACTAACCACAGACAATGCTCAAGTTGCTTACAGCATTTAAGATTAGTGTCATCTTTAAAGATTTATTGATGCAAAAGAAATAGGAAATCATTTTTCAAGCCTCTCATTTTACTTTGCACAATTCCTTCCATGAATCCTGATATATGTCATAATATAACACACACAGAATGAATTGTTGGCTAGTTAGATGTAGTAAATGTGATTGGAGTGATAATTACAAGACTGTTTCTGGACATTCCAATTCACAGGATTAAACCTCTCTTACACACAGCTAAGTGCAGATGTATCAGAAGTGACAAGAAGAATGCACGCGAACTCTATGTCCACCTACAAGGGTCCAAATTAAAGGGTTGGGTCACTAAACAGTAATAATTACAAATATTTTTTCTACATTTAGGCCAATATAGCGGAGATGAGAAAGAACACCTGGTTAATGTAACCAGTCTCATAAAGTCACTGCCGTATCTCCAAACTGGCAAAGATCAGAAGGACTGTCCCCAAGGTAAATCAAAAGGTGCGGTTGTGTTATGGAAAGGCTGCCAGGGCATTAAAGGGACACTCCACTGCCCACATACAAAATAAATAAAAATCCCTGTTTAGTAGATATACCCCTAAATGAAAACTTGCATGCATTTAATTATGTTGTTTTTCATTGGGGATATATTTAATATCAGCTTGCAAAACCTGCAGATCAGTTGTCTGCTACCTTTGTAAGCTCTACCATTCTACTCCCGCCCAGACTGTCTGTGTCTGTCCAAGCACAGGCTTCCCAATACAGCTCAATGAGAAGTCTTTGTAAGTTTGGTTAAACTCCATGCAGGATGAAAGCCTGCTCCAGATCACAGAAACGGACCTGATAACGTATAGTGGCTTTGAATTTTTTATGGGGAAGACCACCAGCATAGTCCTTGATTCTTATGTAGTGTGACTTTCTTGGTAATGTGAAACTAAAACACATTGATGGTCAACAAGCAGGATATTGTAGAATGAGATTGTCAACAAGCAGGACATAGTAGAATGAGAGTGTCTATTGTATTTAGCATCAGCCTGTGGTAGAGAGCCTTTTATACTGAATTTGGGGCAGAAATTAGCCAAAGAAGTAGATGCATTACCCAATTTAGGAAGAGTAATAATATTGGATAACATAATTTCACCGAGACTCTTTCTATATTTTTGAAATGATTGAAAATGGAAGTGAGTTGTGAGAATTTAGCGGAATTGTTTATAATATGCATTAGAAAATCCATCTGGGCTGCCCGACAGTCTAAAGCAGGGATGCCCAAAAGGTAGATGTTTTAAAACAACAGCTTTCATTATGCTTTGGCATTCAAAGCATTATGGGAGTTGTAGTTCTACAATATCTGACGATCTACCTTTTAGGTACTCCTGGTCTATGGGCTCATTGCTGAAGTCACAGAGCATACACTTCCCTGTCTCCCTCAAGTTTTCTTGCTAGACCTTTTCCCTAAAGATCTAAACAAATGGGATTAACACGTGATCTAACTTATTTTAGATGCAACAAACACCAATTCAGACAAACATTGGAAGTCTCCAGAGAATCCTCTGACATGACCAATTTCTCTACAAACCACTAGCAACCACAGAATTGTATGCTCCTTACACAAATTTCAGCGAGCTAGAACAGAGGTAACTGTTAATATTTTTACAGTACCTGTCTATTTAATACCAATAGCTGACATCTTTTAAATAATTGCTTTTTATATTATATGTAAAAACAGGAATAAGTTGCAAGATTGTTTAATTTTTTTCCAGCATTGCATTAAGCTTAACTTGTTATAGTGCCTATTTAAATAGGCAATCCAATGTTTTGCTGTGTTGAGAAATTTTAAGGAAAATGAGGTCAGGAAAATTTTAGGCTTTTGGTCTAAGTAAAGGGTTTTTGTCTATGTAATATTTTCATTTCCTGTTTTCCACCTGGTTTAACACAGGTGTGATAGCATGTTTATACACAAATTACAGACTTCAATAGTCCTCCCTTAGTCACATTCCTACCTGTAATTATATGTTAGAGTTGATTACGGTTTTCTGCATTTTGTTTCACATTGTGACTGGCTGTTTACTAGACACTTTGTTACAGTCTTTGTAAAAGAAGCTTAGATCTTCCTGCTCCGTGTTCTGACTGCTTTAATGTTATGCATCATTAGCAATACGGAAAGCCTTACCGGCTCTAAGAGAAAGCCATCCAATGATAGACTGCTGGATTACTGGTAGCTCCATTGTGTTCCCATCTGTTCTTTATTTTAAGGCTATTCTTTAAGGATTAACTTTAACTATAACTTCCTTCCCAGAGTTCCCCAACCATGAAAATATTTGTTTTATGAATTCTCCAACTAAGTTGACGTTAATCCTTTAAAAGAATTCATCAAGTCCTCTGATCTGTTTTTGTAATGATGAAATATTCTGCAAACCATTGTCAGAATACAATTCTCCAGCTTTAGCAAGCATGAACCTACATAAAATACAAAAACGTTTAAAAAAAAACTGTCTTAAACGTTTAAGGAACAATCATGGTCTATACAAGTGGCCCCCAATCCAGTCCTCACAGACCACCAACAGTCCGGGTTTTGTCAGTGTCTCCATTTGAATACAAAAGGGAAATGCATGAATCTTGGACTCTTGGTGGTCAAGGATGACTGGGTTGGGGACCACTGGTCTATACCATCATAACAATCTGTTCTACAAGAATGGCATTCCAAAATGGAACGGTCCATTCAATGAACAACTCTAGGGTTGTGTGGAGTTGACAAGTTAAATAAGCCAGGTCATCCAGTCTGACTGTGATGATGGCAAAGTCTTAGCCTAAATCTTTTAAGAAGTTAATCATTTATTTTTTTAAATGAAAATGTATTATGGTACTTGCTGTTGAAAAGGCTACTTTGTAGGAATATTCATGGCTTATAAATTAAAGATTTGGCACTACAATCTGTAACACAAGATATATGATATAATGATAGACCTATGTTCAACTTGCCTTGACGTGTTCTTTCCAAGTCATGTTACGGGTTCCTTAATATTTATAATATTAATGCAGACTTATCATGTGCTGAGATTTACACAGATGTAGAAGGTACAGTAACCTATGTTACTCCGAGATAACACAAAGTATGTATAGATGATAGGTACCGGTAATTTATAAACAACTGCTTTTAACATACAGAGAAAAAATCTCCTCTACAGAAATTATTTAAAGGGCATCTTCAATAAAAAAAAATACAAAGATTCTCTGCCAGTCTAGTACATGCAGTCCATGTATTGGACAAGCCCAAAAAGTACAGCATAGGTCTGATTGTTGGATAAGCATTCCATATGATTTAAAGGAACACTATAGTCACCTATATTACTTTAGCTAAATAAAGCCGTTTTAGTATATAGATCATTCCCCTGCAATTTCCCTGCTCAATTCACTGTCATTTAGGAGTTAAATCACTTTGTTTCTGTTTATGCAGCCCTAGCCACAACTCCCCTGGCTATGATTGACAGAGCCTGCATAAAAAAACAAAAAACTGGTTTCACTTTCAAACAGATGTAATTTACCTTAAATAATTGTATCTCAATCTCTAAATTGAACTTTAATCACATACAGGAGGCTATAGCAAGCTATTAACATAGCAGGGGATAAGAAAAGCTTAATTAAACAGAACTTGCATTAAAGAAAGCCTAAATAGGGCTCTCTTTACAGGAAGTGTTTATGGAAGGCTGTGCAAGTCACATGCAGGGAGGTGTGACTAGGGTTCAGAAACAAAGTGATTTAACTCCTAAATGGCAGAGGATTGAGCAGTGAGGCTGCAGGGGCATGTTCTATACACCAAAACTGCTCAGTAAGCTAAAGTTGTTCAGGTGAATATAGTGTCCCTTTAATATTATTAAACACAGTTTTAAAAATGATTTTTTTCCAACGTATTTTAAAAAAAATCACATATATATATATATATTATAAAATATCAAAATATAATTTTTTTTAAATGTATTTCATAAAATTAAATTATACATATTTTATAAGAGAGAGAGATATTTCTTGTACAGTTTCTACGGTTTTTAGTGAACTTCAACATATATACATAATATGTATAGTAATGGCCTGAACTGTTAACATGAATTTGCTACTCCCTGCACAATAAAACATATTTGTTGCAATCGTCTGAAAAGGTTTTTTGGTACTAATATATATTTTGCAGTGCACTAGTCTGTCCGTTTTCGCACCTTTAGTACCAAACTTCTTCCTAGACAAACTAACATTGCCGGAAAAATAAATATATTTTTTTTCATAAAAATTGGTTTGGTCACGCTGAATTTTGTGACCATGTACACGTCTAGGTACAACTACAAGGATTTACAGCATGCAGGAGTATACAAAATGACAACGCTATCTGCCATTAAAAGATGTGGGGGTTTTTTTGGCATGTCCACTAAAAAATATTTTTCTCATTTGAATTCTTTTCATTTGAGTATCTTCAAACATGGCAAATTCCACCCATAAAAGGAAATTAAAAATTAAAAAAAAAAAATGAAGTAATAAAATAAAGTGTAAAAACAGACAAGGCACATATTTTTGCAGACCTGTATCTGCTATATTAGAACCGAAATAGGTTTTCAACGGAGATACATCAGAGAATGAATTAACATAAATAAATTAGAGAACTGTGCTTTTATAATTAAATTTCTAAGATGTAAAAAGTTAATAGCAGAACACATTTTAATTTAATACGGTGATGTATTTATTTGAAAAGCTATGGCAAGCATTGCAAAAAGGTAAATATTAATGCAGCTGGAGAGAGGATATATTAATAGTTCCATAAATCTGTACTACACAAAAACACACACTTAAATAAACACTCTAAATACTATAACCACTACAGCATTCTTTAGTTTTTAATTGGGCCAGGAGTACCCTGTGGCCACCTTATACTAACGGTTTGATAACTAACCTGGGGACCGCTGGGCACCAGTCAACTCCTCTGGAGAATCAATAAGCTATTTGTATTGAGCTAAGCCCAGCAGTTCATGGCTTAGCTCATTGGCTGAAAGGGATCAACTGATGCTGTCAGTCAATGAGTTGGTAATGCACTGCAGGGCTTAGCTCAGGAGAGCTAATAGAAGGTCCTAGATGGAGCTTCTGGCCTTCAGTGGAGAAAGTGACCAAAAGCCAGCAAGCACCAGGTAAGTTAGCAAATGGCTTGACGACTAGAAGGGCAGTCTGTAGTGGTTATGGTGCTTGGAGTATTCCTTTAGCCCCTTCAGAAGTAAATGGATCATAAGTACCTGTATGGAGAACATCACTATATAGAAAACATCCGAAGATGAAACTAATTTATATATCAAACCTAGGAGACACAGGATGTAAGAATACCGGATAGTCATTAAGTGGGACTTTTAAATATTTTATCTGATTTTATCTGATTTAGCTTGTTTGGTCAATATTTGGTGAACTACTCAATGTTTACTGATTAAACCCCACTAGTGGTCACTAGGATTTGACATACCATTAAAACTAAAAAAAAAAAAAACGAGCAAGATTAGATATAGTGAAGGCATTCTTGTATGGGGAGCTCTGAAAGAGAATGACACATTCTGTTACATCGTCCCCATAGACTAAGAAACAAATACATTGTTTCAGTACATTGAACTATATTGTAATATATTAATTTCCTTCCACTTGAATGTACTTTTGAAAGGTACTTTAGTTATGAATGGGTTAAAAAGGTTTACTTTCATTATGTTGCCTATGCTGTTGTGCAGGACTCTGTCTTAAAGCGGCACTGTCACCCCTCTGAAAAAGACGTACTTCATAAAGATAGAATCTTTATGAAATACTAATTTCGACAGTGTTAGAATTTCCCTGTCATTCCAACCCTGTCAAGAGATATACTTAGACAAGGTAGAGACTATTTTTCCTCCACCTGGCACTTCTCGACACTGGCAGGGCCAGATTAAGAGCCCAGTGGACCTGGTGCTGACAATTATGAGGGGCCTAATTACACAATCTTATCGACCAAAAACACTAAAACAGTCATACCTCTCAAGTGTTATGTATCTGGTGGAGATGGTGCCAGAGGGAAACTCATAGGATGCAGCTATAAGAAAACACAGATTTTCTTAAAATATGCTAATCTCTCTCTAATTAATGCTTTCATCTTTCAAGTAAATCCATTCCCCCTAACAGCAGTGTCCAGTGAAGAAGGAAGTCAATGGGCGGTGTAAAAGGGTGGGCTACTGACATGGGGACAGTGAGACACTGGCTAGGAGACATGGGGACACTGGGAGACAAGGGGGCACTGGGAGACATGGGGGCACTGGGAGCTATGGGGACACTGAGACACTAGGGACACTGAGAGACATGGGAGACACTGGGAGACTATAGGACACTGGGAGCCATGGGGACACTGAGACACTAGGGACACTGGCTGGGAGACATGGAGACACTGTGTCATTAGCGTCTCTGTGTCCCAATGTGTCTCTCAATGTCCCTATGTCTCACAGCGTCCCCTAGTGTCTCAGTGTCCCCATGTTTCCCAGTGTCTACAAGTGTCTGTGTCCCCAGGTCTCCCAGTGTCTCAGTGTCCCAATGTCTCCCTGCAGCCTTTCCCCTCATCCCTCACTTCCCTGAGCTGTAGGCTGACTCTGCAGGCTGGGAGCTGCTGTCTAGACTCTCTGTGCTCTGTAGCTGCTCCCCCGCGGATCAGTGAGTAGAGAGAGGCAGGGAGGGAGATGCTGTAACTTCATATCCCTGCCTCTCTCCACACACAGTGACCCCTACTGGCCGACGCTGGTATTGCAGAGTAATCTGTTTATACTGAGAAAAATATCGGCATTTGTATTGCCGGTATTACTGCAATACTGGCACGGCCAGGCAGCCTCTAATACCATCTGTGCCAGTAAAATGCCAGTCAGGTGGCAAACAAAGAGTAGAGTGTAAAAAAAAAAAAAAAAAAAAAAAAAAAAAAAATTTTTTTTTTTTTTTTTTAAATGGGCCTATTCCATGGGCCTGCAGCTCCATCAGCCCCTATGTAAATCAGGCCCTGGACACTGGGTGGAGGTACAGCGGTCTAGAAGTGTCAAACCCCTCAGCCATCACTAGTGGAGCCTCCATAGACTTCAATGTTGTACTTTCGCACATGCTGAAGTGCCGGTAGCAGATGAGAACCCACTGAAAGAAGATGGCCGTACCTGCGAGGGACAGGTTCAGGTAAGTAGAACTAACCTCTATCTGCCCTCCCCGGCCACCGGACCCCCAGAGGCAATGTCACCGTCATGGGGACTTTGCGAATTCTGCAAAATCCCCAGATGGTGAAAGATGCACTTTAATGCTTGCTATAACTCCTTCTTGTGAAGCTGTCACAACGTATCTCATTTCCACCTGTGAATCTTAATAAATGTATAGGAAGGAACATATATAATTATTATTTTATTATTTATATAGCGCCAGCAAATTCTGTCCTTGATATGATGAGCAGCATTTGGATAGGCCAGGTGGCAAATCTGCTGTGGTGTAATTCCCCAACATATTTAATGGGATACCTATATAAATGTAGCCTTATTTTCAATACCTAGTTTTAAAAGTGCAGTTCTACTTTTGATATTGTGGTAAGTAAGTAGAATATTAGAGAGATGCTGGAAGTTAAGATACAGCTATGGATAAGATATAACAAATGTTATAAAAGTATGACAACTTTTACGGTGCTATAAAAATTGAGTTTACTAGCAAAGTACATTAAGATTGATACAATTCTTTCCATTTCTTTATGGTAGGTTAATCCCAGAGGCCATTTTCACATTTCCCTACTGTCCTGATTTTGGCAGGACAGTCCTGATTTTGGGGATCTGTACCTGGGCAGCACAGCACAAGCGCATCATTAGATGAGCTCGCAGTATGCAGTGGACACTAGAACCATGCAGGGAGCGCTTCAGCAGTCCATCTCTGCCTGGTCCTGAAGGCTTGGGTCTGGCCAGGATGCCTGTCAGGTGGAGGGTCCGACCCTTTTTGGGGTTGATCCACCCCCTTTTGGACAGGCCCTGCCCTTTGAGGGTATTGCTAGAGATGCAGTTAGCATCACTGGTGACTAGGGCCGCCATCAAGGCATGACAACCATGACAGTTGGACAGGCAGTTCGAGTCCCACATTCCTTAAGCACATATATATAGCAATTTCCACGATATATATGTGCACTGCGGGCCCCCTGCTACCTGTACATTGTAGAGGGGGCCAGCAGCACACTCTATCTTCCGTTTCCAGCTTCTCTGTGTCTAACTTTCCTGCGCCCTGCGGCCGCCAGAGTATTGCCACAGGTTACAATTGCAACGCTCCGCATAGAACGCAGGCCGGTCTCAGGAGAGTTAGTCAGAGAGGAGCTGGAAAGGGAAGATAGAGTGTGCTGCTAGGCCCCCCTCTGCAATGTACATTGGCTGGCACCCTCCACTATGCCACCAGGGAATGCGATCTCCCCCCTCCCTTGCAAGGTAAGAAGCAGGGAGAGGGGAATAAAATAAAAGATACACAAATAAATGTAAAAGAAGGCTTTCCCCCTCTATTTTACAGACACACTGCATCCTTACAAGAACAAACTCTGCACTCACTACACACACACATACTACATTCACTATACACACTCTGCACTCACTTCAAACACACTACATTCACTATACACACTCTGTTCACTATACACACACTACATTTATTATACACTCTGCACTCACTACAAACACTACATTCACTATACACACTCTGTTCACTATACACACACTACATTTATTATATATTCTGCACTCACTACAAACACTACATTCACTATACACACTCTGCACTCACTACACTACATTTATTATACACTCTGCACTCACTACACACACTACATTCACTATACACACTCTGCACTCACTACACACACTACATTATACACTATGCACTCACTACAAACACTACATTCGCTATACACACTCTTCATTCACTACACACACTACATTATACACACACTACATTCACTATACACACTCTGCACTCACTACACACACTACGTGCACTATACACACTACATTTATTATACACTCTGCACTCACTACAAACACTACATTCACTATACACACTCTGCACTCAGTACACACACTACGTTCACTATACACTCTTCATTCACTACACACACTACATTTATTATACACACTCTGCACTCATTACACACTACAATCACTATACTCACTCTGCATTTACTACAAACACAATACATTCACTACACACACACTACATCCTCTAAAAAAAAAACACTCTGCAGTCGTTATACAAACACACACTCTGCAAACACTATACACAAACTACATACACTACACAAACTTACACTCTGCATCTAATGCATAAAAAAACATTACACAAAACTTACAATCTGCATCCACTATATACACTGCATCCATAACACACATACTGCATCCACTACACACATTCTACATCCACTATACACACACCACATTCAGTACACACACACACTTCATCCTTGTGGGCAGACTTGGGCAGGCCCTGTGGGTGGACTCGGGGTCGGGCCCTTGGGGGCCCAGACCTTGAGCTGTATCAGGGGCCCCAAAATTTTTAATGGAAGCCCTGCTGGTGACATCATCTTTAAACTTCAATCACTGGTCCCAAATTGAAAAGGAGTAATGCTGGGAAGTATTCATTTACTCTGATCCAGTTTGGAGGATGACCCTCCACTTGGCCCCTGTGTCTGCCCTCATGTGAAACTCATAACTGCATTTAAATAAACATTTCAAGCACCATAACCACTACAGTTATGTAGTGGATAGGGTGACGAGAGTGCCCTGCTTTATAAGTATTTAAATCTCTGTATAAGAAGCCCACACATATTGGAGAATAGTTTTGGGCCACTTATGTTTTGGTCTTCAATATACTGCAATGATCTACACTGCATTCCTAAATGACCGTGCAGGTTCAGACAGTCTCATGGCTTTTCTAAAGGGGCTGGGATAAAGCAGGTTTGAACAACGTAAATGTTTTTCGATGTTGCTGTAATAGGTTGGGTGATTCTCATGCTTCAACTTTAAAAATAAAATTGGGGTATTGTTAAACTTCCTTTTCATCACTGCAGAAGTTCAGTCAGAAAACAATGATGCAAGATGTGTTGTAGTAAAAAAATCCTTCCTTTAATGAAGTATATATTGTGTATTGCCAACTCTGCCACACCTTCCCAAATTACATCAGCCTTATTTGAAGACATATCAGACAACCAAAAAGGTTTGGCAAAGACTGAATTGTTTTTGTTGTTGTTGTTTTTTGTTTTTAATGATATGACCTGACCTTAACCCCTTTCCTATGGACTGGCTGAATGCGCGCGCAGCTCCTGCCGTGCATGCGCGTTCAGCCAAAGAGGAGGAGAACTCCCCGCCCAGCGCTGGAGAAAGAGTTTAACCCCTTCCTCTTCCCCAAGCCCGGCGGGAGTGGGACCCTGAGGGTGAGGGCACCCTCAGGGCACTATAGTGCCAGGAAAACGAGTATGTTTTCCTGGCACTATAGTGGTCCTTTAATGGCAACAGCATTTTTTGCTGTTTACGTTCAACTGCAATTTGCATTTTACTAATTTATTGCACCGACACATATTATATACCGTTTTTTAAAGGACAGAAAGGGTTTTAATTTGATGTAACATATATATATATATATATATATATATATATATATATATAAATGCTTATTATAAAAAAAAAATACAGAAAAATGCAAACAAATTAAAAAATTTGTGTTTTTTTGTACAGTTTTTGCAATAATAATGTGTGCATAATTAGTGCAGGTTAAGGAAAATAATTAAAAATAAATTCATTAAGTTGTTCTGATTTACAGAATATATAATGTGTCTGGGATTTTAATTTTTTTTTGGTAGTTACAGGTCACAAAGCACAAGGAGTAAAATAGACTTTTAATGTGGAGCGATTTTAGAATTTGGTATGTTTGTCTTGTAAGCTTAATAGCCATAAAATAAAACAAAATTGCCACACAAAAGTATATATTTATATAAAGTAGACATCACGGACTATTTACCTAAGGTTGTTTTGACACTTTCTACGTAGCCATTTCACCGCCAACCTCTGCTAAATATTGGAGTAAAATTGTGGGGGTTTTTTTGTTTTTGGCACACAAACTTATAACAAAGAAATTCTCATGTGTATTTTGTAAAGTTGGTATGTGCTATTCCTGTACAAAGTTTTATTTTGTGTTCAGTTACTTCTGCTGAGTACAACGATACCCCCATTGTATGTCTTTGGCACTATTTCGTGAAGCTACAGTGCCATATAGGAGACCTGTCCGTTTCAACATCTACAGTAGAATTTTGAGAGGCGGATTTAAAGGGCCTATGCTTCAATTTGGGGTATTATAGCAGTTTGACTGTTCAAAAAAAACCCACAAAGGCCTACCATTTGTAAAAGTAGACACTCCAGGGTATCTCATATGGTGCATATTGTGCCTTAACATGCCCCCATTTTCTCACCAATATATGCCAAAGTATATGGTAAAAAATAATTTTGTGCATTTTTTACATACGGATTGCATTTTTGCTGGGCATTTTGTATATTTCATATGTGCCACTAAGTTCAAAACCCCCAAATTATGCTCAACTAAGTCTGAGTAAAAATACACCCCCAATGAGTGTCTTTGGCACTATTTTGTGAAGCTCCAGTGCCAAATAGGAGACCAAGCCATATCAGTTTTTACCGAACTTTGAATTTTGACGCTGGGCTTATGTGCAATTTCCAAGCATTTTTCTGCCATTTTGACACACAAAGTGCGTTTGCACAGTATATTTTACAAACCTTATGTGTGCTACGACTGTATAATACTTCATATGTTGCTCAGCTATGTGGTATGAGTACAGCAATACCCTTGTATGTACCTTTGCCAGGTATATGTGGATGTTGAAGGGGCACATTTGAGACGCAGACAGTTTTTTTCTAACTTTGAAGTTTTACGCTGTGTCCATGTTACAATTTGGAGTAGTTTAGATGGTTGGTTATTGAAACTTCCCCACAAACACATACTATTTATTAAAGAATACACCCTGGGGTAATTCAAAAGGCATATTTTGAACCTTGGCATGGGATCATTTTTTCTTTAGTTTGTTCCAGGTGTAGTTTACTTTTTGAAACTTTTTTTACTTTTAAAAACTAGTTTTTAAACTTTTGTTTTGCTTATTAATTTTTTTTAAACTTTCCTAAACTTTCTTAAAACTTTTTTTTACAGATTTAACATTTTTCTAAGCTTTTTTTTTTAGCAGCACTAACAGTAAATTCCCCATTTTCCCATAACTCCCACCCACCCTAGCTAGCAAAATATATAATTATAAAATATTTAAATTAGTTAATTAAATAAATTGAACCCCTGAGGGTTAAAAAATAAATACAAATTAATCGTCAGGGGTTAAAAAAAAAAAATTAGATCACAGTATAATACTGTGATCTGTATTTTGATCACTGTAGGCAGTGATCGACTGGCAGGGAAGGGGTTAATTTGTATTTGGACTCGCTAAAGGGGGGTGTTTTTTTTATTTTTTACTTAAACGTTAGTAAAACTTTTTTGAACTTAATTATGAACTTTTTAAAGCTTATCTTAAAACTTTTTTTAATGTTAACCCCTAGTTAGCCTAACACCAAATCCCACAATTCCCCACTAACATCCACCCACCACAGCTAGCTAAATTTATAATTTTAAAATACTTAAATTAAAATTAATAAAATAAATTTAACCCCTGAGGGTTAATTCTTTTTTTTTTTAACCCTCAGGGGTTAAATTTATTTTATTAATTAATTTAGGTGTTTGTGACTAAGTGGCTACTAAAAAAGACTGGACATACCCCATTTGCAATACCTTGGGTTATCTACTTTTGCAAATGGTATGCCATTATGGGGGTAATTCTCATTCCTGGGCTACCGTACGGTCTCAAAGGCAACGTAACCAATGTGGCGAATTTCAATGTGAAAAAACTGAAACGCAAGCCTTATATTTGACTCTTTACCTTTTGAAAACACAATAAAACCTGTACATAAGGGTTCTTTTATACTCGGGAGACTTCGCTGAACACAAATATTAGTGTTTCAAAGCGGTAAAACGTATCACAACAATTATATAGTCCGTGTAAGTGCCATTTGGGTGTGAAAAATGCAAAAAAAGTCACTTTCACTGACAATATCGTCATTGTAATACATGTTACTGTTTTGAAACACTAATATTTGTGGTCAGCGAAGTCTTCAGAGTAAAACAGTACCTCCCATGTACAGGTTTTATGGTGTCTTGGAAAGTTACAGGGTTAAATATGGTGCTAGCAAATTAAATTCCCTGGACTTTTGGCCTGGGTTGTCAGGCTGGTCCTGCTAATTGTAATTAATAAAATTACTTAATTATGTAAAACTATTACATAAATATATACGTAGAATTATTATATATGTGTGTGTATATAAATATATGTGTATGTATATATAATTGTTTAAAAATAATTTTTTATATATAGGTATATATATATATATATATATATATATATATATAGTGATATTTATGTATATACTTTTGTATATAGATATATATATATTATTTCGTTCTACATGTATTTTGATATCAATATATATATATTAATTTTAAAATACAGTTAGAACGAATTTACACACATATATATTTTATTTATTTATTTTTATTATTTTTTTAATTAAATTTTTTGACGTATTTACATATTTATTTTATATTATATATAAATATATATATAATTAAAATCATATATATAATCAATATCATTGTACGTGTATTTTGATATTAATATATATTTATAATTATATATTAATATTAAAATATACTTAGACAGTGTATGTGTGTATATGTGTATGTATATATATATATATATATATATATATATATATACATACACACTTAGATCATATATATAATAAATATATATATGATCTAAGTATATATTATTTAATTTTACACTGATTTAACTTTTATTTTATTTATTTTCAGGCAGCAGGGGGAGTACCTGTCATTACGTTTTGGTATTCCAGATGTTGTGGACTACATCTACCTTGATGCTTTGCCAGCATTACTGGAGGTGTAGTGCACAACATTTGTGCTTAAATTTGCCTACCCATGGGATAGAGGCTAATATGTCCTCGTTAATATGGTACCACCAGTTCCCAGGATTTTAAATATTATGTTTACTTATCCTTATATCTAATAAATATGTATCTGTGAGGTGTGACATATTTAAATTACCTTCTGCATGAAACTCTACCCAGCAATTCAATGCCACTCTGGCTCTGTCAGTCCCTGTTACAAACTCTGCACTTGGCACTTGCCAGCCAGCAGAGAGAATTTAGAGAGGAACCTGAGTAAAAAAAACTAAATTTCTCCTCTCCTAAAGCAATGTGTACACTGACTGTGCCTGGACTAAAGTGGATTGAGAAGTCAATTTCTCAATATTTAATATACATTTTCAAAAAATAAAGTTATAGATGACTTTCCATGTTTTATTCAATTACATGGCAGTACACCTCTACATAAAAACATTAATAACAAACAAACAAAATAAATAACAATGTCTCTGTATGAGCTATAATAACATACATCCCTCAACATGGAGAGAACTTTGTATATAAGCACACAGACACATACAAGCAGGGGCGTGTTAGCCGCGAGGCAAACAAGGCATTTGCCTTGGGCGGCATTTTCCAGGGGGCGGCAAAAAAAGCCGCCCCCAAATGCCCAGGGCAATTGCCTTGTTAGCTTGCGGCTAACAGACATGCCGCGCTGGGCAGGCGGCTGGCGAGGGAGCTCTTCCCCTGTGCGGTCTGCTCAGCTCCCTCGCGCGCCACAGAGTGAGGCTGGGAGCCGGGTTGATGATGTCATAATCCGGCTCCCAGCCTCACTCTGAGGCGCGCAAGGGATCTGAGCAGACCGCTCAGAGGAAGTGCTCCCTCGCCAGCCGCCCGCCCAGCAGCCACGGGACCCCAAGGGAGAAAAGCCGCCCCCAAATGCCCAGGGCAATTGCCTTGTTAGCCTTGCGGCTAACAGACATGCCGAGCGGGCGGGCGGGCGGGCGGCTGGCGGCTGGCGAGGGAGCTCTTCCCCTGTGCGGTCTGCTCAGCTCCCTCGCGTGCCGCAGAGTGAGGCTGGGAGCCGGGTTGATGACATCATAATCCGGCTCCCAGCCTCACTCTGAGGCGCGCGAGGGATCTGAGCAGACCGCTCAGAGGAAGTGCTCCCTCGCCAGCCGCCAGCCCAGCAGCCACAGGACCCCAAGGGAGAAAGGGGTTAAAAATAAATAAATGTGTTAATGTGAGTGTGTGAGTGTGTCTGAGTGTGTGTGTGTGTGTGTTAGTGTGTGTGTCTGTTAGTGTGTGTGAGTGTGTTTGTTAGTGTGTGTGAGTGAGTGTGTGTGTGTCTGTTAGTCAGTGTGTCTGTTAGTGAGTGTGTCTGTTAGTGTGTGAGTGGGTGTGTCTGTTAGTGAGTGTCTGTCTGTCTGTTAGTGAGTGTGTGTCTGACTGTTACTGTGTGTGTGTCTGACTGTTAGTGTGAGTGTTTGCCTGTGAGTGTGTCTGCTAGTGAGTGTGTGTGTCTGCTAGTGAGTGTGTTTGTGTGTGTGTGTGTGTGTCTGACTGTGTGTGTGTGTCTGACTGTGTGTGTATGTTTGCCTGTGAGTGTGTGTGTGTGTGTCTGCTAGTGTGTGTCTGCTAGTGAGTGAGTGTCTGTGTGTGTCAGTGAGTTTGTGTTTCTGTTAGCTAGTGTATGCGTATCTGTCAGTGAGTGTGTGTGTGTGTGTGTGTGTGTATTTAGAAGGCGGGGCGGGGGGGAAGGGATGGGTGGGGGTCGCGCGCGCATGGGGGGGTTGGAGGGGGAGGTTTGGGGGGGCGCCTGAGTTTTGTCCTGCCTAGGGCAGCACAAAACCAGGACACACCACTGCATACAAATACACACACTGACACAATCAGACATACACACAGACACATACTTTGAGTTACAGCACATTATTTTCCTTTTAGTATATTCCTGTTGTGTACTGGATATTCCTCTTACATTACATGCCTGTCTTAGTAAATAGGAAATATCTCACTAAAAAAGAAGGGGGTGGCCAACCCATCACTTGACAGGACAAGTACGTTAATAGTCATCTAGAGAGCTACGTGTTACCAAGCTATTATCTATGAAGGGAACAATCTAAATGGACTATAAATACACAGGTTGACAACTTGAGGATCTTTAAATAGCCAGCATTTCTAAAGTAAGACATTGCATGTTGTCAGTGTTCCGAGATCTAGAGAAAGATTCAGAAGTTGTACTATATGTGACATCTATTAGTAGTCATTGCATTTTATACCCACACTATGATTTACTAAAATATCCAAATACAATGAAATGTAGCCTTGACATTACAATTATTATTACGCTAGAAGGAGACCAGTCATACTTATCGAGCAAGTTTCTTGCAAAGGATTATGGGAGCATTCCTCATAGGAAAGTTTGCTAGACAAAAGATAGTAGATTAAACTTGTTGCATGATGTATACCATGATTTATTTATTTTTTAAATGTATTCTTTCTAGATCAACGCAAATATTCAGGGGCATAATCGCTAACCAGTGAACTAGCATTAAGCAAAAGACAAAAAAATTAAAATTTAGGCCACAACTAGCCAGGTAGGAGACAGAGGAAAGAGAGGTGATTCTGTATCAGATAATACAATAACCAAATATACTGTGAACATTTAGGGCCATTTATGTAGTTCTGCAATTTTTCTATGTAGGGTGATATAATTGTTCAATGTAGGGTAATAGCTTTTCGATCCAAGGATAAATCTGACTGCCATTCTGGGGTCGAGAAGGATTTTTTTCCTAGTTTGTTGCAAAATTGGAAGTGCTTAAAATTGGGTTTTTTTTGCCTTCTTTTGGATCAACAGCAAAAACAAATGTGAGGAAGGCTGAACTTGATGGGCACGAGTCTCTTTTCAGCTATGTAACTATATCAATTGCAAGATGTATAGATCTGCCAACTAAAAGCTATTAGTTTAGTTTACTTATAGACAGTCCCATTCATAGTTTTGTGAATGAAGCGGTACGTGCGCACGACTAACCTGAGCGGTTATACACTTATGTTTTAGTTCTTGGAGTGTCCTTTTAAGATGACTTTGTGTTTGCTAGTCTAGCATTGTTCTGAATGGATATAGAAGCTTTTAAATAAAAAATGAAGGAGATTTGACTGACTGCATTGTTGGGATTTTATAAAACTGATGTGAAGGATGCAATATTATTAAAGAGGTGTTCATCTTCTGAATAAGTACAAACACAAAATCGTATAAGGGTTTGAAAGCGTGACTATTAAAATGTGATAAATGCAAGCATGGGTTTGGACCATCTTGTAGATTCTGCGATTTAGGTGAAACCACTGATCTCATATAAAATATGTTAGATCATTAGGTAAGTGGTTTCTATTAGGTAAGTGGTTCCTACCACCAGATATGCAATGTTACTGTTAAGACCTGCAGTGGTTATGGTACTGTGGTCTTCTATTCCTTTCCCAAGAGCTGAGCATAAGTGATTATAGCTGCAGCAAGGAGTAGAGGAATAGTGTAGATGAATGCAGCTTCCAAGATGATTCTCCCCAGCAGATGAAATATCCCCCAAACATGAGCCTAGACTTCATGAAGGGTGTAACAGAACTGAAGTTTATTGAGAATACACTGGCTTTTATGAGAAATCCTTCTGCAAGAGGACCTCCCACAGCAAACAAAGGCAACAACCAATCAACATACAGATTTACAGTAACTCCCGCCCTCTCTCTGCCAGGGAGATATTGAGATAAGTTAAGGAATAACCCAATTATCTCCAGGCAGAGGGCACACAATTTCCCCAAAACTTAAAACACCCCTTTCCACACAAGGTATCCCCACAAATTAGATCGGTTCAGGGGTTCTTAAAAAGTATGGAAGTCATATTTTACCGACCACACACAAGGCTCCTGCCCAAAACAGTTCCACGAATTCAGCGTGTGTGGATCCTCCTGGCTCATAGGAGCGATTGCTTCCCTTGTCCATTCGCACAAAACTACCGAATGGCGCTCTCCTGGTGGTTCAGCAACTAAAGGAAGCAGGTGTTCGGTAGTTTCAGCGGTGGTTCGTGAGGTCGAGTGTCCGATTTTAGTACCAGACACTCGACGACTAAGTCCCGCTGCCTCCTTTCGTGCGAACAAGATGGCCGCCATTTTCTGTTCCACGTGGCATTCGGCTATACGAACAGCGGCCGCCTGGAGAGCGCTTAATAGACGGATCTTGTGAAGTTAATGAGCCAGGAGGGTGGACGGTGAAACAGTAGAGTCAATATGCAGGAAATAATGTACAAAAAGCCCGAACATAGAAGAAAATACCGAACAAAAGTCTATTTTCTTCACAGTGACCCCCTGGATATATGGTTAAGTGTGGATGTGTAATGGGGAAGCTGCAATAAGTTAACAGTAAACCATTACTGCTTCAGAACTCAAAGAGTTCTGATTTGCTAGCCATTCCTAAAAGCTACACACTACCAGCACTAACGTACACGGACGTTGGTGAGACAGTGTGTGTGTGAATGCAGGAATGTGTTTGTGTGTAGTGTGTCAGTGTGTGCATGTGCACAGATGTATTTATGTAGAGTGAAAGTGTAAGAGTGTAGGATATTTGTGATGGGTGCCATGAATGTGTAGTATGTTATTGTGTGTGTGAATGTCGAATTAAGTGTGTAGTTGATCTATGGGTTCTGTGTGGAGTATCAAGGACTACATTATGGTGTATAGTTTTAAATTCTGCTCATTACAAGTATCAATGACACACTTAAACATTCACTTTCTTACACCTTTCAATGGAGTGATGTGTAATTATGTTTAACATTACTAGGGGGCTTGGCGAGGAGGGCCACAATATTGACTAACTGGACATGAGTGTGGCACATCTGCAACAGGATATCTGAGTTGCCAATAACTCCCTATTGCTCACAAGACTCAAAGTATACCAGCAGGCCAGCTCAGGCAAGTACAATTGAAAAGTGATTTGAACAAAAGATATTATGGATGTGAATATACATCGGCTTGTTGGCTATCCCTTTCCAACAATCTTCTTTGCATGATACTCCATTCATGATTCCTATGCCCCAATGGTCTCCAAATAATGGTTTTTGGTGTGCCTATTTTTTCTCTCATAAATTAGATCTTTTGATTTGTTTTTTGAAATTAAACACTCGTATTTTGTAAGGGGCAAGTAAAACTTTTCAGCCTTGTTTGCAACAAACATTTATCTTTTGGTTAATCAATACTCAGGTTAATGAAGAAATATCAGTAAATATAATCAACATTATAATTTGTGGAATATCTTATTATAAATGCTGATAATAATCTGTGGATAGCTGTGCATTAAATGATCTACTAATATGCAGAAGTCTTGCTTGGCTATTTATATTGGTATTCAATTTTAGATTTTAGCCGTAATATATTGTAACAAAATGAATAATCTAAATTTCCTAAATACAACAAAGATTTTCAATTTAAAATGTAAAAATCAGTATTCCGTCAACCCAGTTTTTCGATCTCACTGCATTACAGTTTCACGCATCCTCGGCACTAGATATTATACAATAGTTGCACAGATTCAATGTTCTTTGTAATCTTATCAAAGTGACAACAAAAAAAAAAAAAAAGCCTATGGGTATAAATAGCCTAGAAGCCAACATTCACAGACACATTCATTCATTTCCTAGTGACAGCTCATTTTCATTCCAAACAAAACAGCTCTGATGTAACTACTATACATTCCATCATTTCCTTTCTACCATTCATTCATTTCCAAAAATCTGATTACCCACTGAGGTTCCAACTAAATAAATCCTCAGATATCAGCCACACACTCTTATATTACCGTCTGACAAACACCTAGAAGATGAGGTAACCACAACTCCTATTTACCTTCCTGTGCGTCATTTAACACCTTCTGAGACCTAGACATTGCGTAAGTGTAGGATTACAAAATTATTTCTCCCAGCGCACCTTAACTTTTTTAGAGCCACCCAACTTCAAACCCAGGAAAGAATGATGGCGTTATATGGTGTTTATTTTATGTTTCAAAGCTTTGACTTTGTGTACTAAGGTGTATTTTGGCTTTTTGCATGGTTCTCATCCTGTAAAACATTTGACTGTGATTTTAAGTTTATGAATGGAAGAGATTGCCCAGCCTGAAATGATTTGAAATAAATGTTGCGTGCAATGTATATTACAGACCCCATTATAATAGAACTAATGGCTGAAATTCCAATCATACACGTCAGTAGTTTTGATAGAAAAGCTGCACTTTGTGCATGAAGAGGGCTCAATGGACAGCTCTTTAATGCATTAATTTGGCTGCCCTGGAAGACTGCCCATGAAGCAATCTGGATTAAAGTTAAATTGGTTCTCAAAAAAAGTTTACTGGCAGGTTTTCCAGTGGAAGGACTGTTTAGAGGTCCTTTGTATTTCTTCTGTAATTTCTGCAGTATGTGAATGAATTGAACACACCAGCAAATTATCCTGACATAACATTAGGACTGTTCCTCCTTAATAGGGACACTTGGGAGGTCTAAGCTTGGCAGGTGAACACAGGGTTTCTATCAGGGTTGCAGTTACAGTACATCACCGAAAGATACAGTTACTGACGGATTTTAGAAACACTCACAGGAATTAAGTTACCACTTTTCTCAATATCAGTTTTTAGATTCATGGGGTAGTTTTACAGCACATACTTCTAAATGGTTTGAGAAAAAAAAAAAAAAAAGAACCAATAGGCAATGCCAGGGGATCTTGGCACCATAACTACTACACTGAATTCTAGTACTTACTAAGTGCTCAAACTGCTTCATTTATGGACTACTACCAGGCCACTTCAACTCAATAAAGTGGTTGTGGTGCACCGGCCATGTCATTTTCACCCTTCAATGTAAAGCATTGCCTTTTATATAAACAGGATGTTTACATTGAAGGGTTAAAGAGACACTATAGTCACCAGAACAACTACAGCTTATTGAATTTGTTCAGGTGAGTAGAATCATTACCTTCAGGCTTTTTGCTGTAAACACTGTCTTGTCAGAGAAAATGCAGTGTTTACATTACATCCTAGTGATAACTTCACTGGCCACTCCTCAGATAGCTGTTAGAGATCCTTCCTGGGTCATGGCTGCCTAAAATGCATCCAGGACTGTGTTTGAATCATGCTGGCTCTGCCCCTGATCTGCCTCTTTGTCAGTCTCAGCCAATACTATGGGGAAACATTGTGATTGGATCAGGCTGCCACTTCTACTGATGTTTTTCTGAGGCAGACTGTGGCAGAGCCAGCAGCTTCAGGCTTGAATACAGTAAGATTTTGCTATATTTATGGAGGCATGAGGGGCCCATGGGGGCTAGATGGTGGTTTTAACACTATAGGGTCAGGAATACATGTTTGTGTTCCTGACTCTATAGTGATCCTTTAAATACATCTCAAGTGGCATTCTTCCTGAGAGCCACCAGAGATGATTCCACCTCCAGATCCGAGTCAAAATCAGTCCTGCAATCAAATGCTGCTTATAGCATTATTTGATTAGCAGAGCACTGTGTTTGGTCAATCATGAGTGCCTTGGACACCAATGCCTCTCTATGAGAAGCATTGGATTGGTCAAGATGATGGAAGACGTCCGCAGGCATGGTGACATCTTTGGAGGTGGAGCGGGCGACTGCAGCACAAATCTCAGCGCCGGAAACAAGGTGGGTAAACTTTAATTTTTTTACTATAAAAAGGGAAGTGGACAGTGGTCATAGCAACAACAAACGTTATGTTTTTGGACTTTAGGTTTAACTTACCCTATAAAACAGTAAGCCTAACATGATCAGTTTTCACATCTAAATGAAGGGATAAGGGTGTTTGGTTTCTTTCCATCAAGTTGATTAATTTGAAAGGTTAGCAAATGATAAGAATGGGCATTCACATCGCACTAAATAGTTATAAATCTACGTAACCGGTTTATTGCAAGCAAATCTGTACAAAGAATGGAATTAATGCTATTAGGCTCATAAATAACTCATTAATACACACTATTCTAACCGGTGACATGCAATTACAAATTACCCATAATACAAATGTGTAAACCATATTAGAATGTGGCTGTGTGTAGCAGAGCTCATGACGCGTGATTGAAAACAAAAGAAAACTATTTTATCCACAAATCACTTACCAGTTGCTGGTCAATGGAAGGAATTGTGTTGTGGTGCCCATATATTATTGCTGGGTTATACTGACTGAAGAGCACTGGGTAGAAAACTCTCCTCCCTACATTTAAATAAATACATACAAACATAAATAATACGCACAGGTTGGGTACATTTAACAGTGATTCCTAGATGATGGGTTTGGGGTAAATGTGGAAAACATAGAGGACAGCATCATTCTAGGGGAAGCAGCATTAGAAATTTGCATACGTCCCAACATTTCAAATGGACAAAGAGAGCATTTTAATTTTAGGGGCGTGGCTGGAGGGGTGTCCAGCGGCAAGGTGGTTTTAAAAATTTTAAGGGACCAATAAGCACAGAAAGGCCATGTATTTTAAATATTTTCCAACTTGTTATGTCGAGAAAACAAATTATCTCAAGAAGACAAACTGTTTTCTCGATAGAACAAGTTGTTTTGTCAACATAAGTTGATATATAAAGAATATTTTTTTTACACTCAATTTCTTTCATATACCAACACACTGTTGGCAATATTAGGTAGCAGGCTCCTGTGACAGTCTACACAGCTGCTTTGCCTTTCAATGTGCTTACTCACTGTGACACATCCTGGCTTAATCTAGTCAGGCAAATGCATGAACTTTTAAATAATCTTCATAAAACAACTTTTTTTTTTGACAAAACAATTTGTTATGTCGAGAAAACAATTTGTTATGTCGAGAAAGCAAGTTGTTTTCTTGACATAAGTCAGAAAAAACATTAAAAATACATGGGCTTCTGTAGTCTGCAAGGTTTTTGATGAATTTATTACCACTTTCTTATGTCAAGACGAGTTATAGCTTTCTTGACATTTACTGATTTTGTTTCTTAATGTACGAAAAAAGTATTATGGAAAAATAAATCATATATATTAAAGGTTAGCTGTGGAATGTAAATAAAAAAAAAATGGCATGCTGTGTACCTGACTGATTCAGAAAATGCACATCTTATTTTCATTATTTTTTAATATTTCTGGTATTTTATGGAAATGTCAATTCCTGTGGTTCACTGGCTACTTAGTGAAGGGTCATATCAAAATATCCCTTGACATAATCCTGATGCCTTGAACAGGGCCAGATTCATCACTATGGGATATAGAAACATGCCTAGGGTAATATTCTGTCAACAGCCATGTTTAAATTGTAAAATAGATATTGACAGTGCTCCCTTGCTTATAGGTTGCCTGAGCGGAGATCTGCATGTCCGCTAGCTGTGATTTACATAGATCTTACACAGGGATGCATTTCCCAGGGCCGTACACAAGCCGAGGCTCAGATATTTAGGGGCTGTGTAGTGTGACTGCAATTGTGATACAGGTAGAAAGGTCTGTGGACAGTATCCGGCCCATAGTTATTTTGTGAAGTTTCCAAACTTTTAATTATGGGAAAAAAAGCAGCGCTGTGCCAATAGAATACATTCATAATAATTTATTCCAGTGGTTCCCAAACCAGTACTCATGGCCCACCAACATTCCAGGATTTATGTATTTCCATTTTGTAGTCCAACAGAGATACTGACAGATTCCAATGTAGATACTAAGAAAACCTGGACTATTGGTGGGCTATGGGGACTGGTTTGGGAATCACTGGTTTAATCTTAAGATTTTTAAGATTTCACAATAGGAAAGAATTGAATATATTATAAGATGCAGTACAAATACATCTGAAAGAGAAGCGTAAGCAATACCAAAATGTTTTGTAAGATATGGATGTGATTTTGCATCATATTTATAAAACAAAATAATAGTTATTAAATATTTAGAATTATGACCTATATAATAGTTCTTAATTAAATATAAATCAAGATAAAATTGCATTCATGAAGCATTCATGAAGCACGAATAAAGATTATTTAAAATGGTAAAACAGAAAAAAATAGCACCAAAGGAAATGAATACCAAAAAGTGGGTAATCACTTATTTTGAAAGGTAGTCACGTACCTGGCTGCGTGTTTATTCTGCACGTGTTGAGAAATTCTGCAGTAAAGTAAATATCGACATCACAAAAAAACAGAAGCACGTTATTGCCTTTCCAGGCTCGAGCCCCGACATCTAGACCTTTGCCACGAGAGAATTCCTCATTCAGCTGAATAAACGTGAAGTTCTTGAAGTTCGCAGCCCTGAAAATAGAAAGGATAAAAAGAAAAATGATTGTTCTTGTGAAATGTCACCATAGTCATTTCTTAGATTGAAATAAGATCTGTATCGTGGAGACAGAAAATAATGAGTGTCTAGTTACAGTGTCACCATACACATGGTGGACCTGCAGGTGATCACCTTCAGGATGGTGTATTCAAGCAACCATGAGATCATAGTTTACTGTACTACAATGCTTCACTTATTTAAAGAGGCAGACAGTGTATCAAAGGAACACGGTCCCATATTTTGTATTTCTGATGGCTTACAAAGCATAGTCCCATAGCGTTTACCCGGACTTAAAACCACATTTTCCTACATGTTGGCTATTCAATGTAGGCTGGATGCGTGTAGAAAATGTTACTTCACTTATTCTACATATTTTAAGATGATCATTGATTTTCTTCCCCATTGTTTGAATGGGCCATCTTTGTTTAGCATTTGGGGGTCCAACTATTTGTTGAATTCTACAGGCATTGGCTAGCAGCAGATTTAAAGCAAGGCCTCCTTCTGAAGAACCGGAAGAGACACGTTCTATTGAGTCTTTGAAGATTTGACTTCAGAAACAAGTCAGAAAAGCAGATTTATAATTTATAGTTTGTTTGTTGTTTTTGTTTTGTTTAGTTTTATACCAATTTAGCATTCATCGCACTTATCTAATTTTTTTTTGGGGGGGGAGAATACTGTATTTAAAACTCAACCATTATAAGGGTCATTTTTGAAGCTTTAAAAATAAATAAATAAAATAATAGGCTGGAAATAACAGAGTAGAACACAAATATTTTTTATTGGCATCTCAAATTGTAACAAATACATAAGTAGGGTACAGTGTGGAGAGTTGGTTGGCACCCCCTTGACAATGCCGATGATACAGTGGTGAATGGTAAAATTTCAAGATGGACTAGACTCTCAAGAATTTAACTCTGACCCATGATTTGTTGGTCCATGCCCATTTAATTCATTGTACTAAACCCACTGAGACATCATCCAATGTTTAACACAATAAACCTATAAATATATACATTTGGCAAACAACCACCACTTTAAAGACATCCATTCTGTTACACAACGACAGACCTAGTAAACAGAGCAATATACACTTCCAGGATATGATGGCCCAATACAAAGCCAATGGGTGATATCAGAAATTAAGCACGTCTGGGGGTAATATAACTAGAAATGGACTATTATTATAAAATAATTTTAAAAACAGTTGGGGTAGAGGAGGAAACCACTGAACTATATATGCTTTACCATGAAGAAAATTGATGATGTATGTACATGGAAACATTTGAATACTGAAAACTGTATCTAACTTAATATTTTCTTTAATACAGTGAAATATGCCTGTCAGTTATGTTATGAGTTGCCTGCCCTGTCTTTCCTTTCCAAAATAGTCCTGTATTTAAAAAAAACGGGTAATAATAGTGGCAAAAAGGCACATATGTTAAAGAAACACTCCAAGTACTATAATCACTACAAAAAAACATATAGTCTCTGCCCGATCATTGGCTATCCGTGATTATAGTGTCTCTAGACAGTCTTTATGGGCAAGGGGGTATTTGTGGCAGCTGAAGGCTCCAATAATGCTTCCCCATATTGATCCTGCCTCCGTGTACTTTTTAATCTAAAATGCAGCCATATTTATAATGTTAGACTTCTGAACATGAATCTTGAAAGGTCACTCTAAATCACATAGTAAAATGTCATAGAGAGGTGGAAAACTGGGAAGTAAATTGCAGCACATTGCCGGATAATATATATCTTTGTAAACATACGAGGTATGCAGATTGTTATGGCGTGTGCCAAGATTAAATTAATGGCATTCGTCTTTTCCCTGGCACCTGGAGGGAATGAAATGTGCCATTACTTTGATTTTTACGTACATCAAAGTGAAAGTGTCAAAACATCAAAGCATGTCTGGTCCCAGCATTACAAACAGATCATCGTATCCTAAAATTAGAAAGGGTGCACAGGATATCTTCAAAACATCATATGAATTTTACTTAGAACTGCTGATTATAACCAAGAACGGATTATCACTTGTATGACGAGTTCTTTTCTTCATGTTTTATGAACTATTAATAAAAACAATTAAATACAGTCCTAAAACAGACTGAAAAACATTTGTGGATAAGTAGGATTAATTAAATTAATCTAATGACTGGGTGACACATGTGAGCAATAGATTCAGCAATTGCATTTGGCATTCCATAGTCTTGTTTCATCACAGGGACCAACATATCTCCCAACTGTCCTGATTTCAACAGGACAGTCCCGATTTTCGAGTTCTGTCCCACCTTAGTTCCCTGATGTTCCTCTTTTGGGGGCACCAGGGAACTGTCCCCCAACAATCTTAGTATAAGCGCATCATAAAGCATACTCCACTATGCTCAAGGCGCTAGGGCCCTGCACAGAGCACTGAAACAGTGCTACCTGCATAGCCTGCCCTTACGGGCCGCCCTGAGTGATGGACAGGCATCCTGGTGTGTATTAACGGTTGGACCCACCACCTTTCTTTGTGGTTCAGACCCTTGGGGCAGAGATAGTCATGTGAAGATGTCACAGCTACAACAGAGATGGGAGGTGTGACAAACTCCCTTTCCCACGTGAGTTTGCCATGAGCTCCTGGAGGAGCCTGCATGTTAGCCTCCTGCCCACAAACTATGGGTCCTGCAGGGAAACCTGTAAAAGACTACCGAACTTGACTGACCGTTAGCACTGATTTCATGGAACTATTTTTGGCATAGGACCATGTGCACAGTCAGTCAAAATTATGACTTTCATGAAATTTCCAAACCCCTGAACTGATCTGGGTGATTTTTTTTTGGATATGTTAGTCATCCAGATCGGGGTGATGTAACTTTTGTGGGGTTTTCATGTGTTTTAAAGGTATTTTGTTTGTTTTTTGTGTACCTGGATATAATTGAATTAGCTCAGTTTCTGGAGTTTGTAACTTGTAACTAGTACCCTCTCAGGTCCAGGAGAGGGATTATCATGTTTGTGTGGGAGTGTCAGGGGGGTGCCTAACTGTGTCTGAAATTGTATAAAAGCAGGCCGTCTGGCCAGATTACAACATTCCAGCTTGTACTCCCAGAACTATGTTTTGCCTGGTTACTTGGAGGGGAAAGGGCGAATCACTGTTCCAGTGTGGAGGATTTAATGGGGAAAGTCCTTGTAAGGACTAGAGCTCCCAAGACCGAGTGTCATTCAGTGCCTGGGAGTGGATAGAACGAGTTCCCCATTCGGTTCCAGGAGGAAGAGGTTCTAGTACTCCAGTCAAGCCACAGTGACGACTGAGGTTTATTCCCTGTTCTAGTTAGGAAGCGGTCCTTGGCGGAGGCACCCAGTCAGGGGTACAAGGAGCTCTGTTACAGGAGGTATGGATCCATGGTAATCCATTGTACTTGCAAATGTGTAGATTAGCAGATATTGCAAAAATAAAGTTATTACCCCAAACCTATTACCCTGCAGGCGGCAGGATATCAGTAGGGAAAACCAATGTATATGGGCGAAGTGAAGTGAAGGCGCATGTTGAATTTTTTTCAGGGTTACACACTATTGTGTGAATTTTCAGAATGCAAAGTGAATTAAAATTTAACATATTAGGCCATTTATAAACTGAAGTGATAATTTAAGTGAATCTCAAATTTAAGGTTAAATTATCTGAACTGGAATAACTCTATAGTTCAGCTATTCTTTCAGATTAGCTACTTTGGCCTTACAGTTGAAATTAATAACCTTTTTAGAATTCACGATCATTCACACTATAGTGAACAACCCAATATATGTGGCTATCCTGTGATGAATATAGAAGGCAGATATGGGGGTAACAATGAATATCTAGTAAGTTATTAATTTGCTAGCAATGAGTATACAGTTAGCGGGGTTACAAAAGTCATAACTACATTTAAGACTATAAGCAGTGAAGCCATATGTCAGCAGGATTTTGGATCTATTTTTGTTTTTACATTTATATTTATATTTCAACTTCTAACAAACCAGTAAAAATAATAGGTTTTTAAATTTAATTTAATTATTATTATTTTATTTTTTATATAGCGCCAGCAAATCCCGTAGTGCTGTACAATGGGTGGACTAACAGATATGTAAAACTATATTAAATAAACCAATAAGGTCACATTCTTACGATCGTAAATTATAATGCTGGAGCGGTAACTCTGAAGAGAAGAACGTTATATGGATAATCAGTATGATTAATTAAACAGTAGCCTGCATACTTCCCGCGGGCAGAAAAGATTCAATTGATTAAATGCAGGCTGTGATGACTCTTAATTGACCACAAGGGGGCCCTTCGTGGATTGTTATTTATATGTGCACACTGCACAATGCTTTCCCTCCTAATCAGGTGCACAATTAGAAAACAGCACGTACCAGACTTTTTTAGAATGTGACTACTGTATCAACAGGATCAATACAGGTTTGTGTCATGTACAGGAATGTAAGCTTCTACGGGACTAATCTTGTGCTTCACTTTGTGATAATATTCCAATTTATCTAAAATGCGTCATTGGAGTATGCAGTGAGGAACAATTGATGAGAAAAATAAAAACACAATATACCACATATAAATATTTTAGTAACTTTAAAATATTGCAGTACTAACTTACAGTATATTGCACGAGTTTCTCTTATAAAACAAAAAGAAAAAAATAAAGAAACTTTGAAATGAACTTGAAGAATTTCCCTACGGAATTAAAGGAATCAGGTGAATGTTTTTCAGAAGAAGAAAAAAAACAAAAACATTTGTATGCCACCAAATATTTAAAGGGACAGTCAATTCTAATTTACCCACCGGAACCAGTTGTGGCAATTTTGATTCGGTCAACTACCCAAGGTTTTGTATTGTGTTTTCAATTATTCGATATCCATGAGAGCAAAGTATTTTTGTGTATTTTTTAGGTTTAGGTTAGTTCTGGAAATATTTGGACACCAACACAATTTTCATAATTTTGGCTCTGTACACCACCACAATGGATTTGAAATGAAACAATCAACATACAATTGAAGTGAAAACTTTCAGCTTCAATTCAAGAGGTGGAGCAAAAATATACAATTAGGAATTTAAACCATTTTCAATTCTCCCTTATTTTAGGAGCTCAAATGTAATTGGCCAAATTTTCACAATCATATATAAAATGTAAATTTGTAATACTTTGTCGAGAATCCTTTGCAGGCAATGACTGCTTGAAGTTTGGAAAACATGGACATCACCAAACGCTGGGTTTCCTCCTTCGTGATGTTTTACCAGGACTGCAGCTGTCTTCAGTTGTTGTTTGTCCGTGGGTCTTTCTGCCTTAAATGTTGTCTACAACAAGTGAAATGCATGCTCAATCAGTTTAGATCAGGTGATTGACTCAGCCATTGCAGAATATTCCACTTCTTTGCCCTAAAAAACTCCATCTGTCATTGTCCATCTGTAAAGCGACGTTTAATCAACTTCGCTGAATTTGGCTGATTCTGAGCAAACAATATCTCTCTATACACTTTAGAATTTATCCGGCTACTTTAGTCTTCTGTCACATCATCAGTAAACACTAGTTACCCAGTGCCATTGGAAGCCATGGATGCCAATGCCATCACAGTGCCTCCACTGTGTTTTACAGATGATGTGGTATGCTTTGGATCATGAGCCGTTTCAAACCTTCTCCTTAACTTTTTCTTCCCATCATTACGGTACAGGTTGATCTTAGTTTCATCTGTCCAAAGAATGCTGTTCCAGAACTGGGTTGTTTTCTTTTTTAGATGTCTAAGAAAGTCTAATCTGGCCTATTTTTGAGGCTTATGTATGGTTTGCACCTCCTGGTAAACCATCTGTATTTGCTCTTGCGTAGTCTTCTCTTTATGGTAGTCTTGGATAATGATTTGTCTATCTCCTTGAGAGTGTTCTTCACTTACCTGGATGTTGTGAAGGGGTTTTTCTTTACCATGGAAAGGATCCTACGATCATCCACCACTGTTGTTGTTTGATGGACATCCAGGCCTTTTTGTGCTGTAGAGCTCACCAGTGCATTCTTTTTTTCTCAGAATGTCCCAATCTCTCTCTGATGGATTCTCTTTTTTTGCAGCCCAATGTCCTGTTTTACTTGCATTGCGAGCTCCTTCTTGAGGTTTCACAGCAACTGCTTCCAAATGCAAATGAGACACCTGGAATCAACTCCCGACTTTTTACCTCCTTAATTGGTGTAGAAATAATGAAGAAATAGCCCACACCTGTCTATGAAACAGGAGAGACTGCACCTTAAGCCCATATTAATTATTCAACTGTAACTTGGATTTTTTTTTCTGGTAAACAGACAAAATAACAAAACTTGTGTTACCGTCTAAATATTTTCAGACCTAACTAAATCAGTGGAAGAGGCTCCATCTTACAGGCTGGCTTGTTTTTTTTAATTAAAGGTAAAGCATCAACATTATCGTCACACAGATTTCTTGTTCTGTTAAAAGTGGTTACATCATAAAACATCATTGTGTGACTTGTGGTTCTTGTGGCAAAGCTAGAAGGGCCTTCAGGAATACCAAGATGGCTCTGGTGGGTCTCTATGCACTGTGGTTAGTCTGGCTGCCAACAATTTTTATATACAACATGGTCTTTTGTATTAGACAGTATTTTTGTGCAGCTTATTTGATGGTTTGCATTGAGCATAATAAATCTAAAAGTAAAACATATGTTACTATATGGATGTTTGCCAGGCTTGCCAGCTCATTACTGTGCTTCCGGGACAAGTAAGTCTATGTGATAAAAGGCCTGTTTGCACAGATGTGTGTCTGCAGGGTCTAGCGAATAGTTAAACTCACAGGGAATGTAACGATTTGATTTAGTAAGTTAAGAGCAAAGTGAGACAAGTTAGGCTGGGGCAAGGAAAGGTAGGTCATGAAAACAGCAGGTGGATAGTTGAACTTTGGGGGGGGGATTAAAAGCGCACCTAAGTTAGTTAGTATGTGAGACTTTTAGCAGAACAAATCAATCAGCTGCTTGGGATATAACCGAAGATGATTAATAAGTGATTTGTATGGCAGATTATTCTGAACACAAGGTCTTCTTCATCTTTGGGTCAACATGACAAACTGGAAAATACCAGCCACTGATGTCTGGACTGAAATGACTTAGATTACAGAACCAGTGCCAAAATAAGTCCGTCACTCAACGTGATATGTGAGGAAAAAAATAACCATGCTTACTTTCTGAAACATATTTTACTTTTTTTTTATTTTAATTTTTTTACTGATTTTAAACCATAACACTTGTAACATTTCTACATTAAAACAAATATTCAATGTAGTATTTCTATGGAAAAGTTTGCCACAGTATTTACAATATCTCCTGGACCTTCTGAACCTGGTAACTCGGGATAACAGCGCTCATGGGAATGTAAGTTTGATGAACTCAACACAGATACCAGAAATGTCCACCGCATTCAAACCTAAATAGATGTAGGTGCTTACACTAGGGAATGGAAAGAGCAATGGATTTTTTAGTTTTTTTAGTTTTTCCAAAATGACAGAAATGGACCCAAAGTTAGATGATCCCTATGGAACGGGTTATTGTTTTGGTACTTAGAAGTAACCAATCGTTGGTGCTAATAACAGTCCACATAGAACATTGTATTGCTATAAAGGCAAGCAGGCAGGAAGGCAAATCTCTCCATGGGAAGGAGAGGCTGGTGTGAAGGGAAGGGAGATATCATGAGTGTCACAGCAAGTATTAATGGGGCAGAACCTAAAAGGTATATTAATATGCAATAGATGGATCTTTACTATATAGAGAATTAGAAATATTTAGAGGAGGCAGAGGGGCAAATAGAAAAACATTATAGTATAGTTATATTATCAAGATGCAAATAACTGATATTTTGGATGAGATAGAGAAGGTGGGAAGGATAGAGGACATCCAAGTGATCATATGGAAAGCTTAAAAGCCATCAGATAGGGGCTTTCTGTATCACTGAAGGGGCTCATCAAGACTAAGTGAAGTCTACCAGGATATTGAAAGGCAGGAATGATTGCACAATAAAATATAGGAAGCTCGAATATATGCCAAATTGACTGTGACCACATTGGCTGATCTCCTCCATAATAACTGCAAAAGGAGTAATCAATATAGCTAAGTAACGCTCTAGAATCTCTCCCCGGATAGCAAGAAGAAAGAAAATCTAATATGCTGATTTGCAGTAGTGGTAATACTTTGCTTCCATTCTTTATTAATACTTACTCATTTTCATATTTACAAAAGCTCAAGAGACATCTTAAATTCCTATCCATGTGGTACAGAGGGCTCCCCATTGCCTACATTAAAAAGCTCCTGCTATTCTTGAGACTCTGTATGGCACTGAATGAGGGGGGTAAGAAGATTCTTATATCGGTGGTGGACTGCCCTGGAATAGTACCATAGTAGAGGAAGATTTGCAGATTTTGCAGAGGATCGTCCTCCATTTAAATACACTACACTATTACATGATGATTCATTAAAAAAAAACAAAAAAACCCAAACAATCACAGCCTGATTGCTCTTTGCTACAAAATAATACAATTCCACTTTACTGGCAGCCGAATAGACCAGAGATTCTCAAACCTTACATTTGGTTTCTTTCTGCAGGATAACCCTGCTCCTATAGCCACACCTCCCCTTTACATAAAGCAACTTCCTTATTAGCAGTACTCTAAGTACGTACTCAGATCAGCCAATAAGATGGGTGTGAGCTGAGCTGCTGATATGACTGCGCCCCACAGCCAATAATTGTCATCTTATTATCTGTCCCCTTTTACCTTGGCTTTGGAATTCTAGAGATAATAAGAGGACAGTGATTGACTATGGGGCAAAGTCAAGTCAGCAGCTCAATTTACACTGAACTCTTATTTGCTAAGGAACATTGTGTACCTTCCAATCAGGAAGATGTTTTGTGAAAATGGGAGAGCTTCCTATAGGGGTGGAGTTATGATGCATAGAGCAGTAAAACTTTTTTTTTTTTTTTTTTAACACAACTAAAGAGATTTATATTTGGAGAAAGAAAACTGCATGGATATGAGGCCAAAATGTGTCAAATGCACTTACGTGATGCTTGTTCCTGGAATCTAATGAACAGTGAAAAGGATAGTTTTGAAAGTCAGTGCTGTCATCATTGAATTACAATAACTAAAAATGTATTAAAAATCAGTTTCCTGATCAATGGATCATACTTACAAGTAAATTCTCATTTTACTTCAACAGTAAGTCTGGATGAATAACTACACTTAAAATAATTGCACATTTGAAAAACTTTAATAAAAAAACATACCTTAATATACTTCAATATTTTACATTTGAAGTAAGTAGAAAATGTGTCTTGCTACCTAATCTAATGCTTAATGAATATTTATACAAAGGTAGATAAAAAACGATTTTGAGATCGATCAAAATATGTGCAGTTTCATTACTTCCTGCATTTTTGTTTTAATTGTATTTACCTTACTTATTAGGAAAACAGCCTAACTGCAACTATCGGCTGATAAAAAAGGTTTTGTTACTTAGCGTGAACCGATTATTAAATGGATGAGTACGTTTGCTTTATGCAAATAAAATGAGATGGTGCACGAATGAAGGTCACCATTAGGTCATCTGGGTTGTGATGCATAGTTCGTGAACGAGGTTACAGCTACAAAAGGTTCCACCAACTTTCTAGGACTACAAATATCAGAATTACGTGGACCACAACCACAAGCCAACATCAGCTATAGAGAGCCAGAGTCAGGACATCTCTGATCCATGAACTGAAAGGACTTTAGTAATTGAATATGCAATAGTTTTCCGTGACAGATATAATCTCCTTACTAAGCATCACTTAAAGGGACATTCCAGGCACCCAGACCACTTCTGCCCATTGGAGTGGTCTGGGTGCCAACTCCCACTACCCTTAACACTGCAGCTGTAAGTATTGCAGTTTTCATAAACTGCAATAATTACATTGCAGGGTTAACTCCTTCTCTAGTGGCTGTCTACTCGACAGCCACTAGAGGGCACTTCCTGGTTTCTAGCACAGGTTTTCTGTGCTAGAGCGTCGCTGGACGTCCTCACGCTATGTGAGGACCTCCAGCGTCGCTCAATTCCCCATAGGAAAGCATTTTCAATGGAGAGATCTAATGCGTGTGTGGTATTGCCGGCGGCAGAGGAGCGTAGGCGGACCCGAAACCACCACCGAGGGACATCAGCAGTGGTCTCAGGTAAGTCACTGAAGGGGTTTTCACCCCTTCAACAACATGGGATGGGTGGTGGGAGGGAGAGGGGACCTGCAATGCCAGGAAAACAATTTGTTTTCCTGGCACTGGAGTGTCCCTTTAATAGTCATTCTTAGCTTCTGCTAAAATTATTTCTTATAAATTTCTGTGATAATATTTCAAATTATCATAGGTTTTCTGCCTATTTTTTTTATCAACATTTATACCTATACTGATTATTCATCTTGCTGTGTTCATTTTATTAACATTATTATATTATATATTTTTAATAATTTTTGTATCCACCGTATGAGGCCCTTTACTTATTGTTCCACATTTATGGGAATCCCATGATAGATGTATATTTGCACATAAATGTCATATACTTGTGATATTATGTCTTGGTCAATTCCAGGTTGTATCCTGAACTCCTAGTGAAGCTTTAACTTGCATTAAAGGTTAAGTTAATTATATCTGATTCAAGTTATACGACCAAACTCAGTTAATGACATTAAAGCTGGATTCTGTCAGTCACAAAAGTGTCCCAAAAAAAAAAGTCATCCACCCCACATCTGTCACACTCCCAAATCTTCTAAAGGTTTTCCTCGAAAAGACCTCCGGTAAATAACACAGATGCAAAAACACATGGGCACTTAAATGTTTGCTGGGGATATGTCAATAAGGAATAATCTTTGTTGAGGTTGTTGAAAGTACTAGTCTCAAAAACTGGGGTTTTGCACCACAACCACTTCTGTAAATTAAGTGCTTTAATAAGTTTTCAGTAGGTTCCCCAAGTTTAAAAGATGAGCATTTGTTTTTGTTTTTGTGGTTACAGATTAATAAATGTTACATTTATACTGAGAGCTACTACAACTAAACACTCAAACTCGAACAAAGGAAAGCTAATTGCACGTGGGACCCACTGCGAGGTTATCACGGTTTACGTATATGCACTAATTAACTGCTAATCATATCCTCAGTCCATATGCCTCAATACTAATTTTGTTCTAAAGGGACACCTCCTGTAGGCAATCTTAATATACATTACAAAGTGAATTTGGAAGGACCCAGAGGGGTGCAGATTACCAACTGTACTGGTGTCTATCAGCTTAGGAGAGCTCCTTAGGGTTTCCTGACCTTATCAGTGTCTTGTCTGATGTGTGAGATTAGGAACTGAATATACAGTTTATAAGATTGTGTAGAAATACATTTATAGTCACATCCGTCCATAAGGCCAAGGAAGCATTTGATAATTTTTTTTATTTCTTAACACACCATGCAAGATTTGTAGCCAGAGAGGCAGAATATCCATGTAATAGAACTGACCCAATATTAGTTCCACAATATCGATGTAGTATTATTTGCACAGAAACTGTGTAATTGACTTAAATTGACTTAGATTATCTTGTATTTTATTATAGCAATTTTATTTCACAGATTTTGTTCCTTTCACTGGCAACTGGAAATCTTTTTGAATGCCATCAGAACTATTCAAACTGCACAAGGAAAAAAAAAAAAACCTTTTATATTAAAAAAGTGTTTGGGTTCTAACCAAATTGCAATGTGTTATATACTTAAAATGGCATCATTACAAATATTATATCATACAATATAGTGGTAATGGAAACAATTCAAGTAAAATGACAATTATACAAAATCTAAGAGGTAATCTAACCCAGAAAAGAGAAAAGGGGGTGAAAGGAGAATATAAGGAAACAGAAAGAGAATTGGTTGGGAATAGGAGAACGAGTACACAACTAGGCTGATTAGGCAGAAAGGTTCACAGAGACAGCATCCTCTAGCCATGCATTCCATATCATAGCAGTTAGTTTATCTGTCAGAATGTTGTATAGGACTCCGTGCCGTTGCAGAGGTTTTTGGCTACACAGGCGAAGATATATTTTGCAACCATCCCCCCACCCCCCACCAATGCATCCGTGTTTCTCTTTTAAACTACTTACTCCCAATTAGCCCCTTTTGTGTTTCTTATCCCCTCTTTTTAATGTCTTACCCCCTTTAGTGTATCATATCTCCCTTTTGCTATTTTGTGTCCCCCCCCCAACACTCCCCAACCCAATTCAGGACATTATCAATTGTATTTCAGATTTGGATTTTGAATTTGCAGGGCCCATGTAACATACATTCCAAAGTACTGACATTCCGAAAAAACACGAATCATCCTATAGGTTTAATACAGTGTGGAACAGCTTAAAACAGCCATTTGCACATACTCAACAGGAGACACCCAGGGTCTGCTTACCCCGCTATAGCATATCCATCCTTTATTTTTCAGGGCTGGGTTTTATATTAGAGGTATTTTATAAAAGAAATGTTGTGTCACAATTCGGAAATCTCCAGATCATTGTAGGACCAGTTACATCTTCTAACAAAATTGCTTTATACACCTGTAGCTGTTATTGCAAACAGGTACATTTCCTTTCAGGGTTTGTCTTTTAATGAATTAAGAAAGCACTGTGTGTTGCAATCTGCATTATGAATATTGCAACATTTTTGTAGCTGGTCTTTATTTTACGTATTACAAAGTATGACTCTCACCCAGTCTCCATTCTTTCAATAAATGATTGAAAACTCACTTCTTAAGGAAATCTTATCAATTACACTGTTAACAGGTTTCTTTCCCCACACCTTGATTCCTCTCCTGTAATTGTCAAAAATAACCTACTGAGTCCTCAGTGAATATTTTTCTAGCAATCGAATCTTCAACCCCTACCTTTACCCTTCGTGTCACTATACCCCACTCCCTCTGTTCCCTGTGAGTCCAACTTGACTGGTAACAATTATGTGTATGTTAGTCCACCCATTTTAGAGCACTATGGGATTTGCTGGCGCTTTATAAATAATAAAATCATAATAATAATATTGCATGCCTTACAGATTACACATGTGCAGTTGGAAGGTCTCTTCACCTTGCAACATCCTGACAGGGGGAGAAGAGAGGTTATCTGATCAGTTTAATCATGCAGAGCAGGCATCAGTGTTTGGTTTCTCAGTCCTGCTTCTGCATAATGATACCCTGTGTGATGGTAGTAATCTGTTTCACCGTCTAGTATTCATTTTCCCAATAGCAGAGTATGGCCTAGAATCCACAGGAATGGTATCGCTAAATAATCCACACATGAGCCAAAGCTTAATGCTGGAACAAGACTGATTTACTGGAAGCAACAGGCATTCAATTTATACAGTGCAAGCTCCTCCTCTGGGCCAGGTTAGATAATTGAGTTTCAGCAAATTACTAAACTCAATTATCTGCTGGCCAGAAACCGTAACAATTTTCAACATTTTTGGAAATATACTTTCTACATGACATATGAATATAAAAACCACATCCCTGGGTAGCTGGGGATACTGGGAGTAACATATCCAAATTGCACGAAAATCCGTTTGGTAGTTTCCGTGTTGCATCGTGTGGTAGTTTGACAAGCTCGCCATGTGGTCATATCCGATTTAGAGTTCCATGAAATTGGTAGCAAGAGCCGGTCTCCGTTCGTGCAGAATTACACGTAAACCACCATAGTTATACTGCATCTGGTTACATGAGAATGCTCCCCTCGTTCGGTTGATTGGAACTCCCGAACGCCGGTCTGATACTGCGAGTGGAAATAGGTCAGACGGGACTTCCATAAAGACCGAGTGTTCGTGTGATTGCAAGTCCCGCTGGCCGCGTTCGGGAGATTTAAGATGGCCGCCATCCTTTGTTCTCGCCACGTGTTCGTAGCCGAATGGCGGCCACCTAGGAGCACTCAATTACTTTGCGGTTTTCGTGTGGTTACTTGATGTTCTAAGTTCTGATTGCTACCCAGGGTGGTCTCCGTTCGGGAGAACGAATAAATGTCCCGAACAAATAAATAAAATTAATATTTCAAAGTCACTTAAATAGCCGGGAGAGGAAATAACCTGAATGGATACAGGTAAATACAGGGAAATCCTTTATACCCTGTTTATAGCATTAGTAGACTGGTCGAAGATGGAGATGGGCAGGGAAAAGAGGAGGTTGAAGAAACTCTTTTTTATGAGAGGCGTGCCCAACGATGCAATCTGATTATGTTTATAGTAAGTTTATACACTTTTATTACAGACTTTTCAGAGTTTTTCTTGCTGTATTTTGGTCTGTGTATTTGTTTAAAGTGTTTGCTTGCTGGTTTTAAAAAATAATTCTTACGTGATAATTCTTGAGTGATGCATGCAGAAATAGGAATATGCGTTTACTGACATAATGGAATATAATATATTTTAATATAATTTATGGTACATCATATAATATGTGGTTGATTAACATATCATTTCATGGCAGTTCAGCAATTTTCTCACCTGGAGGTATTTTCAAGTATGGCTTTCACCTCCTGAGCTTGCTCTTTTCCAAAGTATACAACAGTGAGATGAATTCTCCCATCCTGGTTTATACAGACTTCTCTGAAAGGAAAAGGCAAAGAATTACATTTCTATCCTGCAACTGTGTCAGCTGTGACTTATAAACAAACATCAATGAATACAAGATGCAGCAGTTCCCACTAAAAAAAAAAAAAGTCTTTATGACTGCACCTGCACGTGATATGTATGAAAAAAAGAGTGTTTCGACTCTAGAACAATTCATTCCTATGTGACAATAGTACAACATGCAAGTTATCAAACTTGTGCACTGCCAAAAAAAAAATTTCATTCGGCAACTACATTTCACAGACGCGACAGATTGTCCATGCGAACGATTCTGGAAAAACTATTTGGATGAACCGAGAGGGTGCAAATGTTAGTATATCCCTGTACTTCTAAATATACAAACAATTATATGTATACGTATATTTTTTGTTTGTTTGTTTTTTGGATGGTACAATACATTATTAACCAATATATACATTAAATAAATACATTCTTTGTATGACATGATATCACAGGAACTTTCTGTTCGCTCTCTATATGTTCAAAATACATTCATATTTATTATGTCACAAATATTCCATTATTCACTTTATAATGTACCATTTTTAAATGTAAATAAATATATACACATACAAAAAAAAGATATAAGAATAAAAAATAAATAAAAGAAAGAAAGGTAAAAAAGAAAATGACCAGGGTTAAGGATCAGGTAGTTCTAATGATGTAAACTAAACTATATATATATATATATATATATTATGCAGTACAGTTATAGGCTCGTGTTTTCACCCTTTAATGAAGCCAAGTTTCAAATTCAGTCCACATTCGGTCAAAACGCTCAATTTTGAGCGTTCTGTTACTTTTGAGCATCTGGCTGACCCCTGGTTGATTTCTTTATTTATCTGATTTCTTTCTATTTTTATTTGACATAATGGCTATCACCTAAACATCATTCAGCTCCCTTTTTTATTTTTTTTTGGCTCCACGGATGGTATCCCAAGTCATTTGTTAGGTGATATGTCCATATGGTCCTTCAGAGTTTCAGAATTTAGATGACCCGCCGATCAACCAAAATTCATACGAATTGCAATTTGCTAAACGTTCCCCATAAAAATGCATTGATTCAAAGCATCTCTAACAGGAGATGCTGATTGGCACAGCGCTGCATTTTGCCAACCACAATAGCCTCCTAATGCTTTCCTATGGGAAAGAATTGGATTGGCTGAGATCATCAATATCATCAAGGTTCTGCAGTTGTGTAACAAAAAATCAAAGGAAGGGTGCTGATACTTTGAGATACACTGCTGCCATAGCAACACAAAATGTTTGCTAAATATTATTTGTTGTTGTTATGGGTGGCACATTCTGTAAAAAAAAAAAAAAAAGATTTAAAAAAATCCAGATATTTAAGGGTCAGTCTAAGTATCAAAAACACTTTGTTTAGTTGAGAGTGGTCTATAGCTAGTATGAGTGGGCCAAAGCAGTAGTAGTTTGTAAAAACTACTGATTCAAAAACTGTCCATCTGAAGTATTTCAACTTTGTCCCTATATGTGCAAATATCATGCTGCACACACAATACAGAAGGTGATTCCCAGAGAGACAACTAAGCCATGTATTGTGCATGCGCAGTCCACCAATCTAAAATCTAAGTTCACAAAACTGTAAACTGGGCAATAGATACAATGATAGGATCTGGGGTATGTGATGACTGACCCAGCTCTTTGAGGATAAAGTCCTTAATCCCTGCTGGATAGGGAATTATGGGATAAGATCAGTCCCTATATACCACAATGAGTCACTCCTGGATAGAATGGTGTGTGAGGAATCTGCCTGTAGATGCAGACAGACCTCACTAAACAGTGCTCTGAGCAATACATTAAAAAGCTATGTAACTTTATAAATATATTTGCCAATACTTTTGTTTAATGCATTACCTATATAAGATTTTTTTTTAAATTGCTTTACACTTAGAATAGAAAATCTTTTTAACAAATAATTACTATATTGTGTATTTAAGTAGTAGCTTACTAGTCACATGGATAGTTTTTTAGTAAATTTTATAACTGCACAAAAATAATCTTAAATGACAACTGATTTGGAATGTTGGCTAATCGCAAGTTAAAAACACACAATATGTTCTTTTAACGCACTATTCTGTGCACGTGATAATTGCCAAACGCTGTCCTTATTCACTGTTTTTCAGAAGAGCACAATTTTACTTGTCATATTGATTATTGGTGATAAAAAAAACCCACAAATAAGTTAAATCCGTTATTGCGAGATCTTTTTCGACAGTTTATTTATGCAACTATTTTATATTTATTTTCAGCTCGTTAGTAGCAGCTTCCTTTTGTGCCCAAAACCACAAAGGAGGAAATAATAAAAGCACAGAACATTCAATATGTAACTATAAACATTCAATAACATTGATGCAACCAGCACATTGCTGGAAATTCTATCTGAACAATTAAAGATAAATATTCAAAATTGTTCAGATACCTTTCAAGCAACTGCTTGAATACTTCATAAATACCCTTAGACGTGCAGAGAGACAATTATATGAGCCATAACATAATTCACAATAGACTTAAAGGGACACTATAGGGATCAAAACAACTTTAGCTTAAAGGGACACTATAGTCACCAGAACAACTACAGCTTATTGAATTTGTTCTGTTGAGTAGAATCATTGCCTTCTGGCTTTTTGCTGTAAACACTGTCTTTTCAGAGAAAATGCAGTGTTTACATTACAGCCTAGTGATAACTTCACTGGCCACTCCTCAGATGGATGTTAGAGATCCTTCCTGCGTCATGGCTGCCTAAAATGCATCCAAACATTCAGTATCTCCTCCCTCTGCATGCAGACACTGAACGTTCCTCATAGAGATTCATTGATTCAATTTATTGCCTAATGGGCAAGGGCTGTGTTTGAATCATGCTGGCTCTGCCCCTGATCTGCCTCTTTGTCAGTCTCAGCCACTCCTATGGGAAAGCATTGTGATTGGATCAGGCTACCACTTCTGCTGATGTCAGCAGGCAATGGGCAGGTCTAAAGGAAACAGGGACTAAGTAAGCAGCTGCAGACTTGAATACAAGTAAGATTTTACTATATTTAGGGGCATGAGGGGACAAGGGTGGCTAGATGGTGGTTTTAACCCTATGGGGTCAGATTTGTGTTCCTGACCCTATAGTGTTCCTTTAATAAAGCAGTTTGGTGGATAGAACATGCCACTGCAGTCTTACTGCTCAATTTTCTACCATTTAGGAGTTAAATCATTTTTGTTTCTGCCCATACAGCCCTAGCCACACATCCTCTGGCTGGGATTGACACAACTTGCATGAAAAAAAACAACATGGTTAAATTTTTACTGCAATGTCAACTTGCTTTATACATTTGCTTGTTTTTTTGTTATACGTTTTTATCTCCTGCTCTGTGAATTGAACTTTAATCATACACAGGAGGCTCCTGTGGGGTCTGGAAGACTATTAACAGAACAGGAGATCATAAATTTTAAATTAAGCAGACTTTGCAGTAAAAGAAGCGTAAATATTAGATCTCACTTTACAGGAAGTGCTTAAGAAGGTTGTGCAAGTCATATGCAGGGAGGTGTGATTAGGGCTGCATAAACAAAGTAAGTTAACTCCTAAATGACAGAGAATTGAGCAGTGAGACTGCAGTGGCATGATCTTGCCACCAAAACCACAGCATTAAGCTAAAGTTCATTTTGCTTGCCTATATTGTCCATTGAAAGAAGATAAAACATTTTTTTTAAATGACAGCAAATTCTGAAAGTTTCCATGTAAGTCAAGCAACGTGTGAGTGTGCAGTTAGATAATTCTCTCTTCTAATTAATAATCTGCAAACACCTTATTGAATCTCCTCTGTAAATTAGCTTTCCTTCTTTTATTTCTTCTTTGTTGATTTATTATTCATAGAACATCTGGGATGCTGCATTTAATTAATATATTCCTACATACAGATAAAAAAGATGTAATACAAATGATCTGTTCTTTCTGGACTTTTGCTTATAAATTGTTTGGCAGCTCATACTTGGCTTAAGAACATTTTAATTAAAGCAAAACCTTCTATCTATTCTGGCTCGGAATGCGTTGAGTGAGACTGGGTGCAATTCGTAACGTTCTGCAGTGCTAATCTGTGCCTTGCCATGAGTCGCCAATGTCTCTTGCTGTTGATAAATTTAATTTATCTGCCGGTTGCTATTCCCAAAAAGCGAAAATATAAAGATGAGTTATGACATTCTGTTTTAAAGTGCTGACTCCACTGCATTTTCTTTTCAAGTAGACTAAATGCTGTACAGGTGACAAATTAAATTAGCGGAAGCTATTTATTTATATAGCAAAAAAAGGGACAAGGTCAGTATATGGAAATTCTACTCTAATGTCATTTTAACACTCTGACTGCTTGAATTTTGTGCACACTGGGAGCCAAATCAGTTTTAAGCATGATTTTATCTCTTTAAATTTAAAGGACCACTCTAGGCACCCAGACCACTTCAGCTTAATGAAGTGGTCTGGGTGCCAGGTCCAGCTAGGGTTAACCCATTTTTTCATAAACATAGCAGTTTCAGAGAAACTGCTATGTTTATGAATGGGTTAAGCCTTCCCCCTAATCCTCTAGTGGCTGTCTCATTGACAGCCACTAGAGGCGCTTGCGTGCTTCTCACTGTGATTTCCACAGTGAGAGCACGCAAGCGTCCATAGGAAAGCATTGTAAATGCTTTCCTATGCGACGGGCTGAATGCGCGCGCAGCTCTTGCCGCGCGTGCGCATTCAGCCCAGGAGGAGGAACGGAGGAGGAGAGGAGGCTCCCCGCCCAGCGCTGGAAAAAGGTAAGTTTTAACCCTTTTCCCCTTTCCAGAGCCGGGCGGGAGGGGGACCCTGAGGGTGGGGGCACCCTCAGGGCACTATAGTGCCAGGAAAACGAGTATGTTTTCCTGGCACTATAGTGGTCCTTTAACGGGGCACTCTGAGCACCAAATCAGCCTTGATAGGACTTTGCCAAAATAATGTTTTTGCACACTCAATTTTAGAGTTTTTTGCAGAAGAATATATTTTAGCATTCTGATCCCCCAAAGGCACACCTGACCAAAACTGGTCAAAAATTTTGTCTAGTGGGAGTCATACTGCTTGTGGCATAGGAAAAAAATAAAAATAAATAAAAACGGCCTTTAAATCAACGCATGCAGATTTGTGGTTACTGGAGCAACACCTTGGCAAGGCCCGATCATTCAACATCCGAAAAGCTACATTTTTTGCAGTTTGCAACAAGGAAATTGAAATACGGAGAGATAAATCACAGAAATACAGATTTATTGTATTCTGTAATCAGCAAGCTCTCCATCTGATTCCATCAAACTGAACTCAACTCACTTACTATAAATCAGATTTTCTCTTTGCTACATATGTCCTTGTCAATGTAAATCTCAATATCAGAGGCCTCTAAGAAGCAGACACTGCACTTAGGAGAATGGAAAACACCTCTGGCTAGGGACGTATATGCTGCAAGCACACTCCAGGAGAGTATTAAAACCAATGCACATCAATTTATAGTTTTTTGTTAGTGTATCCACTTAAAGGTTCATCACTAATTCCAATGAGAGATATTCTTAAAATACTTTAACTGGATTTGTATGTTGTGTCTGTCATGATTATTCTGCAAATTTTTCCCAGTCCCAACATCCCTTATCGCTAGCTGGATATAATACGTAGTGTCTGAGCACACTAGGTCAAGATTTGTAGACATATTTGGGAAGTAAGTCTGACTCTCTGTATATACTCCCCTCAGATATGCTTAGTCTTCTCTAACATGATTCCTGATGTCACCCATTGGCTTTGTATTGGGCCATCAGATCCTTGACACCCAAATGGATAAGCCTTCGTATTCCAAAATACATAATGCAGTAATCAAGTGATAAAACGTATTAGATTGGTGATGGTCTTACCATATGAGCACCCAGACAGGTGGGTTCTCCTCCCATTATGCAAACAAATTTGATGATAACAACAGGACCAAATGCAGGACGGATGATCCAAACTCGATCGTACAGCCTTAAAAGTCATCCTTTATTAAAAAGCAAAATCACATCAGATAAGAGACAGTGTCTCCCCCTGCGTTACTGTCATATTTGTAGACTTGCCTATTGTCATGTCATCTATGTCTGTCACTGGCTGATGGTGTCAGAGGGGGCAGTTGGGTATATTTAAAGTGGTTGTTGCTTCCCAAAATACTGCATTTATAGATTTATGGTGCTAAACATGACATGGCCATGACGTCACACTGGGTCAGGGATTGAGGGCATCGGGTTAGATGATTCATACCTTGCCTTAGGTCATTCAGAGGGGCTATTGAAGTAAAGCAATGCTGTTTTTACTCTTAAAAAGGTAATTTATTCCCTGTCAGGTTTGCGGAGAATAATAGAGACACTTCTAAGACGAAACCACCAACGTTATGCATGTTATTACTAACCCTAATGATGGCTGATAGCCAGAACAAATAGCTCCAAAGAAGATTCTAGACTGGTCTAAGACAAAGATGTCCACCTTTATATTGTGGTTGCAGACTGATTACCAGCATAACTTTACAGACATGGAAATAGGTGTCCCGAAGTCAGTTCAGTGTGCTCAACAGACTTTTATAAAAGATGGAACTTACAAAGAATAAATAAAAATAGGAGGGAAAGGATGTGTGGGAATCAAACTCTGTTGACACCAAGTTGGCAGTTAGCCTCATGTTTGACTTCAGAGAATTATGGTTCCTTGGCGGATTTATTGTTTACTTTGGCAGATGAAGTCTATCAGTTATTTAAAGAAATGGTGTCATGAAGGAAGGTCAGAGAAATTTAACTGGAGAAACTATAAATCGAGAAAGAAAAAGAAAGTTTTCCCTGTACATACAGGTTTTCTGGACACTATCAGGAGAAAGGGAAACTTTACAGAAGCAAGATCTTTATTTTTTTTTTTTAATCCTTTAATAAAATTTTTTTTTCTTTTCAGGAAGGTGATAAGCGAATAGATGAAATCCCTAAAGTAGATTTCCAAGCTCAACGACTGAGAGGAAAGTTACAATAATTTTCTTGGGAGACTCGGCAAACCTCAACAATCCAATGGACAAGAAACCAATTCAGGGTAAACCTGAGACTATTGTACAGAAACATTGTCAAAAGAGCCTGCAGATCAGATCAGGCTAGACGCACTTGCTTAATGCTGATGGCACTCACTCAGAGCCTTGCATTCATTCTTGTAGGGTTGCGGACATCAGCTGTTAATGTAAGTGGCGTCACTGGCATGACCATTTAGGCCTCCCCCCGCCCCATCCTGATTTCATATCTCCTAATGTTGGGATATTGCTAATCTTCGCTAGTATCGGCATCAGTGCAGCCTACCTCCAAGTAAAGATTGCATATAATTTCTTCTATTCTATTGTATTGTAAAGGTGACCTTACAGAAGAATAGGAATATATAATAAGAAGATACACAGATACAAAAGCAGTACAGGTATTGGTGTTGTCCTGGTCACGAAGTCATGCTGGGGTGATCTGTCTGTGAAGGAAAATCTAGTAGTAAATACTGGTACTTTTACCAAAGAACAATACATTTGTGTACAGCGAATGTACAGAAGTTTGTTTTCATGAGAATGACTTTGTATGCCCCCCAATATTTCACTTTGTTAAAGCCATCCAGAGATTGCTAATAATATCCTTTCCATTCTCACTTCTAACCAATGCATTTTATTGCCTCTGCACCATAAGGTTCACCTCATACGGAGTCAGCAGAAAGGGTCACATTCCAAAACTCACTAGTGAACTTCCCAAGTAGTGCTTCCAGGCTCTTGCTAAATAATAGGCAGAAAGAGCCAAATATGAGAGGAACCCCTACGTGTCTGTACAATTACTCTTCGTCCTCTCTTAAAAATAATTTCTATCTTACACTCATCTATTATATCTTTCATTTGAGCTGGTCTATTTGAATAAAATTCCTTTTGATCGTAGATCCAACTAATTCTGATGATTTAGGAGACCATTAATTCAGAGAATCAAAGATACTTATCATTCAATACAATTACTTAGGCATCTGATTGGTCAATATGCATTCTGCAGCATAACAATGACCCCCAAACAAACATTCAAAGTCTTGAAGAACTACCTTGAGCATGAAGAAGAAAAGGGAGCCCCCACCCCACCACAGGTCTTTGATCTCAACATCATCGAGTCTGAGATCACATTAAGGGACAGAAGCAACTAAGACTGTTTAAATCCACAGAAAAGTGGTGGTTACGTCTGCAAGAGTTTTGGAACAACCAACCTGCTGAGTTCCTTAACTGTGTGCAATGTTCCTAGAAAATATAATGTGGTTTCTAATGCAAAGGAAGAAGACATCAATTATTGATTTGATTTAGATTTTTTTTTCTATTCACTAACTTTTCATTTTGTTAATTAAGAACAAAAACTATTCTAATTTCTATTTTTGAAAGCATTCTTAATTCACAGCATAGTTTAAGAGCTGCCTGTAAAGGTTTCACATTAGTATTTTTTATATATATAAAAAAAATAATAGCACTGCTGTTGATTTTATTTTCCTTTCTAGTCTGGCAGACCGTGCAATAATTATAATATGTCCTGACATCATCTATTGAAAGTTCCACAAGAGAATTGGTCAACCATTAAAGTGACCTGACTTGTCTAATGCTGGATGTCCGAGAACTCGATACAAAGCACATCTGGGATCCAGCAGGAATTGCAGGAGTAGCACTGCTACTTAGGACTCACCAAGCCTTCTCTATATTTCAGGAAAGGAAAGGTCATCAGCGAAAGCAGCTGATTAACCAATTTTATGTTTGTAGAGAAAAACTGGCATTCCAAAAATAGTTACTGATATTCTTTGTAGAAATCATGACATAAAACACAGCTGTCAATGTCATATTCAAGGTCACTAAAAATAAAACAAGTTTATTTATATGTAAAATACATTAATTCTAAAAATGTTTATACATATATGTAAATTGCAAAGAAATGCCACAGCAAGTGCTTACTAAAATACAAGCTGAAATGTATTGGAAACAAAATCAAACAGGGTGGAAAAAAAAGACAAAGAAGAAAAAGGTTACTACGCGTTTTGGGCCTCCAGCTTGGATTTTAGTGAGCGCTTGCAGTGGAGCGTCCTCACCTCACGTCTCTTCTATGATCGGGTAAGTGGAGCTTTTTTTTTTTTACTCTGAAGTTTTTTGGGGGTAGGGAGTGAGTGGTTTATGCTCTTATTTTTTGGGCAGTATATATGTTATGTGTAAAATTTCTAAACATATATCGAACCAATAACCATTTTTATAAACAATTTCTTTTATGACATATGAAATACTATTGTTATGGGCCATGGACTGACTTTTGTTGCCCAACCCTGAGAAGGCTTACTTGTCTGTAGCAAAGCCTAATGGTACCCAAATTTTTGTTCTGCAACACTTTTAACACATTTAAAGGACCACTATAGGCACCCAGACCACTTAAGCCCGCATGTGCATTTGGCTCCATTCGGGAGCTAATGTTGGCAGGGAGAGGAGAGGTCACAAGCGCCGAGGGAGACCGGCGCTGGATTAAGGTAAGGGCTGAAGGGGTTTTAACCCCTTCAGCCCAGTGGGAGGGGGGACTTAATAACCATATAGTGCCAGGAAAACAGGTTTGTTTTCCTGGCACTATAGCATACCTTTAACAATTTGTTTTAGATTTTTCCCCAATTTTTTCCAACTAGTAAAATGTAGAGAATATAGCGTTTAACTAATATTCTCAGGTTTTCTACAATAATGCTGGGAGTGACCACATTTATCCTGGCATTCAACAGACGGTACTATGTTTTTCCGAACTGTTGGCTTGTCATAAAGTTCAGCAATGTTCTGTTCTCTATTACACTATAACATCACTATAAACCACAAGTCAGATCTCTCAACAAACATTGTCATCTTCCAAGATTTATGTGGTTATGCCAGGAACTACAATCAGGAGAATTGACGGTAAAGGCCTCAGCAGTAGCCGAACACAGGAAAAGACAGCTGTGTTAAACATTAACTGTTTCAAAACAAATAAGCTAGGAAAAGGTTAACCTTACTGTAAAGCATACAAGGCTGAAGTGGCTCCCACGGACATAGAATATATAAAAAGACTCTGCTGTATTGATCTTAAAGGGACCAAGTGGGAACATCCACATTTTATTACAACAGTATATATATATAATGCATTAAAATAAACATTGCGAAAAGACTCACATTAAAAAATACACAAATATAAAATGTTCCTGCAACTGCTGAATAATGTACAGGAAAGCATCAGCAGCAGGGAATGAAAGAGGCTCTGCCAATCAGGAGCTTCATATTCTGGTGTGCGGGAATTATATTAAAGGAACTACTGTGACATGGGTGAAGTATATGGTGGAGCACTTAGTGATAAAAATATATTGTTTAAAAATCCTTTTCAAGTTTGTGTAAATTTATATTTAAAGTGCCAGTTTAATAAGGTGAAACTTATTAAATTATTATACCAAACAATACATATACAGAGTGCATAATTTTATACATTAATCCCTTTAAAATTCCAGTAAAAGTGCATAAAATTATTATTTTTTACTTATACAAATATATATTTATAAGAGCCTTATAAAATGCACAAATCTATTCCCATTGCACCTGTGACATGGCTTAAATATTTAAGAAAATTAAAAAAATGTAAGAAAACTTTTTGTCTGCCTTTCATTGTGACATCAACATGATTCATAGTCTACAAATGAATTACAGCTTACTACACGGTTATGTCACAATGCTGGAGGCTAAGAATTTCAGATCCCTTTTCTTTTTTTCTTTCGTGCAGCTATCTGCGCAAATGTCCCCTAGTTAACTCTTCTTTCATGTTACTAAATACAAAGCTGTTTTTTTTTGTGAGGGGGCAAGGCCAACTTTGTTTGGCATTATATGACTTCCTTTTGCAGGACCCTGCCAGTACTGAATAGGACTTTTTCTAGGGCACTAGGTTTTAATTGTGCATTAGGGTGCTTTAGCAGGTTATGAAAGAGTAAAGCGGCCAACCAGTGTATCATCGAGCGATTATCCTTGCGCCATATATAAAACCGACCTCTATTTGAGAAGCTACACATTTCATATATGGTTACACCTTACACTTAAATGGAAAGAAAGCTACAAGTTTTCATGTCTTGCCTTTTAGAAGGAAACAGACAGACCTTTTTCCTTTACCTATGGAACCATGACAATTGTCAGGAAACATTCAAAACAGCAAAAGAAAATGTATATTGTCATATTTTCTGCAGATGCCTGGAATGCTTCCTTTAATATAAAATACATTTTGTTACATGTATAACACACACACACAAACTCTCTCTCACTTATATTCTGCTCTTGGCATGCTCGTCTTAAATCCATAGACAGTAATGTATTCTAACCTGAAATTCTGCATGAACTGCTGAAACTTGTCTGCTCTTTTCGCCAAAGGGACAATGATATTAACAAGGATGTTGGCCATGTTGAGCTTCTCATTCTTGACTTTCATGACAGGTCCGAATGGTCGGAACAGTAGAAGACGTTTGAATTCTTGCACTCTGTCTCCTTTGAAGGTTAATTCATACAAGGTGCCTTTATCTCGCTCTGTCCTGTAAATGCCTGAATTAAAAAAAAAAAAAAAAGTGCAGTAATATTAGAAGACATCTAAGGACCACAGTTTATTTAAAGGGATAGGAGCACCTCATTAAAAATTATTACAGCATGGCAGTTCTGTACTATACACTGTGAAACATTGTGTGTATTTGTTCTTGAGGTTATCAGTTTCTTTATTTAACTGCCCACTAAAAGCCATCACCAGATAGAATAAGATACGAAGTAAAAATGACAAATTCCAAAAAATAAAATAAAATAAGAAAGACGTCCGGCGTTGCGGTAACCCTCACCTCAAAAGGTCAATTTGCGGTTTCATTGGGACGCTTGGGAAAATTTCACCTTTAGACATTATATTGGGTTATATTACTTTCTGTATTATATTGACAGGAACAAATCAACTATTTTACTATTTTATTATTATGCATTTCGATATTACCCTACCCCTTGATTTAAAATTTTGTTCACCTTCCCTTCTTATTTCTACTTATGTTTCTATTTTTAAATGTTGCTTTCTTTATGTACCAAATTAATGAGAAATGTTTTTCCAAACACTGTTCAATAAAAATAGATTGAAGAAAAAAAAAGACGTATATGCAAAACAGAACTATATATGCCATATTATAGATAACTAATTTGACTTGAAAATAAAACTTGATTTTACCACAGATTGAGTGGACTTCATCCCCTTCTACATTCATAAAAACAAACAGAGATATAGAGGTAAAAAGATACCCTCCTCTGATTTTGCCTCTTTAGCAGATATTTTGCAGCCAATCCTAGTGCTCCATTGTTTTCAATAGGAGTACTAAGCACAGTACTTGAATTATAAAGTTCAGCTGGCATTGCTGCTATTACTTGCGAAACAGCTATGGTTTTTCATGAATGAAACTACTTCACCAGCTCTTTCATACAAAGCTCAGAGTGAGATAATCTAAGTTTCCTAGATTTGAGATGGGTATATGTTTCCCCCATGACAGCTATGTGGGGGAAGTGGCATACACTTGCAGAGATTTTGCAAATCATTCCATTTATAAAGAATAGGATAAAGAGAGTCAATGAGAGAGATCATTATTCTGTTACCTGTGCAAGGAACGCACTTAGTTATGGTGTTTCGTACTGTAGCTTTAATTAATTATATCCCTAATTCACAACTTCATCAATATGCTTTACCTTTTACTTCACTTCATACCGTTTTCTCAACCGTGGACATATGTAAATCCTAATATACAGCAATTGCATTTCTAAAGGAAGCCTAACAGCAGTTCATAACAGGAAATTGGTTTGTCGAAGGTTTTATATAGCGTGAACATCTGTACAGGTCTCCTCATTGTAGAACATTCTGAAGCCACATCTTATGGGTAATAAATTCTTTACATCACCCTTAATCCCACCACTCTCAACTGACATGCCAACAGATTAATTTATAAAATTGGTTTTGCAAAGTAGAAAAAAATTAAACACATCCTGAAAAAGGTAACACTTTAAATGAAAGGATTATAGAAATTAACTCTAAAAAAAATGTAGTTAGGCTGAACCCCGTTTATTGGTAATCTACAAAAACCATGTCTGATTTCACATGCCAGAAGGTAAATACATTTATTTAGACAACATTTTTATTAACTTTTGAACATTAAAGTAATCCTAAGGTAGACCCAAACATGTCAGAAAGGGTAGTTTATAGTATAAGGATGGCATAGCCCGCTGAGTGACAGAACAATGCAGATAATGCATGCACTGTAGTGGCTGTGATCACTCCTAGAGCAAGCATGTTTTGAGCTGTATATGCCGGTATCGTGGGGGAGAATTATCCTGCTTGTGAAAATGTATCCTAGTTTGGTCAATAAAGAAGAGGTACCAGGATCACTTGGCACAATGGACAGAAAATTTAGTCTTGATATACCAGCTCGTAAAGGAAACAAATCTATAATTAAGCTATATGACTATATATATGCATTAGTTTCAAGCTGTAAATATTATTCCATTATGACAGGTTCACGTTAACTGTAACATTAAAGAAACATTCCAAGCACCAAAACTACTACAGCGCAATGTAGTGGTTATGGTGTCAGAAGTGCCCCGGAATCCCCCCAATGTAACTATTTGCCAATGGTTTGACTTCTTACCTGGGGTCGGCTGGGTGTTACTCCCTGCTCCCGGATCTAAGCTGAGCTCTGAGCAGAAGTTTTAGACTTTCTATACCGCCAGAAGAGAGGCAGCAAACAGTTTTACTTTTATTAAGGAGGGTGTTAGATCACTCCTGATACCATAAACACTTCAGCAAACTAGTGCTGTGTTCCCAGGTATTCTATGGTCAGAGGAAGGCTTGCCTAACGGTTTGAAAAACAGACAGCAGCTAAATAGACACTGATTAGAAGATGCTTAGCGACTCTCAGTGAAAGTGCATTTTTTTTAAAAAGTGATCTCATTTAGAGAATCTGGAGTTAAAAGCCCAACGGATTTTATGCTAAAGGGCAAAGCGGCATTCCTATAAAAGGGGCATTCTAAGAACCGAAATCACTACAGCTCACTCAGTAGCCCAGTCCTTCCAGCCTATCACTGTCCAGAGTTGGACCGATAAGTTAGCATAGGTTCCAACAGTCCTGAAATTGCTGGGACAGTTTTGGGACACTGTCTCAACAAAAATAGGTACTGGGGACATGTCCCACATTTTGAAATGTACCAGTCGATTTCAAAATGCAGGCAGGGACTAGGCACTAAGACTATGCATAGAGTGCTTTAGTAGTGCTCTGTGCATGGTTTGCTTGAGGGGTGAGCGCTGTCAGTCAGCCTTGTTGCCCTCTTTAGGGTTGGCTCAACCCCTTTGACAGACAAACTCCCCCCCCCCCTTTTGACAGGCCAACCCGCACCGGGCACCAGAGGCGGGACCAAGTCATTGTTGTTTTGAAAGTCAAAAGAAAGTCTAAAGTCTTTGTAAGTCCTGAATCAAGACAGGCAAGTCTAGGTCAAGTACTTTAATAAGTAGCTTTAATCTTCAAATGTTCAACAGGTAATTTGTGCTCTTTGCATAATTTAGTTTCAGAGATCAGAGTATTAATTACTCAGAAAGATGTTTAAAATATGTTTCTCTTTTCCAAGTTCAATTTCACGTGAGATTCAGCATCTGAAATTGTGGCATATACTTAGTAAGGACAAATAGTGAAAAAAAAACTGTATTTATTGATAAATGAGAGTAACAAAATTTATTATAGAAAAGACACAACTGCCAAGAACCCAAGTAATTGAAAAATGCTGTGCTGTCATACTTTGAGAGAGAATCAATGTGAGAGAGGGAATTCATTTTTGAATCAGTGACAGTGCGTTTTCTTTTCTTTGGAACCTATTATACATTGCACTTGCAAAACATTAAATTGGCCAAAAGTTGGTCATACAAACATTTGTGCATGATGACTAGTGTAGTATGATGACTCCATGGCTGAAACACTGCAACGGCTACACACAATATTATTAAACTCAATACAGACTAAAGTGAACAAGGAGCAGACTTAAATGGACTTTATAGTCAAAATGTAAATGTGCATCTTTGAATAGAAACATATTTGTAATAAACATGTATTAAAAGTGTATTTAATATGTCCTGTGCACCAGCATTTTAAACACAACACATTTTATTTTATTTCAGTTTTATCGTTTGACCTAAAAGTCATAGGACTCAAGTCCAAGTCATGTCTTTAGTAATTGTTGCAAAAGTCTAAGTCACGTCACAAGTCTTTGTTGACTTCAGTGAGTTGCACTGAGTCCAGGTCAAGTCCAAGTCATGCGACTCTAGTCCACACCCCTGCAATGCACAGGCTGATCTCTTCCCTGACCACCTCTATCCCGGGAAGGAAGGATTGGCAGGTATGGTTAACGTCAGCTAACCATACAGACAATCAGACAAAGAAGAAGTGGCTTTGACGGCTAGGAGGGGCTGTTTTTTGGGGGGGGTTTAAACCACTCGACAAAACAGTGAGATACATTGGTAGTGGTACCTAGATTACTATTTGGATATATGTTGCAACAAATCAAAACATTTCATTTTTTACATTTCCCCTTTAAATATGTTAGTGCACTAATAGTTGCCTGTCAAAAGATGTGTACTGAAAATTGTTACAAAATCTTTCCTAAATACATCTAAGTACATGCTTATTGCTATAATGAATATACATAGCGAGAGATTTATATAAAATGGCCATTACAAAATTCCCAGGTATATTTTACATGTCCTCTATATGTTCATATCGTTCCTGTCTGCCTAAATATATATAAAAACCGTTAAATGAATTTTGCCAAAAAGAACAGTTCGGTTATAGGCTGGCTTCTTACACACACAGATTAATTAATCAAAAAGACTAATGCACTTAGGCTTAAATGTGTTTTTGTGAACCACATTTATGAGTTAATGACACATTGTTAACGAGCCTTTAAACAGATATTATGCGTTTGAAGGTTAATGAGGCTAAATATAATTAAAAAAAAAGGTAAATCATATAACGTTGTTATTCCTGATCTTCGTAGACGCAAGGTTAATGAAGGTTAGCTTTTCTATTCTTACATTATAAATACGCTCTTTGAATGAATTTGCACTTTATATAATTTTGTTTTATAATGTCTCTCCAGTCTCTTGGCATACATAATGCAATGTCATTTCATTTGTTGTATGATCAAACGGTTTTGTTTTTAAGGCAGGATTCTAGAACTCGAGAATGCTTAGTGCATAGAGTCACAGAGATCCACAGCTGTAAAAGTCACAATAAAATACTGAACATGTGTTTTCTAAATAGTTTATACAAATTAAATAATTACATCTGGCTTTCAGTTAATTATAGTCTTAAATTAGAGGGGCAAAAGGTTTAAAATAATATCAGCAATTATTACTTTACAGAGAGGGTAGTGGACGCATGGAATAGCCTTTCAGCTAAGAAAAGGTAGAGGTTAACACGGTGAAGGAGTTTAAGCATTCGTGGGATAGGCGTAAGACTATCCCTGACTTAAGATAAGGCTAAGGTCTAATAAAAGTATTTAGGAAATTGGACAGACTTTTACTCTGGAGGCACTTTGCGGTTTGTTTTAACTTCTTCCCAGACCCCTGCCGCACCAAGTCTCTATTCTCCTGCTTCCAAAACGTACACTAAATTCTTTACAACTATTACATGACAGAAAGTATATGTGTGAAAGACACGTGAGAGTACTGTGTTGTTCAAGGTATGCGTGGGTTTATGTCTGTGTAAGTGTGTGTCTAGATAGATGTGAGTCTATTGCTAATTAGGTATGTGTGACTCGTTATGTATGCCAAGGTAATCATGCAAGTGTAACTGCCTTATTAAATGTATACAGTTGCAAGAAAAAGTATGTGAACCCTTTGGAATGATATGGATTTCTGCACAAATTGGTCATAAAATGTGATCTGATCATCATCTAAGTCACAACAATAGACAATCACAGTCTGCTTAAACTAATAACACACAAAGAATGAAATGTTGCCATGTTTTTATTGAACACACCATGTAAACATTTACAGTGCAGGTGGAAAAAGTATGTGAACCCCTAGACTAATGACATCTCCAAGAGCTAATTGGAGTGAGATGTCAGCCAACTGGAGTCCAATCAATGAGATGAGATTGGAGGTGTTGGTTACAGCTGCCCTTCCCTATAAAAAACACACACCCATTCTGGGTTTGCTTTTCTCAAGAAGTATTGCCTGATGTGAATGATGCCTCGCACAAAAGAGCTCTAAGAAGACCTACGATTAAGAATTGTTGACTTGCATAAAGCTGGAAAGGGTTATAAAAGTAACTCCAAAAGCCTTGCTGTTCATCAGTCCACGGTAAGACAAATTGTCTATAAATGGAGAAAGTTCAGCACTGCTGCTACTCTCCCTAGGAGTGGCCGTCCTGTAAAGATGACTGCAAGAGCACAGCGCAGACTGCTCAATGAGGTGAAGAAGAATCCTAGAGTGTCAACTAAAGACTTACAAAAGTCACTGGCAAATGCTAACATCCCTGTTAGCGAATCTACAATACGTAAAACACTAAACAAGAATGGATTTCATGGGAGGATACCACAGAGGAAGCCACTGCTGTCCAAACAAAACATTGCTGCACGTTTTCAGTTTGCACAAGAGCACCTGGATGTTCCACAGCAGTACTGGCAAAATATTCTGTGGACAGATGAAACCAAAGTTGAGTTGTTTGGAAGAAACACACAACACTATGTGTGGCGAAAAAAAGGCACAGCACACCAACATCAAAACCTCATCCCAACTGTGAAGTATGGTGGTGGGGGCATCATGGTTTGGGGCTGCTTTGCTGTGTCAGGGCCTGGACAGATTGCTATCATCGAAGGAAAAATGAATTCCCAAGTTTATCAAGACATTTTGCAGGAGAACTTAAGGCCATCTGTCTACAAGCCGAAGCTCAGCAGAAGATGGGTGTTTAAATCAACAACAGAATGGCTTAAACAGAAGAAAATACGCCTTCTGAAGTGGCCCAGTCAGAGTCCTGACCTCAACCCGATTGAGATGCTGTGGCATGACCTCAAGAAAGCGATTCACACCAGACATCCCAAGAATATTGCTGAACTGAAACAGCTCTGTAAAGAGGAATGGTCAAGAATTACTTCTGACCGTTGTGTACGTCTGATCTGCAACTACAGGAAACGTTTGGCTGAAGTTATTGCTGCCAAAGGTGGTTCAACCAGTTATTAAATCCAAGGGTTCATACTTTTTCCACCTGCACTGTGAATGTTTACATGGCGTGTTCAATAAAAACATGGCAACATTTCATTCTTTGTGTGTTATTAGTTTAAGCAGACTGTGATTGTCTATTGTTGTGACTTAGATGATGATCGGATCACATTTTACGACCAATTTGTGCAGAAATCCATATCATTCCAAAGGGTTCACATACTTTTTCTTGCAACTGTACCTGTGTGCATAGGGCTTCAGGTAATGCCCCTTGGACAAAGGCAACTAAACATCCCAGGGGCAGATTTTGTTTGGCTATACACCTCTAAACAGAAGCAAGCTGATTTGGTAATTTGAAATGATGGAAAGTGTAATAAAGAACACAAACATAAGCTTTTATGTCTACAGTTGTCAGGTTATTGTAATAGGAGCCCAGAATGCATTAATATGGCGGCAAATTCGAAACCAAGGTGAAGTACCGGTTGGCGCAAAACAAAGACATGGTCAGAATGGCAAAAGGTCGGTCTAGGCAGCACAGCGTCATAAGCAATGAGTCAGGCAAAAAGTTACAACTAGTAAGGACACAAATAGGAAACACTAGGGGAGCACAGTACAATTGAGCGAGGAGGAATGGGCGACTGCACCAAATATAGGGGGAAGAGAGGCACCCTCTGTCATGTCAATCCCCCATTTCTCTGTAAGGGTTACATAATCCAGTGCGCGAATGCATAGGGAGGTGGGCCGTAAGGGGGAATCAACGGTCACCTCAGACAGCCAAGAAAAGCAGCATCCGGGCTGCAGCAGGGTCTGGCACTTGGAAGAGCACCACACATGGAGCTACGGAGGAGGACCACACATGGAGTTACTGAGGAAGACCGGATGAGCCGACCCTCGCCGTAGACCTTGGCGGCATCTCGGCGAGCTATGGTGAGGGAGTAAGAGGCAAGACCTGACAACTGTTCAGAAGGGGCTCCTAGCAGCTTAAATTCCAAATCAAATGAAATTAGTAAACATTAAGAGAATCTTAAAAATGACAATGAATTGCAAGACTAAAAGTGTTTACCGAGAAATGGAGTTAACCGTTATAATAATATTTTATAATAACATAATAATGTTTTATATTTTATGTGTCAGCAATGTCCCAGTAAGGAGGTGATTACCCTTTACAATGATACAATTAGATTAATTCGTTGATACAAAAAACAACATGCCGCATTGAAGCATTTAGTACTGTAGCGCATATGAATAAAAGCTACACCTCTCATAAAATTCTAGAGCACTTAAATTAACCAAAGCAATCACAGCTGCTGCCTCCGTTCTGCGGCGTCAGAGAAGCCTGCGTCGGATGCCAGTATTAACATCTGTAATGCTCTTCACATTCTTCAATGATGACTTTATATTTCAAACAACCTCTGCAAAATCAGTTCAAACTATAATTATCAGAACTCCTTCAAGCAGTGAATGAGCAAATGAAACACTGCATATGTCTTTGTATGAAATTAGGAAGTTAAAATTTAACAGCACAATGGCAGTCACTTATTCATTAACATACTAGAGAGAACAAAACACATGTATTCTCCCACGTTTATCACCAAGTGCATATACCTGTATGTGTTGTTGTGTGGTGGGGTTTGTACTGTCATCACTTGCTGAAGAGCTTTTATAAATTAACCTTGTTTACACCCCCTCAGCTGTCAATCAGATAACCGGCCCTGTTACTTCCTGATAGTTTAGCTCGGTGGAGCTAAACTCAAGAGGCAGCTAATTGCCCAGAGCACCTGACTTGTAAAGACTTCTCAAAGAGCTGCAAAGTCTGGGAAAGTCTGGGATTGGTCCAAAGTGGCAGGTTTTGTAAAGGCTTCAGACAAGAGATCTGCAGCTTTTGCAATCTGTGTTTAGATTTCCCCCAATTAAAAAAAAAAATTGTATAGGTAAATTGCATGTGTGTTTTTTTATTGGAAGTCTATCTGATAAACAGTGATGTATTTTTCTATTTTTATTTGGAGAGTGGAATTTCGCTTTATCCTTGCTCTGCAGAGAAGCCCAGAGGAGGTATTCCTCAAGTAAATGGGCACATCTCAAGAACAGGCATTAGTTTACTAGAATAGGACCTACAAAAAACACCAACACATAAATAATGTATCCAAAACTTGCCAGGATCCATTATGAACAGAACTGAAGCTTTGTTTCTTTTATGCCAATTCAGATTTTAGATATGTTTTACATTATTTATATAAATGTGTATTTGTGGTTTTTATATCGATGAGTTCTCCATACTTTCTTCTGAATTTGGATTCATAATGAACCACCAGCAGTAATTAGAAGACAAGTACAATGGAATACATCTGTAATAATAATCAATGTTCATCTTGTAGTAAAACATTATTTTTACGTCTTATCGTTGTAGATTTGCTATATTACAGTCTTTTGTTCCTAAGGGTAAATCAAACCTTGACTTTTCCAGATGAAAAAAATATAAGTTGACTCTTAAAGGGACACTATAGTCACCAGAACAGCTACAGTTTAATGTAGTTGTTCTGGTGAGTGTAATAGTTCCCTTCAGGCATTTTCATGTAAACACTGCCTTTACATGAAAATGCCCCTAGGGACACCTCCAATTGGTCACTCCTTAGATGGCACAGTAAGCAGCCCTGCCGTTTAGTGTCCCCACGCTCTGCATGGAGACACTGAATGTTCCTCATAGGAGGAGGTCCTGATTGGCCAAAATGGCATTTGGCCCCACCCCGTGCGGATTTTAGCCAAGTAGGGAAAGCATTGGATTGGCTAGAAAGCGGCCATATAGAAGATGTCACAAAGGGGGCGGAGCCAGCGTGGCGCTGGAAATAAGGTGAGTTTTAAACTTTTACAGGTGGGCAAGCCACGTAAATGGTGGGTTAAACACTATAGCGTCGGGAATACATGTTTGATCAGAGTATAACTTACTTACTTTATAATAATAATAATAGGTATACATTTGCAATATGTAAATTTGCCATAAATAGCAACAGTTTTGCTAGAACCGCATGTAAAAACACTATTCAGGATTTAAAGAACCACTCCACACCCATAAAGCACTTCAGCTTTCTGGCGTGCACGATGGGTGACGAGTATCACATAATAATGAAAGTTTATAAAAGTGCTGATTTCTATTAGAAATCGGTACTTTTATAAATAATTAGTGAAACACCCCCTGGCTGTCAATCAAACTGACACACACGCACACACACAGAAGACATGCGCGCACTACCAGGGAGGCCTCCAGAGGCTTCTCAATGAGAAGCCTCTGATTGGCTATTTCCCTGTGGGAGGACTGAAAGTCTCTTCTGGGGAAAAGGGGGAGGGCTTGCAAAGGCTGCAGTTCTTATGAATTTTTAAGATATACCTCCAATGAATACATGCATGAAAATGAACGCACGTATTTGTTGGGGAGGTATCTACTAAACTGTGATATATATATTTTTTCCCAATATGGGCAGCGGTGTGTCCCTTTAAGGAACAGACTGTCCATTCTTCCTGCCTGAGTTACATCACTTATTTACACAGTTGCCACAGCTTAGAACAAAGCATGCTTTTTGCCTTCTTATAGTTCAGCACATTAGACAGGAAAGTGAAGCAAGCCACAGACTAATATTTAGATACAGACGCCTGGCATTTCTTAAAGGGCAGACAGTATCATGGAAACATGTTTTCTTTGTGCTTGAAAAGCCAGGAAGCATAGGGTAGGCTAGGGTCAGCCTTGTAAATAAAATGTTTTTATTGATTTTGCATTACTCTTTTTGAGGTGTGTCTGCTTCCTCTTGGCCAAAAAGAACTACAGCAGGACCTAATTTCATGACTTGCCTTGTCTTTCCTGAGAAATGCTCCCTCTACATGACTTTGTCACACTGACATGCCATATTAAAGGGGGGATGTCACTTCCCAGGATTTGCATTAGTATGTGCACTTATGACATATATTTAAACCTTTTTATCAATTTAAAATACCCTAGTGGGCATTATTCACCTACTCTACAGCCCTGTATGTATTTATCTGCACCATGTTCTTTTTGCGTGTCTCTGTCTCCTCTTTCCCAGTCCCTCTGTGTGCCTGTGTCTCCGCTCTGAGTCCCTTTTGTACATCTCTTCCACAGACCCTTTTGAATGTCTCCTCCCACCGGCCCATTTTGTGTGTCTCTTTCAACCCTCCCTTAACCTGTTTGTCTCTCTTTCTCCTAATCCCCAGCTACTCTGTGTCTCTTCCACCCCATTAACAGTCTATGTTTATATGTCTCTTTCTCTCCATCCTCAGTTTCTGTGTGCGTCTCTTCCACCAGCCCCTATGTCTCGTTTACCCTTTCCCAGCTCCTTTGGCCCCCTTTGTGTGTCCTTTCCCCCAAACTCTCAGTGGGTCTCATCATCCCCTTTCCAGCCCCATCCCCTTTGTAGTCCTGTACCGCAGTCACGCTTAAGTTCCATGTTGTAACCTACCCAAGGAATTCAGTACCGTATTTGAGGACACACCAAGGAACTGTCCATGGGCAGCATAGCGCAAGTGCACCACCAGATGCACTCAGGCTGTGAAGTGAAGTGGTCACTAGAACCCTGCAGAGACCACTTCCGCAGTGCTCTCTGCATGGTCCTCTATGCAGGTGGCTGGCTGGGAGCCTGTCTGTAAGCCTGATGTGCTTGACGCCAGGCCCACAGTTGGCCCCTTCAGCTGGTGCACTCGCCTACTTTCTGGGATGGGCTCGCCATTGGAGATGCCCCCTCAAAAAGGCCACCCACCATTCCGATTCCTGCCGTGCCAAAGTAGTAAATACGTACAAATATATACTCTAGCATAAGCAGATGTATAAACAAATCGGTCACACTTTTTTTCTCTAAAAACCACACCAATAGAAAAGTGTCAACAGAGTACAAAACATGGGACACTGAGCACAATTTGCTACTTGGCATACCTGCAGGAAAGCAAACATTCCCCCGTGACATATATGAGTAAGGGGTGGGCTTTTTGCACATGAAAGGAGATCCATGTTGGTTAGTTTTCACTATAACTTGTGTTTTAATGCGTATGTTATTATGATGCTCAGTGCTTCCCTTTACAACCAATAATATAATATTTTATTTCCTTTAGAAACTACAAAATGATTAACAGAGTAAGTGGTAGACTAAATCCACCTACATTCTAGAGATTTTAATGACATTCCTATTCCAGATTTAACTGGACATATGAACTTAAAATAGCCCCATAAGTTATCTTAGCCTTTAAAAATTATTTAGAAGACATATTTATAAATAATACAGGGGGGAAAAAAAATCAATGTATCCAGCCCTCACGAAGAGACAAGTCTTCAAATAAAATGTTCTTATGCTTCTACAAGCATAAAAACTCCAATGAATATAAAAAAAAATCCAATGTGTTATAGACAATCTTCAAGCTTATACAATTCCCAAAAAAGGCACTCAAAATGCATAATTAAGTAAGAAATATGTGCAAAATACAAATAAATGCATATGTAAGATGTACAGACATATTTTTGCTATGCGAGCCAAAAATAGACCTGTCAGATTGTGCCTGGTAGACAGACGGAACGGTAGAATGAGTCAGAAAACACAGAACTTGAGCAAAACGCTCTGACTGCAGACATCCATTTATTTATTTATTTTCTTTCTGGAGAGCACCGTGATCTAACATGGGCTGGTCGCAGGATCTCTCTTGCAGTTGGGCTACCGCCTTCAACTGTAGAACTGTTTTGGGTGATGTAACTTCTCATCAGCTGGAGAGTCACTTTGATTGTTTTATATAGTATAAGCAACTGGTTATAAACCTGGACAACTACTATTAAGTGATACCATAAACCACTACATTCCAATAGCACTCCTCACAGGTGGGATTTATGGGATTTCCAAAGTTAAAGGATTAATATAGGGTCAGGAACACAAACATGTATTCCTTACCCTATAGTGTCAAAACCCCAACGTGTCACTGCTTGCCTTTCTTCCATCTCTGACTGGATGTCTTCACGCTTTCTGAAACTTAACCTCTCTAAAACTGAACTCCTTGTCTTTCCTCCTCCTAATACTGATCCTCCTCTCTCGCTCTCCCTTCAAGTCAGTGATATCCACATAAGTCCATCCCTGCAAGCGCGCTGTCTTGGCGTCATACTTGACTCTGGTCTCACCTTCGAGTCTCACATCCAGTTTGTTGCCAAGTCCTGTAGGTTCCAACTCAAAAACATAGCCCGCATTCGCCCCTTTCTTACGCAAGATGCTACCAAGGAGCTTGTCCATGCTCTAGTAATTTCCCGCATGGATTACTGTAACCCTCTCCTGATTGGTCTCCCCAAAAGCCGTATTGCCCCGCTACAGTCTGTAATGAATGCTGCAGCTAGACTGATTTTCCTCTCTAGTCGGTCCTCTCACACCTCACCCCTCTGCCGGTCCTTACATTGGCTCCCTGTATGCTATAGGAGTCAATTCAAAGTGCTAACCCATACATTTAAAGCACTGAACAGTTCTAGCCCCGCTTATATCTCTTCACTGATCCATAAATATGCCCCTCCACGTACCCTCCGCTCTGCCCGTGACCACCTCCTGACCGCTGCTCGCACCCGTACGGCCAACTCGCGCTTGCAGGACCTCTCGCGGGCGGCTCCTCTCCTATGGAATAGCTTGCCTACTGCCATCAGACTCTCCCCTAGTCTTCAATCATTTAAGAAGGGCCTTAAAACCCATCTCTTCAGGAAAGCTTATGGCCTCCCAGAGTAATCTCTACCTTACATACCTGTCTCCTGCTCTCTCCTATGGGACAGTGCTTTGCTCTCTCCTCCAGCTCTGCTTCACTCCTACTTGATATTTATTGTCCTAATGTTTCAAATACCCCACCTCCAATAGTCTGTAAGCTCGTTTGAGCAGGGTCCTCTTCTACCTATTGTTCCTGTAAGTTTTCTTGTAATTGTCCTATTTATTGTTACACCCCCCCTCTCAAAATATTGTAAAGCGCTACGGAATCCGTTGGCGCTATATAAATAGCAATAATAAATAATAAATAAATAAATCTAGCCCCCCTGGGCCCCTCATGCCTCCCTAGATATAGAAATCTTACTGTATTCAAGCCTGAAGCTGTAGATCTGCGTGCCTCTTTGCCTCAGAAAAAAACAAGCAGTCTGCTGACATCAGCAGAAGTGGTGGCCTGATCCAATCACAGTGCTTCTCCATAGGATTGGCTGAGACTGACAAGGAGGCAGATCAGGGGCGGAGCCAGCATGATTCAAACACAGCCCTGGCCAATCAGCATCTCCTAATAGAGATTAATTGAATCAATAAATCTCTATGAGGAAAGTTCAGTGTCTGCATGCAGAGGGAGGAGACACTGAATGTTTACATGCATTTTAGGCGGCCATAACCCAGGAAGGATCTCTAACAGCCATCTGAGGAGTGGTGAGTGATGTTATCACTAGGCTGTAATGTAAACACTGCATTTTCTCTGAAAAGACAGTGTTTACAGCAAAAAGCCTGAAGGTAATGATTCTACTCACCAGAACAAATTCAATAAGCTGTAGTTGTTCTGGTGACTATAGTGTCCCTTTAACAGGTGAGGCTACATGTGTCTACCAAGAATTAAGAAGAAAAATAAATACATTTTTAAAAATAAGATGGTTAAAACATGTTCTGCCATCACGTTTTAAATCATTTTTCCATCATAAAATTAAAATAGATAAAACCAAAGGTTATCTTAGTTAAAGTATAATTTAATTAGAATTATGTGGTTCCTTTCATTGCATACAACTCTATTTCCAAAAATGGAATCATGAGTCATACTTAATTTTTGGAAATAACATTTTAAATGAACTATTACTGTAATTACTTGGAAACTTTAAATATGGATGTTTGGGGAAACAGACACACGAGAGGTGTGACAAATCTGTGCGGTTGCAGACTAATCACTTAAGCATGGCAGTATTCTCAAGGCTTATTCACTCAATCGACAATTGACAGTGAATGCTTAATTTTAGACTAGAGAAGATTTTTCCAGTTTGGCTATTTTAACCGTAGATTTGAAATAGACTTTGAATTCTCATTTTAGTAACTCTATCTTATACAGTGTGTTAGCAAGTTTGCTAGAACATGTACAGATTTCTCCCACCTGTCTACAGTATATAGCTTCGGCACCCCAGTTGTTGTGGACTACATCCCCCATAATGCTCATATACCCATGCTGGCAAAGCATCATGGGAGGTGTAGTCCAAAACATCTGGAGTGCCGAAGGTTGCCTATGCCTGGCATAGACTCTGTGGTGAAGAAATGACTGACAAGGGAGAACAGAAGAATCCTCCCATACGCAGTCTTTCTGCTCTCTAACCTGGCCAATCACAGCTCATGCACTGTGGTTGCTATGGTAATTCCCTCGTCGATGCTTTAAGCACTGCCTAGCGAGTATAGGAATGAAGTCACTATGTTCAAACGCCTGCATACTGGCACTGAAACCTGATTTGAGAAGCATCCCTAGACTGGGCAAATCAAAGAAAACAGTGGGTGGAGCATGAGCAGATTAGAGGTGGGTGTTACAGAAGCATAATATCCCCCTCTGATGAGGATATGATGGTGCTGAATCTGAGGTGAGGTGACAACAGGTTCACTTTAAAGAAGTCGTAAAGTTTCAGTTTTTGATCAGAATATATACTGCCTGGCAAAAAAAAAGGGTGCCAGCAAATAAAAAAGTTACACACTCTAATATTTAGTTGGACCGCCTTTAACTTTAATTACAGCACGCATTCGCTGTGACATTGTTTCAATAAGCTTCTACAATGTCACAAGATTTATTTCCATCCAGTGTTGCATTCATTTTTCACCAAGATCTTGTATTGATGATGGGAGAGTCGGACCACTGTGCAAAACCGTTTTTAGCACATCCTAAAGATTCTCAATGGGGTTAAGGTCACTCTGTGGTGGCCAATCCATGTGTGAAAAAGATGTCTCATGTTCCCTGAACCACTCTTTCACAATTTGAGCCCGATGAATCCCGGCATTGTCATCTTGGAATATGCCCGTGCCATCAGGGAAGAAAAAATCCATTGATGGAATAACCTGGTCATTCAGTATATTTAGGTAGTCAGCTGACCTCATTCTTTGGGCACATAATGTTGCTGAACCTAGAGCACACCAACTGCAGCAACCCCAGATCATAGCACTGCCCCCACAGGCTTGTACAGTAGGCATGATGATCACTTCATCTGCCTCTCTTCTTACCCTGATGCGCCCATCACTGGTGGTTCCACATTATCCTTCCAGTTTTTAATAATGTGTTGGACAGTTCTTAACTCAACTTTAGTAGTTTCTGCAATCTCGTTAGATGTTTTCTCTGCTTGATGCATGCCAATGATTTGACCCATCTCAAACAGACTAACATCTTTTCCACGACCACGGGATGTGCCTTTCAACATGGTTGTTTAAGAAATGAGAAGCTACTCATTGCATCAGTTGGGGTTAAATAACTTGTTGCTAGCTGAAAGATAATCGCCCATGCAGTAGCTATCCAATAGGAGGCTCTTACCTATTTGCTTAATGAAATCCAGGTGGCGACTTTTTTTTTTTGGCCAGGCAGTGTATATTGGAGTTCAAAACCAAATGTGAAAAATGTCCTATTTTTATTGTCCCAATGAGTCAACAGTTCAATTATCCAAATCTGTGGATTTCCTGGTTGCTAATCAGCCTTTTAATTCGGGCAGTGCATTGATTGGTGCTGTGTGCCAGCCCAAACACAACTTCAAGTTAAACTTTGAGTTTTTTTCTTATTATAAGAACTGGTGTCTCTCTGCAGTCACTGAGAAATGCAGGGTTTCTTCTGTTTCAGTAAAATGTTTAACAGACAAAAATGTGAAATTTCACATATTATGTGTATATTGCCATGACTGACATTTAATTAGTAAAAACCCAGCCCACAGACACCTGCAATACCAAGGTTAATCAAAACTGCACTACAGGCATTCATTGTCTGTTTCATTAATACTGCAAAAGGTCATTTTAGTTGGATGTAACAAAGCAGACATTAAAAAAATGTTGCTAGCAGATAAGAAGTGTAAAATCTGCAGTAAAGTCCTAACAGTGGAACTAGCTGCAGGAACGTCCAATGGTGACGGTTTCCATGGTGACTGTTGCACTTTTAAAACTCTTACTCTTTAGACCAGGGGTAGTCAACCTGGTACCTACCGCCCACTAGGATTTCAGGTGGGTGGTTGTGGGTTCTGTGGAAAACGCCTGGTGGGCCTCAATGGCTGTGTGCCAAGGCTCGCAGGGAAGATCCTTTCATCTCCCCTGCCGGCGCATGCAGAGCCAGCCTTGCTGTAAGCCCTCTCGGGCTGGTGAGGAGATCATAGATCTCCCTCACCGTCTCGCTGGCACTTAGTTCCAGCAGAGGGTGGGAAGGGCCTGGGAGGCTCGGTGTTCCTCTCACGAGTAGGCTGGTCGGAGTGTTGCCGCGAATTACGATGGTAACACTCTGATACAGTGCTGTGCTCGCAGGAGGACAGGAGAGTCAGCCTGCAGCCGGAGGATCAGTGCAGGCTAAAGTGAACATGCCACCAAAGAAACCACCAGGGCTTGCAGCATTATGCCCCCCCCTGGTAAAAGGTAAGAAGAAGGGAGAAGGAGACATTAAGATAGATTTTCACATCTCACCCACCTACACACAGCATAGACCCTATGCCCCCTCACACACAAACACACACTACACCCCTCATACACATACACTGCCCTCTCACACACAGACTGCTGTCCACATGCACACACACAGACTGCCCCCTCAAACACACACTGCAACACTCACACACATACATACTGGACCCTTTACACACATACAGCACCCCTCACAGACACACACAGCACTACTCACACACACTGCACCTCACAGACATACACACACTGCACCCTTCACACACTTCACACACAGAGCACACTTCACACACACACAGAAAGAAAATAGAATAGAAAATAGAGAAATACAAAAAAAGATACATTTAAGTACAATTTTTTTTATTTTTTAAAAAAACCCTCCTTTGTAAAAAAACCAAACAAAAAAAAAACCCAGTTGCGCTGTAAAATTAGTTACTGTGGCACTGGTGGGCGGTGAGGAAATGTTACCATCAACAAAGATACAAAAATGGTCACCAGGACTAGAGATGCAGGAAATATGAAGGTCACTAGCTGATAGTGTAGCATAGATAGCAGTGGGGGGTTGTTTTGTTTTTTCTTATCGTGTATGTGATTTTGATTGTACAGGTTATTGTTAAAATAAATAAATAGAAAATAGATAGATTGTAGCCGTATTAGTCCAGAAATGCAGATGTAAAATAACAGATAAAATTCGTATCTTGTAATACCATTTTTATTCCACTAACAGAATTTTTTAATGACAAGCTTTCGGGAGAACCTCCCTTTCTCAAGTCTAAAGCATTTCTGAGCAAATTCGACACAGAAAATTCAAAGTTGAGTTGTGATACAGGGGTTAAAGCAACATGAGTGCAGATAAGGCACATGTTTGGCAGAAAAATAGACACCACTCTCACAGAGGGTCCTACATGTATTGTGTGAAGATCACAAAGTAAAGGGGGGAGAAAGAAAAACAAGCAAACCGTGCAGAAAAGGGTGCTGGAAAGGGGAACGTAAAAAAAGTAATGACAGATTAAGAATGTATGAATTCACATCTAAGAGTTCCAAAATATGCATGAAGGCCTAGATACAACATACACATAGATATATACAGACACACACATATACATATATATTGACATATATTGATTAAAGTTAAGTACAGATGACCTGACCATATATAGTCTGTAAAATAAATTGAAATGTAGAAAGAAGGAAACAGCGCTAAAATAGACCAATCCTATAAATAGATAAAGTAAGAGGTAGCAACCTAAAAATAGGGTTCCCTCTAAACCCTATGAACAAAGGTAATATACAAGACAAAACAGAAGAAGGTTGCGCCAAAGCTGGCTAAAGTGCAGCTGAAATGAACAAAGTCCAAAGTGTAAGTGGTGCCAAAACAAAGTCTTTAGTTGGGCCTGCTGAGGCAACGACAGCCTATGTGGAGGAGTATTCTCTCTAAGGGTAGCTTGAAGATGGTTTTACAGGATCCGTATGTAAAGAAAGAAACAAACAATAGTGCAAATATGTCTGATACGAGGGTTTATATGCAAGAAGAAGAGATCTATAGTAATCCTACTCATGTGTAGTAGAGCTGAACTAGCTCTAGTGTGGATGGCATACAGCGGTACAATCCCCGCTTATAGGATACGTAGAGAAGTATTGGTCTTTTACTCCGTATGTGGAAGAGAAAGACAGATGATAGGGCAGTACATTTGGTAAAGATGGTGTATATAACAACAGAGTCTAATACAGTCCTACTCACGTTTAGTAGAGCTTAAGCCAGCTCTAGTATAAATAAAAGAGTAAAATGGCACAATCAGAGTGATTTAAAAGTAGCCAAAATACCTTTATTTAGAATACAGAGTAAAATATATATTTATATTTTACTCTGTATTCTAAATAAAGGTACTTTGGCTACTTTTAAATCACTCTGATTGTGCCATTTTACTCTTTTATTTATTATTTTTAAATTTTGCTTGGTATCCTGATTTTCTCTCTCCTGCTGAGTATTACTCCAAAGACATCCGAGGTGGGGATTATACCACTCACGCCTAAGTCATTGAGCAGTCCACCTGCTCAATCCTATGTGAGTACACATTTTATTATTTATACTCCTTATATGAGTTTCTATACAGCGAGCACTATTAGTTGTTTCTCTTCTCCCTTATGATCTACATATCGGCAAAAGACTTAACCCTCTACACGCATCCTACAAGCGGTGATTATACTGCTGTGCGCTATTCATACTAGAACTAGTTCAGCTCTACTACACGTGAGTAGGATTACTATAGATCTCTTCTTCTTGCATATAAACCCTCGTATCAGACGTATTTGCACTATTGTTTGTTTCTTTCTTTACATACGGATCCTGTAAAACCATCTTCAAGCGACCCTTAGAGAGAATACTCCTCCACATAGGCGTTCGTTGCCTCATCAGCCCCAGCTAAAGACTTTGTTTGACTTACACTTTGGACTTTGTTCACTTCAGCTGCACTTTAGCCAGCTTTGGCGCAACCTTCTTCTGTTTTGTCTTGTATATTACCTATGTAAAATAAATTGGTTTGCACTGCATAATTAAAGACACATTTGTTTAAAAACTACTTTCAGAGCATTAACGCACCTTCTATTTTTAGGATTTGCTGTACCTGCATGGCACTGACTGCCAAATAGAAAAGGTCGTGGAGATATTGATGCCATTTTTTCATCCAGGTTTCTCTCCTGGTAATTCCATTACATGATTAGATCTTAGAAATAAAGCTTGTTCCAGTCTGCAACTATAAAACGAAACCTGACACTTCATTTAGCCTCTCATGATACTATAACTGTTTTATGTGATCAATGTTTCTCATGACTCTTGGACTGGAATTCACTCTGCTGAATGACTGACGCTGCCGGTAAACTCCTGGCTGATTTCGAAGTGCCTAATGGGGTATGTATAAATTAGAATGTACAACTCTCCAGTTTTTGCTAAAAATTAAATTTACACAATTAATTAGTCAATTAATTGAAGCTAAATACTCACACGCAGGGCTGGACTGGAAAAAAAATTGGGCCCGGGCATTTTTTTTACCACAGCGGCCCACTGAGAAGGTAGCAGGCTATAGGGGGTGTGTTTTATCATTACCAATAGGCAGCACGCCCCCTCTTAAAGTAAGCATGTTGGTTCAATGCTCTTCCAGGGCAGACCATGCGTAGAGTTATAGCATGAGAAAAAGGCTCTGTATTTGTTCTGCGCAGTTCAAGCATTTTTATTAACATGCTTGCATTGTGTTTTCTTGTAACGTGTCTCTGGTGTCTCCATAAGTGGGATACCAGGAGACAAAAGGGCCAGGAAAGAGTATTGTGCATGTGTTTGGAGCCTGCTTGAGGGATTGTGTGTGTGTAGAGTGAGCTGATTGTGGTGTGATATTGTGTAAATAGGTCGGTTTCAGTTGCGTTGCGTTTGTGGGGTAATGTGTGGCTAGGAGCTGTACAGAGTTAGAATGTGTGTATAGGGAGCATAGTGTGTATAGAAGTTGTAGAGTGTGTGTATTTGCTTACAAGGAATCTATTGTGTGCATAGGGGAATGTGTGTGTGTGAGGGGAATGTATGGGTTGCGGATTTTTCCGCTTGTTCTGCTATTTTGTGTGAGATTTAAAATGAACTGCAATACCGTGTATGGAGAGAGACAGGGATAGGAAGCTGCATCTTATCCCTGCATCTCTCTGCTGATTGAAACCGCAGGGGAACAGCACATGCAGCCAGAGACAGCCTACAGATCAGGGGAGTGAGGGATGGGGGGGAGGGTTTGAGAGGGGGGCAGCAGCCTATAGATTTGGGGGGGGGGGCAGCAGAATAGATTTGGGGCAGCAAGTCTGCTAGATTTGGGGGGAGGCAGCTTAGATTTGGGGGCAGCAGCCCATAGATTTGGGGGAGGGGGGGGCAGCCTTTAGATTTGAGGCAGCAGCAGCCTTTAGATTGGGGCAGCTCATAGATTTGGGGGCCGCAGCCCATGATTTGGGGAGGGGGGAAGCAGCCTTTAGGATTTGGGGCAGCAGCCTTTAGATTTGGGGGCAGCAGCCTTTATGATTTGGGGGGCAGCAGCCCATAGATTGGGGAGGGGGGCAGCAGCCTTAGATTTGAGGGGCAGCAGCAGCCTTTAGGATTTTGGGGCAGCAGTTCATAGATTTGGGGAGGGGGGGGAAGCAGCCTTAGATTTGGGGCAGCAAGCTCATAGATTTGGGGGAGGGGCAGCAGCCTTTAGGATTTGGGGGGGCAGCAGCCCACAGATTTGGGGAGGGGGGCAGCAGCTCTTAGATTTGAGGGCAGCAGCAGTTTTAGATTTGGGGCAGCAGCCCATAGATTTGGGGCAGCAGCCCATAGATTTAAATGCAGCCCATAGACGGGGAGGGGGGGAAGCAGCCTTTAGACGGGGCAGCAGCTCATAGATTAGGGGGGGCAGCAAGTTCATGATTTGGGGAGGGGCAGCAGCCTTAGATTTTGGGGCAGCAGCTCATAGATTTGGGGAGTAAAGGCAGCCTATAGATTTGAGGGCAGCAGCAGCCTTAGATGGGGGGCAGCAGCCTAGATTGGCAAGGATTTGGGGGGGCAGCAGCCCATAGATTTGGGGAGGGGGGCAGCAGCCCATAGATTTGGGGGCAGCAGCCCATAGATTTGGGGGGGCAGCAGCCCATAGATTTGGGGGGGCAGCAGCCCATAGATTTGGGGAGGGGGCAGCAGCCTATAGATATATAGAAATGAACAGGAAGGGTCAGCAAGGAGCTGGAAGGTAAAGCAGCACAAAGGTAAAGTAGAAGGAGCAGAAAGGGTCAGAAATGAGCTGGAAGGGGCAGAAGGAGCACAAACATAAAGTAGGAGAATGAGCAGGAAGGGCCTGCAAGGAGCAGGAAGGAGCACAAAGGGACAGCAAGGAGCACAAAGGTAAAGGAGCAGAAAGAATCAGAAGGAGCACAAAGGTAAAGTGCCTGGCAGGGAAACGCTGGACCTTCTCATCTCCAAAGGTAAAAAAATATTGGTGTTAATGTGTTCACTTTTATTTACTGAGTGTCAGGAAGCACAGAGTGCCGTTGGGTAGGGGTGTTGCTGATTGGCTAGAGCGGTCAGCTGGCACTCTAAGCCAATCAGTAGCTCCCCATTCATAAAAAAGTAAAAATATTTTATGAACCGGGAACTAGCGATTGGCTTAGAGCGTCAACTGACCACTCTAGCCAATCAGCGGCACCCATGCCTGACGTCAATCTGCACTTCCTGACACTCTGTTTCAGAAGCCAAATACCACTGAGCGACCTGGAGCTGGAGGAAGCCTTTGGGGTTAAACCATTTGAGAGCGATTTAACCCCTTAAAGGAAAGCGAGCACCCAGGGGCTTCCTGGCATCATAGCATTTTCATTTAGGTGAAGTTGTTATGGTGACCAGAATGGTCCTTTAATTTGCTTAAAGGAACACTATAGTGTCAGGAATACAAACATATATTCCTGACACCATAGTTGTGAAAACGCTATTCACCCTGGCTTTATGTGATAATGGCTATGCCCCTTCCCTTTCATGACACTGTCAAAAAGGTACCAAGCATGGATGTCATTACAATTATGCCCCCCCCCTGGAAAAATTCCTGCGGACGCCCATGTGTGAGGGGTACTGTGTGTGAATATGCTTGGAGGTATTGTGTATGTGTGTGTGGGGGAGATAGATTAATGTAAATATATATATATTTTTTTTTTATTAAAAAAACATTGTATCCCCCCTCCCTTCTTACCTTATGCCTGGGAGGGAGGACCGTGCTACAATTCCTGGTGGTCCTAGTGGTGAGTGAACTTTAGCCTGTGGGGCTAGAGTTCACTCTCTCAAGATCGGAGCATTGCCATGGTAACCGCAGCAAAGCTCCAACCTCGCAAGAGGAACCCAGCGGAGCTGCAGGCTAGAGCTCCCCCTGGTCCTCTGCTGTCTCCCTCCGCAGGCGGCGGCTGCTTTTCACTCCCTGTGGGCCGTTGAGGGAGATCCTTGATCTCCCCACAGGTCCATGAAGGCACACAGCCGGGCCAGTGCACGGATAGTGCCAGCTCTGCATGGGCTGGCAGGGGAGATCTCTTGATCTCTCCTGTCGGCCTTGGCCCATGGCCATCGCGGCCCACCGGGCATTTGCGATATTTCTGGTATGCTCGATGGCCAGTCCGGGCCTGCTCACATATGTCACTTTCTTGAGTACTTAACTAACTAACCCTTTAGGATAGATGACTCATAAATTTACATATAAGTGACAGTCACAGAAATTATAAAATGTAGACGTGATGGGCAGCAATGTATGTACATCTACATAACCACTACAGCTCACTGTCATGAGTGCCATGGTGCCTGTCCACTGTAAGCAAACCGTTTTTGAATGGTTTGCCTTCTAAGCTGGAGACCGCCAGATGCTTCTACCCCCCTCCACTCAAAATATATGACTGGGTGCAGATCAAAGACCCAATAGGGTCAAAACGTAGCCGAGTCCACTGTGGTGGAATTAAAATCCTACTATTTGCTTCCTGGTGTTGCGGTTTCAATCATTTTAATGGCAGGTGTTCATATTAAATGCAGGAAGTGGCCCCCAGCAGACTCCAGGTAAAACATTCAAATAGAGTTTTAATACTTACAATAGGGGCACCAGGTCACTACTTGAAACTGTACTGGTTATGATGCTTGGAGTGTTGATTTAAAATGTGCTCTTCTGATCCCCTCCTCAACCCTTTTGAGTAGTAATTTATTGTGTTTTGATATTTAGCACTTGTTACCCTGTACTGTTATATTTGACCAATTATTTAGATTGTGTCACCATACGTTTTGCATGTTGTTGAAGGCTAGTCCTTGTGTTCAATAAGGCATTTTTGATTATTCTTGGCCTCCTGAACAGGAGTGTTGTTATTCGGGGGCATGGTGACAACAGAGCTCTTGCCCAGGGGTGTAGGCAGAGTGCCAGATTGGGGCCCCCACCTAGAGTCCTGGTCTTTGTTAATCTGTTTGATACTAACTCTTTTTTTCAGGAAGTGTATAGGAAGGCTTTGTGAGTCACAACCAGGGGAGGTGTGACTAGGGCTGCACAAACAAAGTGATTTAACTCCAAAATATAAGAGAATTGAGCAGTGAGACGGCAGGGGCATTATCCATACACCATAACTGCTTTATTAAGATAAAGTTGTCTTGGTGCTTAGATTCTCCCTTAAGGACACATGGCATGTGTGACATGTCATGATTCCCTTTTATTCCAGAAGATTGGTCCTTAAGGGGTTAAAAGAGGCAACCTGCAGCCAAATACAAAATAAATAAAAAATACTATTTAGTTGATATAATCCTAATAAAAATCAACATGCATTTAATTGTGCATTTTTTCCATTGGGGTCTATCTAAAAACAGCTTGCAAAACCTGTCATTGTTTTATCTGCAGACTTTGCAAGCCCTCCCCTTCTAACCTCACCCATACTTTCTGTTGTTGTCCAATCATAGAATTCCCAATGCAGCTCAGTGAGAGGTCTTTGCAAGGCAGGTGCTCTGCGCAATTACTGCCTCTTGCGGTTAGCTCCACTGAGCTAAACAAATAAGGGAAGTAACAGGGCATGCTGTCTGATTGAAAGCCAAGGGTGTAATCATTTTAATTTATAAAAGTGTAAATCTTTTTTTAAATCTACACTTTTTGTAATATGAAAAAAGACACACTATTCACATATAAAGCATTTCAGCAGGTTTAAGTGCTTTAGGGGTCTGAAGTGTCCCTTTAATTGAAGACGACCAAACACGTATTTGTGAATGACACAACTGAAATGTGGGGCACCAATATCGCAGATCACTATTGGATTTGACACCACTTTTGCAGTGCTTTTTGGCAATTAAATCTGACCAGTAGTAATCATTTGGACAGCTGGCTATTTTAGATGCAGATTATTAAGCAAAATGTACCAATTAATTTAATCATAGCTACGAACACGTTAAGACTTCATGTCGTGATCACGTATTCTCAAATACCGTACAACAAACGCAGACCACACCGATCTATGGAAATGCACTGAGTTTTATCCTTATCCGGATTAAACCATGAGTTTTTCCTGAAGTGTTCACTTGTTCCAAAAGCTGCAGAGTTATTCTGTAGGGATCCTGTCATAATTCACCTATACACTTGTGGAGGAAGGATAGCTTCAGATTGCACATCTGGCAGGCATCCCAATTCTTAATAGGTCATACATCAAAAGCCTACTGATGAGCCTCAAATGAAAATAGCCTAACAAGAAATCAACATCATTACTTTAATTCAAGCGGCTGCCAAGACTCAAATGTTAAAGTTATGACTTTAATTTGCTAAGTGCAGTGCCTCAACCCAGCCCCCACTCCCATTTCGCTGCTGGTGTAACCTCCTATCACCTTAAACAGCTACAGAATAGAGAATATTAAAGCCAGCAAATGACAATACCAGGCAGGCAAGGGAGATGAGGTCTTTCCGTTTATTTTAATACAATTAGAGCTTGTAACTCGTGCCCGAATGAATTCTTTCTAAATCGATATCACATGAAAAGAACAGGGTGAGTCGGAAAGGCAGGAAACGAGTTTTTCTGACAAACATTATCACTCGTTCCATTAGTGAACACAGCAGCAAAGCAACAAATGAAACAGGAATCGACAACAGAGTCAAATTGTTTCCAGCTACATGAATGTAACCAGTAAACCTTATCTCCCAACATTTCAAATGGACATAGAGGGACAAGTTAATTTTAGCGGTGTGAGTGGGGTGCGCGGCTAAGGGCAGGGAAGGTCTGATCATTTTTAGGTGATTTACTAATAATTTGTGTTACTAAAGTTAAATTTAGATTCACAACAATGTTTCTTATTTGCACAGACCAGGGCCGTCTTTAACACGGGGCAAAATGGGCAGCTGCCCCGGGCCCTGTCAGTCTTAGGGGTCCCAAAGTAGCTGCCCCTTTAGCCCTGCGGCCGCCATAGTGCGTGCGGCCCGCGTGGAACTACCACCGCAGGTCGCGCGATGTGAAGGCTCATCCACCCGCCAATGCTCTAAGGGCCACCCTAAAGCGATGGATTTTAAGGGGCCCGGCCGCTTTGAGAGCTCGACCGGGCCCCCTGTGATGATCCCGCGCGGGAGGAGGAGAAGAAAAGGAGGGAGTCAGAGTGGGAGCTCTGACTCCCATCAGCCTGAGCCAGCCTCCTGCAATACAAAGGTAGAAAACACATAAAAAATGTGCATGTCTGTATGTGTCTGTCTGTATGTATGTATGTATGTGTCTGTCTGTATGTATATCTGTTTGTATGTGTGTATGTGTATCTGTTTGTATGTGTGTGTGTGTGTGTTTCTGTATCTGCATGTGTCTCTCTGTGACCCTGTGTGTCCATATGTGTGTCTTTGTATATATGTGTATCTGTGTGTCTCTGTGTCTGTTTGTATATGTGTATGTTTATATGTGTATATGTGTATCTGTGTGTATGTTTGTATGTGTGTCTGCATAGGTGTCTGTGTTTGTATCTGTGTGAGTGTCATTCTGTGTGAATGTGTAGCTGCATGTGTGTCTGTGTATCTGTATCTGTATATGTGTCAGTGTCTGTATCTGTGTGTTTCTGCATGTGGGTCCATGTATGTATCTGTATGTTATTGTGTGTATCTGCATGTATGTCAGTTTCTGTTCATCTGCATGTTTGTCAGTGTATCTGTGCATCAGTGTATGAAGGTGTGTCAGTGTGTATCTGCATGTGTGTCTGTGTATGCACTTGTGTGTCTGTGTATCTCTCTATGTATGCCTGTACCTGTGTATGTGTGCATCTCTATGTATGTCAGTGTTTGCATCTGTATGTGTCTCAGTGTGTGTATTTTGTCTCAGTAAGAAATGAGAGGGCTAAGTGTGTGTGTGGTTTTTTTGTGTGTGTGTGGGCGTTGATGGCGTGATGGCATGCTAGGAAGGGGAAGGGCTAGGTCAACGGGCCCAAATCAAATACCTGCCCAGGGTCCAATCAGTATTAAAGACGGCCCTGGCACAGACTGATTTCTAAGCGCATTTATTATTGAATAAAAACACATGACTGTGAGTATTATTGCTGTGGAGCTCTGTTATACACTCAGACACACCAACAACATGGAGCTCCTAGAAAAAAGGGACATTAGGATAGAAATAGGGACTGTCCCTCCTAAATAAAGACACTTGGCAGGTATAGCTAAACCAAGACAAACTAAATTTTATGTCATACAATCTTGGTAACTCTTATAGTTTATTTTATTCTTATGCTTTTTCTTTTTTTCTTTTTAATTAAGCATAAAAGAAAGAAACATAGAAACATAGAACGTGACGGCAGATAAGAACCATTCAACCCATCTAGTCTGCCCAATTTTCTAAATACTTTCATTAGTCCCTGGCCTTATCTTATAATTAGGATAGCCTTATGCCTATCCCACGCATGCTTAAACTCCTTTACTGTGTTAACCTCTGCCACTTCAGCTGGAAGGCTATTCCATGCATCCACTACCCTCTCAGTAAAATAATACTTCCTGATATTATTTTTGAACCTTTGCCCCTCTAATTTAAGACTATGTCCTCTTGTTGTGGTAGTTTTTCTTCTTTTAAATATAGTTTCCTCCTTTACAGTGTTGATTCCCTTTATGCATTTAAATGTTTCTATCATGTCCCCCCCTGTCTCGTCTTTCAGGGAATCAATGTAATATATAAAAAAAAGTAATTTTGAACCCCCATCTACAGCTATTCAAAGCCCCTCCACCCCCCTACCCTATCACAACCCCTCTAGCCCCCCACCCTGTCACAGCCCCTCTACCCCCCTACCCTGTCACAGTCCATTCCCCCCTACCTTATCACAGCCCCCAAGCCCCCATACTCGGTCACAGCCACCTAGCCCAACTACTCTGTCACAGCCCCTCTAGCCACACTACTCTGTCACAGCCCCTTTAGCTCCCCTACCTTATCACAGCCCCCTATTCTGTCAAATCTCCTCTAGCCCCGACACCAGAGTAGGAAGCTCCTCTAGCCCCCCTACCTGTCACTGCCCCCTAGCCTCCCTACCCATATACAGCCCATCTAGCCACCCTACACTGTCACAGCCTCTCCACCCCCACCCTGTCACAGCCGCTTCACCCTCCACCCTGTCACAGATCCCCCTGCCCTATCACAGCGCCTACACCCCCCACACATCTTGTCACCGACCCACCACACACTCTGTCATCCCTCACACACAAACACACACGTGGTCACCCCCACCCCGCAAACACACCCTGTCACAGTCCCTCCACACGCAACCTTTCACAGCCCCCCTCCACACACCCTGTCACCCCCACACATACCCTATCATCCCCACCCTTACCATATCATCCTCACACACTGTCACCCCCAACCACACACATTATCATCCTCTACACATACACTATCACCTTTCCAAACACTTTCAGCCCCCACACACGGTCTGCCCCTTCACCCAGCCACACTCACATTAACCCCTCCTAATCCTGTAACTCTCACCACCTCCAACCATACCAAACTCACCTGCCTTTGCTTTGCCTCACTTACCCTATCACATTAACCTCCTCAACACAGTCACACTCATCCTCTATTAGTCTGTCCCACTCACCTCCTTCACCCTGCCACACTCACCCCACCACATAAACCCCTCCAATCCTGTCCTCCAACCGTGCCACACTCACTCAAAACTCTGTCGCACTCTCCTCCCCAACCCTGCCACACTCACCCTTTCACATTAATGCCTCTACTCCTGCCACACTAACCCCCTTAATCTTGTCACACTCACCTCCCCTCATTCAGTCACACTGCCTCCTCCAAACATGGTACATTCACTCCCAGCCCGTGATACCACCCACTCCCCCAACTATGCCACGCTCACCCTGTCACATTAAACTCCTCAAATCCTGTCACACTTACTTCCCTTTGCCGTTACACTCCCTCCTCCAACCATGTTGCAATCACCCCACTATCATTCTCACCCTCCCTCATTCTGTCACACTCACCCCCCAACCCTGTCTCATTTCCCCACTGACCCTGCCACAGTTACCCCTTTACGCACCTTGTCACAGTAACAAACTAAAAAAGTTCATCATACACGCACACATGCACAAAGATCATAGGGAGCCCCCATAAACACAACATACCACAAGCAGCTACCCCACACACATACGGTACGGACACATGCTTATTATTATTATTTTATTATTATTGCCATTTATATAGCGCCAACAGATTCCGTAGCGCTTTACAATATTATGAGAGGGGATTTAACTATAAATAGGACAATTACAAATAAACTTACAGGAACAATAGGTTGAAGAGGACCCTGCTCAATCGAGCTTACATTCTATAGGAGGTGGGGTGTAAAACACATTAGGACAGGAATTTGCAATCAAATAAGGTGGGCTGCCCTTTAGGAGAGGGCAAGAGACGGGTATGTGAGGTAGGGGTTAGTCTTGGAGGCCATAAGCTTTCCTAAAGAGATGGGTTTTAAGGCACTTCTTAAAAGATGCAAGACTAGGGGAGAGTCGGATGGCGGTAGGCAGGCTATTCCATAGGAAGGGAGCCGCCCGCGAGAAGTCCTGCAAGCGCGAGTTGGCCGTACGGGTGCGGACAACGGACAGGAGGTGGTCACGGGCAGAGCGGAGAGACCGAGAAGGGACATACCTGTGGATCTGTGAGGAGATATAAGAGGGGCTAGAGTTGTTCAGTGCTTTGTAGGTGTGAGTTAGTGCCTTGAATTGACTCCTATAGCACACAGGAAGCCAATGTAAGGACTGGCAGAGGGGTGAGGTGTGAGAGAACCGACTAGAGAGGAAAATCAGTCTAGCAGCAGCATTCATTACAGACTGTAGGGGTGCAGTACGGCTTTTGGGAAGACCAAGCAGGAGAGGGTTACAATAATCCATGCGTGAAATTATTAGAGCATGGACAAGCTCCTTGGTAGTATCTGGTGCAAGAAAGGGGCGGATGCGGGCTATGTTTTTAAGATGGAATCTACAGGATTTGGCAACATGCTGGATGTGAGGCTCAAAGGTGAGACCAGAGTCAAGTATGACGCCAAGACAGCGCGCTTGCAAGGATGGGCTGATGTTGGTACCACAAACTTGAAGGGAGAGCGAAAGAGGAGGATCAGTATTAGGAGGAGGAAAGACAAGGAGCTCAGTTTTTGAGAGATTGAGTTTCAGAAAGCGGGAGGACATCCAGTCAGAGATGGAAGAAAGGCAAGCAGTGACACGTTGCAGGACAGCAGGGGAGAGGTCCGGGGAGGAGAGATATAACTGGGTGTCATCAGCATAAAGGTGGTAGTGGAATCCAAATGAGGCAATAAGTTTGCCAAGAGAGGCAGTATAAAGAGAAAATAGAAGGGGACCAAGGACGGAGCCTTGGGGGACTCCAACCGAGACAGGGCGAGGGGAGGAGGTATCATTAGAAAAAGAGACACTGAATGAGCGTTGGGAGAGATAAGAGGAAAACCACGAGAGGACAGAGTCACAGAGACCAAGCGATTGCAGAGTTTGAAGAAGGAGAGCATGATCAACGGTGTCAAAGGCCGCCGAGAGGTCAAGAAGAATTAGTATGGAGTAGTGGCCTTTGGATTTAGCTGCGATTAGGTCGTTAGTAACTTTGATAAGGGCAGTCTCTGAAGAGTGGAGAGGGCGGAAGCCAAATTGAAGGGGGTCAAGGAGAGAGTTGGAATTGAGGAAATGAGACACACGGGTAAAGACGAGTCTTTCCAGAAGCTTTGAGGAAAAAGGGAGCAGGGATATGGGACGGTAGTTAGAGGGGGTGGATGGGTCAAGGGATGGTTTTTTTAGTATAGGTACTACAGTGGCATGTTTAAGGTCAGCAGGGACGATGCCAGAAGAGAGCGAGCAGTTGAAGATGTGTGTTAGAGAAGGCACGAGACAAGTGGAGAGAGATCTGATAAGGTGAGATGGGACAGGATCGAGCGGGCAAGTGGTGGGGCGAGAGGAGCAAAGAAGAGCAGCCACCTCTTTGTCAGTGGCTGGGGAGAATGTCTGAAGGGTAGGAAGGGCATGATCAATGTGTGATTGAGAAACAGAAAGGCAAGGAGGGGAGAATTCTTTCCTTAGCTGTTCAATTTTGTCAGTGAAGTAACATGCAAAGTTATCAGCAGTAAGGTTGGTTTGGGGGGTGGCCACAGCGGGGCGAAGAAGAGAATTAAAGGTGTCAAAGAGACGCCTGGGGTTGCGGGAACATGAACTAATGAGAGAGGAAAAATAGGACTGTTTGGCAAGGGCAAGGGCTGCACTGTATGAACACAGTATGAATCTATAATGGAGAAAGTCTGACTGGGTGCGAGACTTCCTCCAGGAGCGTTCAGCACACCGGGAGCATCTTTGCAGGTAGCGCGTTGATTTAGTATGCCATGGTTGGGGGTGGGTCCTCCTTGAGGTGCTTGTTTGGAGTGGCGCTGCAGTGTTCAAGGCAGATGTAAGAGTAGAGTTATATATGGAGATGGCCAGTGAAGGACAGGATAGGGAAGAGATGGACAGCAGTTGTGAATCAATGTCAGCTGACAACTGTTGGAGATCAAGAGAATTAAGGTCCCTCCTGAGTTTGCTTATAAAGACATACATTCACACACAAGGATGCTCTCTGTCAGACACACACTATCAGGCACATACACAGATAGACAATGCCAGAAACACTCAGAAATACACACACTGGCACTTATGTATTCACGACTGCCAGTCGTGTATAAATGATTAGCATAATTGCTAATTAAATTTGTTTATTAAAATTCATTTTGTTTGCAAATGATGCCATAACTACAGTCAGAGAGCTCACAACACAGTGGCACAGGGAGCTGTGACACTGCAAGCCTCTGAACAAGGAATACAGAGACTAGCTCTCTGTATTCAGTGCTGCTAGCCTGTCCTAGTCTGTCCTAGACTGCTAACTAGTCCTGTTAGTGGGGGCCTCATGTTTGAGTTTCGCCTAAGACCTCACAAAGTCTAGAGCCGCCACTGCATATACACAACCTGAGTGGACCTCTTCACGACAATCAGAACCCAATGTGTGTACTGTTGTGTATTTCTCAACACTGATCACTGTACTTGTGCATAATCTGTTACTTTATACTTGTCACAACCCATAAAGTATTTGGGAAGATGTATTTTTCTCATGTACCTGCATTTATTTACTTCAATAAAGTATTTTATTTTTTTTATTTTTTTTAATATTGGACGTAAACCTGAGAAAGGTACAGGGTATCGCAGAGGTGCAACTAGTGAACAGGACAAAAACCCTTAAAGGGTTTATTCGGTTTTTTAGAGCATATAGTAATTGTTTAGTTTTTTAGCTCCCTGGTGTTCTGCTTCTGAGGACACCTGGGACGTGTCCTGGGCAGCTCAGTACTAATGCATATTCCGAAGGCTGGTGGCTGGACAGGAAGACTTTCAATGGGTGTACCCACCTCTTTTCTGGGCAGGTCTGCCCATACTGGTTATCCCCTAAGATTGTTGGGAGATATGAAAACAATTTTTGGACCAAAAACAGGCAGACAGAGAAAATAATAATATAAAGAGTTGCTGACCACTCGTCAGGTTTTTATATAAGAATATAAAACAAACAGAACGAACCAGTGTTATTGACTATACAATATAATAACAGAAACTGGAGCTTAAGTTTTGTCTAAACTGTTTTTTTAACAAATATTTTACAACTTGATTGCTACTTCTCAATCATTGTTTTTGTGAAAAATTTCCCTTAAAACCGAATCTAAACCTAACCAATGAATGCACCCCCAAGCCTGCCTGTCCATGTCGAACATGTAACATGATTTTATAATGTCTAATCTGATAAACAAGGTTTCATTTAATCCCGTCGTGACACACAACATGTCAATACAAAAACAAACAATGACATTTACTTAGCCCTTGACATGAACGAGTTAAAGCTCTCCAATGAAGAGTCACTTGGTCTCAATACAAAGACTCAATAACATATCCAGAGAGCAGAACAAGGTAGCGGGTAGGGGTGGGAGAGAGGGGAGGGGGGGCGGAGATCTCTTTAGTGGAAAACATTCTAGAGAAATTGACATTTTTTTTTACAGCAAATGTCAGCTTAGATTAATAACAAACAGGACTGATTGTAAGAGACAAATTTGGATTTCCATACCACACAAGACACAGGAGAGGGAATGGCAGTAGAACCAATCACACGCATTTGAAAGAAATGTGCTGATTTACACCACCTGACAAAATTTATTGAGCGAAGCTCTTATCTCACTCCTTGCTTCCACTTGCTGTCTCTATTCCACTGGAAAACTCATACATTTTACTAAAACAAGATGCTCTGCACATCAGCAAAACAAATATGACTACTATTTCGCAAAAAAAAAAAAATTAAATTTTTTTTTAAAAATACTTTATTAAAAATATAAAAATGTATTTGCAATTTGAGCAGCTAGGAAATTGAAATATCTTTATGGCTGGCTGGATAATTCATAAATGTAAGACACAAACCACAACAACAACAAAAACCACACACAACAGCGGCAACAACAACATACACACAAAATCAAACAGATCTTCTTTAGTGATCTTATTAAGGAGTTTTTTTGTCTTGTTTTTTAAAAACTAAAATTTTATTTTACTACTCCCACAATTTCTTAGCGATCTCTGAGTTGTTCGAATGTTTCCCATGCGCTAGATTTGGCTGGAAAACAGGGGAGAGGGGTTTGAGATTGTTCTAAAATTTGGTGTGAAAATGTAAAAATGGCGGAGTCACCAATGGAATGTGTTTACTGGCATAAATACCGCTCCTAAGGAAACAATCCTTCTTTCGGACATTCATGCTCATTTCTCATTTTCTATACGACCTCCAAATTTACTAGGCTATCTTAATGAGAGTATAAAGACCTCCCAAAAATTAAACCCACAGTAATGTATTTATATTATTATATCATAAACAATTTTGGTCTTTCCAAATGACTTTCCAATTTCATAGAAGGCTTTTTTGCTATAGTGACCGATAATATCTGCTACATTCTACAACCTGACAAGTCTTCTCCGCACTCTGAGTGACTAAAGAGAAATTAACATTTTGATCCAAGGTATTTTTTGGACTGGCACAAAACATTACTTATCATGTGGTATTGGAACTGAAGCCGTGACTGGTCAATATTGGCAATGCTGGTCAGTAATTATTGGTTTTGCTTTGTTTTTTTTTTGTTTTGTTTTTTTAACTCTGTACCTGCAAATTGCAATGTGATCTTGGATCAGCCTGTTCCAGAAGCATAAATGCTTCTAGGATGCGATTTCCCACCCCCAATATCTAGTTTAGCTCCAACTCAAACATTGAATTCTGTTGTGGACAGAATATTAGCTAAAGTAAAATGCCTATTTACTCTGCATAACAATAATCAGTATTATTCAGTGACCACACAAAATGGCTCCTGGGAGTCACCCCCTCCCATTGTGTAACCAAGATGGAGCTGGAATCCGGGGGAGAATTTCATGATAACAGTAACATGCACACCCAGTAGGATGTGCATTGAATAAACCACCTAACATCTGACCAATTATTGTTGTATTTTTCTCTGTTATCTGTAATTATGTGTGTGATGTATTTGTGCTTTATAAGGGGCTCCCCGCCCCCTGAGTAAACATTCCTGAGTATTTCATCAACCGGGAAACATGTGTCTGGTGTGATTTACTTTGAAAAGCATGCATGCACCATAACCAATTTGAAAAGGGGCAGATACTGAAAAATTATCAAACACTTGATTTGATCCTTATCAATTTCAAAGTGCCAAACACCCCAGAATGCGAGAGGTGGCATAATGCTGGCAATTCTTAAATTAACCTCGTTGCTTAAAGTGTTTTTTACACCAGATCCACCACAGGAGCAGAGAATATACACTGCAGCTCAATATCTAAATTAAGAATGGCATAGTATGCTAAATATTTGCTCCCATATTGTCCTGACAGATGTACAATACATAGATACTCTCTGTATTTCTATGAACTTGCACAGGTAGAGTTACCAAAAATGTCTTACCTTCAATAAAGTCAGATGACCCATACACTCGCCTGGGTGTGTTGTGTTCACCATCAGGACTGTTGAGAGTTTCTAGTGCAACATCAATAGCCTCGGCAAGCTCATCCCTTTTGTCCTTCCGAACTGGCTTCTCCTCTGGGTGACGAGTTAACCCAGTTTCTAGTTGGTACACTTTCTGCAGAGTAAAACTCTCAAATGGTATTGCTGCGTACTCAGTAGGAACCTTCACACCGTTGTGTACTTCGGCCTTGTTGACCTGTGTGTGTAGAAAGTCTATCAAGTCAGTCTGTGTCTTTTCTGGGCTTCCGTGGTCTAAACTTACTCCCAAAGAATCACTGTAGTGACCCTGAACATTTTTCAGCTGCTCACTGCGTTCCTGAAGTTCGTCCTTCAGTTGGGCAATTTGTTTTTTTAAACTAGTAATGTAGTTGCGATGTTCTTCTTCCCGTTCTTGCAAGATAGCATGGTATCCTTCTTTTCCTGTAGGGCCATTAACCCTTGGCAACACCAGGTGTTCGTCCTCTGGTCTAGGCGAGCAGGCAAGCATATATAAAACAGAGACAAGACAACAAAGGCACACAAGAAGGATCCCCACCCGAGAAATCCAGCTCAGTAGTCCTCGCCGTACCATCCTTGTACTCAACAGACAAATCCCAACCTCATCATGATGGTACGTAATCAAGTCCGAAGAAGAAGACGCATTGTCCATACAACCAAATAATACCTTTGTGATAGCATGAAATGTATTTTACAACATGCATGCAAAAACAGAATCAGAAGATATAAAAGCACAGTTCCTCTTCGTAAACTGAAATTCAAAGTAACGGCAGAGAAATGAAAGGCATGTTCTGAAATGTAGTGCTAGTGTCATCGTTGCCTCCGTTTTCAGCGTCCATGCATAAATTGTGATCTATAAAAAGAAAGCAAATTAAGTCTTTTACAATTCACATTGTAAGAAATGGAAACCATTAGTAATGTTGAGGTTTAATCACCGAACAACACATCATAATGAATTGAATCAGACTGCAACATATACGTCCAAAGAGTAGCAAGAAAAAAAAAAAAAAAACATCTTCACTTTCGCAATTTTTTAAACTCAGCTATTTAGTTCTGTATTTTCGGAATATGGTTGTCAATTCGCCACAATTACTTAAAATTTAGAAATGTTACAGTAGAACTAAAGCAGGAAGGGTGTGGAAACCCTACAATACTGTACATACGAAAATAAAAAGGAGGGGAAATATCAAAATCTTTTGTCATCTTAAAGCGTGTCTTCATAATTTGGATTCATCTGCTTCACGAATCTGGACATGGTATCCAGCTTGGCATAATATTCAAATGGAAAATTACCTCCGTGTAATAGAATATTGTAATCAAATACATACATAAACTATTTTTGCCAGCACAGATGGGAAAATAATACACAAGTCAGGAAGAAAGGATGCAGATGTGCCAATTGTCTCCCATAATTCTAATTAGCTAGATACCTTATCTAAATGCAGGATAGGTCAATACCCTATAACAGGTACTGACATGCGCAAGAGCTGGCTTACATATCTACTTGACTCCTGCCAGAGGCCAACATTATGCAAGTAATTTTTTAAATCTATGTATCTATTAAGGCAAACTAGGCACGGTAAAAGCAGATAAAATGCGCCGGGTCTGTTAATAGATATTATCCTTCCCAAATAGGTCTATTGTTGAGATATATGCTTGCTGTCTGCTAGTAACGAAATAAAGACAATATCCATTACCACAACTGTTAGGTAGTGTTCCTTGTGATTATCCTAACTATCGTCTTCATGCCAATGATGGTCATGATCTGGTAGCAACTCAGAGCTGCCTCATTACCCATCCCGCCTTGCTTTGTACTTATACGTCAGGGGGATATTGTAGGATTTTGCATGAAGTATCAGGGAGACATGCACATAATGCTCTGCATCCAGTAGGCGGCATGCATATTGGGCAGTGTTCGGTTTTGCACCACCGCATGGATGATGTAGATTTAACTTCAAAAAGCACATCTTGCTTACAAAAACCTCATGAACTATAGATTACATTGTATTATCTGCCCGACAATGTCTACATTCAGATTGCATATGAGATTTACTATATATGCATGTGGCATCTGCTATAATAAATATTTTTTTTTTAAATCCACCTGGGATATGTATACAGCTTGTGTAAGTGTAAAATATTTTTTAGCATAAGGCATTATTGTGCCTTCAAATACTTATTTCCCTTCTTCTTCAGCCAATATGTGTCAAAGGATGATGAAGTTAAAGGGTTGCTCCAAGCACCATGACCACCTCAGTTATTTGAAGTGGTTATGGTGCCTGGTGTCTGTATGTGCAGAGTTTCAGTTGTAAACGCCGTACACACAGAGTTAAAGAACTTTGATGTTTAACTTCACCACCGATGGTATTTTTAGCCAACTAGGAACAAAAGTCGCGGGTTGGCTAATGTTAACTCCATGCATAATGGGTGATTGTTGTCAGTATTCATACCATGTTGGCGACAGATGGCCATCGGTAATACTGCCCCTAGTGCATCAGGGAAAACTTGGCGTATTCACTATTTTTGATTGGAGTTAACATTTAAACCAATGTTATCGATTTCAAATTCGGGAACCAGTAATATACTAGAAATGCATAGGATTCTGCATATTCTGTTAAATAATGTAAAAAAGAGCTATCCAAATAATGTCATTATTACCGAAACGGCAACCATAACATGACATTTAAATTATTATAATCTTTCTGTTCTGATGATGCCTCTGAGGCCCATAATTTAGCACACTATTTAAATATCTCACAGCTGATGTAATTTAAAGAGTTTCAGAAAATGATTGCTTGCTCATTTTGCCAACTTTTAATGCAGCTTTTTTATGAAAGGAAAAGTGCACGTTATGGTCACATATTCTGCATCATATTACCCTTAAGGAACACCTGGCAAACCCCTCGTGCTTACATATGCTGATAGATTTTAAATGTGCATAATAAAATCCTGTGTTTGAAGTTTTTTTTTTTAATGTTTACATTGTTGTACTGTTTGTATGAAGCATTTTGTGATCTCTTCAGCTTCTGAATAAAATCTCATACGATCCTTTGCAAAAACATGTGATTTTAAGAATTTAGCAACAGCTGGAGAGGACTACATTAGTCATATAGGTTTCCATAATTCTGACACCTCCAGTGTGCTTCTATACACTTTTGGGGGGATTACAACTCTTTTTTTCTCATAGGTACATTCTCAGCACCCAAACAACCTTAGCTTAAAGGGACACTTTAGTCACCCAGACAACTCCATCTCAATTCTCAGTGAGGTGGTTTGGGTGCAGTGGTCATGTGCTTTTATTCCTGCACTATAAAATATTGCAGCTTGTTTCAGAAACTTTAATGTTTGCATTGCAGTGTTAAGTCCTCCTTTCTTCTGCATTGACAGGACCGGACTGGCCCACCGTGATACCGGGACATTTCCCGGTGGACCGCAGCACCTGGAGCCGGGCACACAGCCCTAATCATCAGGCACATGTCATTTAAATAATTTTCCCCTTGGACTGTGCCAGCCTGTGTAAGTCTGAGGGGAGTAACGAGGGAGGAGTTGGGGGCTGCTGCAGCTGCAATTACTCTGCCGGCGGCCGAAGGGAGACCTGCCGCATACCCCGCCCATGCACTTAAGCCCCACCTCCTGAACACAAGCCCCTCCACCAGACATAAGCTGCTGACCTCGCTGGAATGAAGAGGCCAGACATTGACACTTTCACCTACCAGTGCAAGGTAAGCTTTGTGTGTGTGCTAGTGAGTGAGCTTGTGTGTGTGTGTGCACATCTGCTAGTGAGTGAGTGAGCTGTGTGTGTGTGCATCTGCTAGTGAGTCAGCTTCTGTGTGTGTGTGCACATCTGCTAGCGAGTGAGCTTCTGTGTTTGTGTGTGTGTGTGTACGCATCTACTAGTGAGGGAGTTTGTTTGCGTGTGTGCCTGCTAGTGAGCGACTTTGTCTGCTGGTGAGTGAGCTTCTGTGTGTATGTGCATCTGCTAGTGAGTGAGCTTCTGTGTGTGTGTGTGTGTGCTAGTGAGGGAGATTCTGTGTGTGCGCCTGCTAGTGAGTGACTTTGCATGTGTGTGTATGTGCCTGCTAGTTAATGAGCTTGTGTGCGTGTATATCTGCCTGTGAGTGAGCTTGTATGTGTGTCAGTGAGCTTGTCTGTAGGGATTGTGTGTGTGTTAGTGAATCAATGAGTGTGTATCAATGAGCTTGTGTCAGTAAGATTGGCTGTGTCTGCATGTGAGTATGCTTTACTATACAATGTAATTACCCCGAAAGGACAAATATTTTGAATTAGAAAAAGAAATATACCAATAATATATATATATATACACACACACACACACACTACATAGCACAATGACTTATGGGGCTGTCATAGATTTTTTGTTGCCAGGGCTGCTTTGTATCTCCAGTACAGCCCTGTGCATTGACACAGTAAAACCCAGAAGCAGCCACTAAACACACTGTGCTGTAAAAATTAAACCTTTTTTTTTTCATGAAGACCGTGCGAGTCAGGGCAGGTGTAACTAGCCTTGCATAAACAAAGTGATTTAGCTCTTAAGTGGCAGATAATTGACCACTGAATGGACTTGAACTCTAAACCAAAACTACTTAATGAAGCTAAAGTTGTCTTGGTTCTTAGAGAGTCCCTTTATAAAGCTTGTAGGAATGTTGAAAATACTGAAGTGAGAATGGAGACCTTAATCTTAGCTAGCGGTCCCAGATGGACTATTACGTTTCTGTGCCATAGCTACAAATAGCACAATATAAACCATCTATTTTATCATCATGGAAAAATATATAAAGACATAAAATTAAAATTTGTACATAAAGAGCACCAGAGGTGTGAGCGTCATCCTCTATCCCTGCCATCTCAGGTCAATAAAACGTAATAACCAAACATAAAAGAGATTTATCGTTTCTATAATGTATAACACTGAGCTAAATTGTGCAGCTACACATTTATAAAGACACTACACCAATAACATACAATAATACTGATTAAAATTTCACTTTGCAGCATGTGAAATATTTATGGAAAGTAAATACATAAAACAAGCAAAATATTTGACAATCAAAACACGCAAGACAAACAGGCTGTGAAGAACGCGCTTTTTTATTTTGTTTGTTGGATGCCATTTCATTTTTAAAAGGCTGTAATATAATAGCCCTGAGTCGACAGTTATTTTTTTTCTGCAAACACTCCCGTTTGCATGTACTGTTTGTATGTATTACAGATTTGTTCTATGGATTGGGGACCTGGCCTGCGTGCCCCATGTTGTAAGACTTGGAAATCTTGCAATAAAAAATATATTCACAAAATAAATAATATAAATCGCATAATTAGATGCGGCTTCATTCACTGGGTTTTCAAGCAGAAATACAACTGGTTTAATCTAGCATCATTATTTTAATTGCATATAGCTTCATCAGTCCCTAGTTAGTAGTCCAATACGGAAATTCATGTGAGAATAGGTCAGTGGCGTTTGTTGACTGAAAACGGAGATTGATGCCCGCTTACTTGTTTCGCTTGTAAACAATAGGTTGTAAATGTCTACGAGGGCAAGACCTTATGCTTGCAAAGGAGATGTTACAGGATAATGGAGACTTCTTGAAAATTATATGTTTTCTTAACCACAGTTTTTCCAATCGTTTTCTT